CCCCCCCCCCCCCCCCCCCCTCATGTATGAAATCTTTGTTTGGTCACAGGCAGGAAACGCGAACATCATATCTTGTTATATATTGCAGCCAACAACGCCTTTCTTAGGTACTGGAAAGAACAGAAAGCCAATTTAGGCGCCATATGTCGTTTCCAGTACCAAAGTCGAAGAAAAGAAAAGATTTCTTACAGTGAAACCAATTCAACGGCAGCTTGTTCCAGCAAAAAAACACCTTCACCACAAGAACGTTTAGTAGGTACAAAGGTTGTATTGAACAATCCTGTGGTCGTCATAACAAAGCAACTGGAAAAGCTGAACATATGAATTGGACTTGAGCAAACCAGCAACAAGAATGCCATCACAAATGTCAGTGGAAATAGGGTTGCATTCATCGGTGAAGGTGAGCACGCAGTTTCTTGTGTGAGTGCCGCCACAGTTCTGACGCATCGTCTCCTTAGAAGCATTGTCTTCACTAATTTCATAATGAGACAACTCTTACGGGGACGAAGGCCAATCGCGGCTGTCAGCGTCGACACTGGAGGAAAGATAGTTTTGAAAGTGAAACGGCCTATCAAAAGGCTTGTCAACTCGCGAGCGTTTATCCATGATGCTCAAGGTAATGTGATTGGAGAAGTGCAGCAGGTCGGGCACCTTTGGCGAAGGTGAGTGTTTGGTCAAAGCATTGACCATTTTAAGTTTTGATTATGCAAACCAAATTCTCAACAATACAGAAAAGACAATATGTTTGTTGGGACTCGGTCATTTGGAATCATTAATGCTGGCTTTTTGATGTGGGATTTCTTGGTTTGGGACAGAGACAAAACGTAGGTTTTGTTATCGTGATCAAAAAGTCAAATTTGGCCACATAACAGCCACTTGGGTCAAAACTGTGATCGTTTTATTATTTCTCGCTCATCAATCTGACACCTTTCAGCCTCATTAGCGTCTTTGCAGCAACATAACGACTGCGCGGAGGGTTAGCACGTGATATGTTCACCGAGACTAGTGTTTACTTCTCACGAATGGATGGACTACGGAGCGCATCATCTAGGCCCATTACTATTGACGAACGAGCAGTCCTGCTAGGAACCGCTATAACCATTATTATTCCCGCTCAGGTTCCATTTTGTGGTTGTCCTTTATGATTTATCAGTTATCGTTATTTCTTTGGTGATGAGTTAGTGATGAAGGGCCATGTTTACGATTTCGTAGGATGAATGCTATGTGTAGTATTAACACCCAATATACACTTTACACATCACTGTTGCAAAGGTCATATCACGGTTTTGGCAATCGCGTCAGTGCAGATCCAATGCGGGGCTTCGATGGAAGATTGACGAATCGAGACAATGCATGTTCACAATGTATTTCAGTTGACACGTCACTTCACACAGCTCGTTGTATTTGTGAAAATCCGATTTTGTTTCAATATGCGAGCTCGTAGAGCCGTAACCAGTTCTGTATTATACATATCTCGAACTCTTTCTTCTAGGCTGAATCTAGATGTAACGCTTGCTGCCAGCAGATCCGAGTTTTGTAACGCACAACGCTTGGTGAAAGTTTCATCAAGGTTGCTCTCGACATCTACGAATCCTCCCAACATAATATCTCAGAGATCGTATAGTAGGCTATCCTCAGGTATGCTTCCGTTTGTAACAGAACGGAGTAGAAAACGCCAACATCAAATATTGAATTGGGTTGAAGTTTGTGTTTTTGGTTGACAAAGCTTACGCCGTCGTACCCCGATTGCAAATACTAATACTTCATACTTCTGTAACGTAGAAACTGGAAGCAGAAGGCCACACCTCATTGCTAGGAGGCAAATCCCCATTCAAGAAGAGAAAACATCAATACAACCAGCAACACCAATACCACAACAGCTTATACCGACTGTGCCCTTGGGTCTTGAAGGTGTCTTGAACAATCCAGTGCTCGTCATCACAAGACAACTGGAAATGCTGAATGTATTGATCGGTTTCGAGCAAGCCAACAAGTATGCAATCAAGAATGCAGCTGGAACTGATGTAGGATTCATTGCTGAAGGTGAGCATGTAAGTGGTTTTGTTACGATGCTCGATCTCTAACGATTCTTTTCTTTAGAGGAGACTGCATTCACTAATGTTTTGATGAGACAACTTTTACGAACACGAAGGCCATTTGAAGCGGTCATATTAGACGCTGCAGGAAACATAGTTTTGAAAGTGAAGCGGCCATTGAAATGGTTTTTGAACTCGCAGTTGTTTATTCATGACGCTCAAGACAATGTGATTGGAGAAGTGCAGCAAGTTTGGCATCTTTGGAGAAGGTGAGGGTTTCATCAAAGCTTCGGTTCCAACCTCTGATTTAACGAAATTCTCAATGTTGTAGGAAATACAACGTATTTGTCGGAGCTCGTCAATTTGGAATCATTGATGCCGGCTTCTGGTCTTGGGATTTCTTTGTTCAGGACAGAGACAATACGTAGGTTTTGGTTTTCTTCGAATGTATGTAGCACGGAATCTGATCACTTATTGGCCTCATACCCAATAGGTTCTTTGGAGCAATACAAAGACAATTCGGAGGATTCGCGCGCGAGATCTTCACCGATACGGGCGCGTACTATTTGCGCATGGATGGTCTAGACGGTACATCAACTAGGCCCATTACTCTTGACGAACGAGCAGTTTTGCTAGGAACTGCCATAAATATAGATATAGACTATTTCTCTCGCCATTCAGGTAACAGCGGCATGGGTATTCCTCTACCCTTCTTTGGTGGTGGATCTGATGCAAGATCCCCTACTACAACGAGCGAAGGAGTACCGCCGGTACCTTCATCTGGAGGGTCAGGCGGGTTCCCGATGCCTATAATCATACCTGGAGGATTTGGTGGTTATGGTGGTAGTGAGTCAAGCAGTGATATTGGTAGTAGCAGCAGTGAAAGTACACCATCATCGAGCCCTCCTCCTTCACCCCCACCTACACCAACTGAGAACCAGTGGGGAGATGAAGTCGCTCCTCGTGATGAACCCTTCATCAGCGATGATGACGCTGGGATGGGTCAAACAGGTCAAGGAGGCAGCAGTTGGACGGATTTCTTTGGTGATCAGTGAGGAGGTTAGATTTCATATTTGCAAAGGATGAGCCACTATACATAATACTGCAGATTTTTGTTGAATATATGCCGTTGCAGATCTCAATATTCGGCTTCGGATTAATAACATTCAAAACGGTTCATCGAGTATATCAAAGACCGAATGAGCCCCCTTATTTACTTCCCACACCTTTTGTACATCCCTCACAAGACCATCAGGCATGATAAATCCATTCACTAATGAGTTCTCTACCGTCTCAAAGTATACATTCCTCACATGCACTCCTTCCACATTGTCATAAATCTTTGTTATCTCAGTAGCATCATGCTCCTCATCTGCTGCATGCACACTCTTTACCACTTTATCACTAGTCGACGCGACATAGAGAGGTATCGGGACACCACTTCGAGAATATCGACATGCTAAAGCCAACAAACGTGACCCCATTTTGTTGCTGAATGAGTCAAGACCTATCGAATCTGCTCCGAGAATGGCACATTGTGGGTTGAACGTCTCTATAGCGTGAGATATGGATGAGTCCGGTACCAGTGTGAGTTTCAGATCGAGATGTAGAGTTTGAGCATGTTTGCGGATGGTTGATAAGAGAGTCACTCCTTCGCCTGGAGGTCTCTATTGTAGAGGCAAAATAAGTTGATACGCTAATTGTTTCTCCATGAATCAGCGTTCAACAAGCTCACGGATTCAGCAGTTATGATATGGAGAGACCCAGATTCTTGTTGTGCTAGCAATTCACATACTCGTTTAAATACAGCTGTTACGATGGAGCTGCAGCTGAGAGTGATGACAGTTACACTACGATTACTTGCAACGAGTATATTGGCAGCATTTACATTGACTGCATCACGTTCATGTTCAGTACGTACGACCTCTTCATCGACTAGTTGAGTAAACTGCTTAATCCATGCCCCGACATCCACGTCACTTCCAAGACTGACGGCCTTTCTCAACACTCTTCCACATGCTGTCTTTATAGCTGACGCCATACTCGGCCGAGACATCACAAACTGCTGGGCGATATTAACTAGTTGCCGATACAAGGAATCTGGATCTGATACTGTTATATTATCTATACCAAGTCGAGCTGTCAAACAAGACTCTCGCAGAGCAACGAGACTAGCTTGAGCGAATTGAGTCGCTCCAGACACAAAATCAGTTTCGAAGCGATGACATGCTTCAAGCGCTGCGTCAGGCAAATACACACGTCGAATTGTTTCAATAAGACGTGGCACGGTATCCATGTTCACGATTTGATTGGGCTTTACGAATTCATACGAGTCGTGCTCCCAGTCGATTCTCAGATGGTCTACTGGGTCTACGAGTAGTAGGAAGAGGAATGGATGGACTGTCCAGAGTGTATCAATCTCTGGGGCATGGATGTTGAAGGGGTGACCTCTTCGAAGCAGCTTTAGATGGACATCCTTTGTAAGTTGAGTTTCTTCTCGGAGCTCAATCCAAGCTCTTTGCAGTGCGTCAGTATCAGATTCTTCGACGGATCCAGATACCACAGCGTATTTTCCTCTGAGTGAATGTAGTAAGATTTGGCAAAATGTTGATGTCGCCAAGACACGACCATTTCCATCGCAACTGGGCGGGTAATAACAATACTTACTGATACGTTCGAACATTTAAGCTACGTTTCAGTACTAGTACGGATTTGCCAGGCCTGTAGCAACCATCAGCGTCACAGGTAGGGGTTTGAAACTTGCCATCAGAATCGAAAGTGGTGGATATCACGCAGCTCACGACATGTCTATGTCTCGTCATTGCTGAGCACGTGCCGCGCAGCTTGAATTCAGTTATTCAGCTATATGTCTCTGGAGTTTGTGCGCGACGTTTGGATTGTCAAAGATTTTCAGGGATGAGCACGTAGAGCTAGTGCGAATATATTACCGTAATTTCTAGGGTCTTTGAGCGTTTACTGTCCAGATCTACCCGTTTTTAGACCACGAACGGTCAGTAGAACTGTGCATTCGAGAAATCCATGATTTGCGAGTTCTTCAGCTCTCTGCAAGCAAAAACGCAAAACTGGCACGCGATTTCTCAAGCTGGTTCTCAAGCTTGCTTGAAAATAGTATAATTTTCATTCACCCTTCTTTCATGCACGTTCTCCTCCCTCGGCTCATCCAATTTGCACCCTTACACTTGCACGTTCTGACGGAGATAGAACGACCATGATGGCATCTGTATCAGCAGACGCAGTACGTATGTCCTAGTATCAATTCCAATTTCAACTTCAATTGTATTCTTTCATTAACACGCTACCTATCAACAACAAACTAGCTCAAAAACGAGGGCAACGAATTGATTGCTAAAAGAAGCTTCAATGCCGCAATTGACAAATACAATCAAGCAATAGAACTCAACGCTAGTGTCCCTGCCTACTATTCAAATCGAGCCTTTGGTATGTTGTGTTTGGATTTCGCAGTGGACCATCTAGATTCTTTTTTTCTGTGTCAAAATTGTTTGACTCCCGTCACGTTTCTGTCAGCATACATCAAGGTCGAATTGTACGGAGCCGCTATACAGGATGCAAACAAGGCTATTGAAATTGATCCAACCTTCGTCAAGGCTTACTATCGCCGTGCCGTGGGAAATATGGCAATGGGGAAATTCAAAGGTAGGCAAAAAACATCTACCATGGCACCAACAAATTGATCAAGAAGGTCTCTATCTCTCTCAATTCTCAATGTGATTTATTCTTCAATTGTGATTTAGAGGCTGTAAAGGACTTTCAGGCAGTGTGCAAAGTCGCTCCTCGTGATGCAGATGCTAAACTAAAGCTCAAGGAGTGCCAAGCAGAGTTAACTCGACGGAACTTTGAAAAGGCTATTGCCGTAGAAGATAGTAAAAAGAGCGCGGTCGAGTTGTTGGGAGATGTAGATAGTATTATCGTGGACCCAGCGTGAGTAATCGAGGATGGATTCAGATTGTTCTTTTTGTGCCCATAAGCTAATCCCCTTTCATTTCATTTGCACCAGATCGCCCGAACCTCATCTACCAGCAGAAGGAATCACACTCGATTTCGTAATGGCAATGATGGAGCACATGAAGGCCCAAAAGAAACTACATAGAAAATACGTCTACAAGATCATGCTTGCAGCCAAAGCCGTCCTGGAAGCCTCATCTACAATCGTCGACGTACCCATACCCACAAATGGATCCGTAACCATCTGTGGAGACATTCATGGCCAATACTATGACTTGATGAACATTTTTGCTTTGAATGGCCTCCCATCCCCAACCAATGCATATATATTTAATGGTGATTTCGTAGATCGTGGTAGCTTCTCTGTAGAGTGTATATTGACCTTGTTAGCATTCAAAGCCCTGTATCCGGATTCCTTCTTTATGAGTCGTGGTAATCATGAAACCGATGATATGAATAAGGTATATGGATTTGAAGGAGAAGTCAAGGCAAAGTATTCGGATGTTATGATGAAGTTGTTCTCGGAGATATTTAACGCTGTGCCATTGGGTAACCTGGTTGGTGGTAAAATATTGGTAGTCCATGGTGGTTTGTTTAGTAGAGATGGTGTAACTCTAGATGAGGTAAGAAAGAATACTCAAAACGGGATGGACGTGATCCTATTCTGTGCTCCTGTGTATTTTTTTGCTCACACATTTTCTTTAGATACGACAAATCGACAGGTTTAAGCAGCCCGGATCAGAGGGCCTGATGTGTGAACTACTATGGTCTGATCCACAACCTCAACCAGGTCGATCACCATCTAAACGAGGAGTCGGAATACAGTTTGGACCAGATGTATCGAAAGCATTCTGTGACCTTAATGGATTGAATTGTGTAGTTAGAAGTCACGAAGTCAGACAAGAAGGTTATGCTGTAGAACACGACGGAAAATGCATAACAATCTTCTCAGCACCCAACTATGTCGATGTCAGTGGAAACAAAGGAGCTTATATCAGAGTTACTCCTGATTTCAACATGAAGTATAATCAGTTTGAAGCTGTACCTCATCCGAATGTGAAAGCTATGCAATACGCACAGCAATTCATGTCAAACATGATGTAGTAAAAAAAGAGGGATGTTGCTTGTTGGTTTAAGATAATTTTTTAACACGGTACAATGTAGACTATTTGTTTCAAAATACAGTAAAAGGCACTATGCATATGTATCTCGCTTAATAGAATTTTCCCTTTTGTGATCCGGCACCGTTGGGGAACTGTCGCTTTACAAAATCCACTTGGTATTTTAGTTTCAACGATACATCGTGTCGGCGTGCAAGAATTATGCTCGAAAGAGGACTTGTTTTTTCCAGATAATTCAACAATAGACACGTAATAGCTCCATCTCTTTGTTTGTTCGTTGAGGTGTTCAGTTTCTCGTCCAAACAGCGCATCTCGAAGCATCCAAAACGTCGGTTTTGAAAAACGCATCAAACAACTTTGCCGTTGTGAACTTTGAGATTCTCATCTAGCAAGTGTCGGCATTGTAGTGCAGAGCAACTGATTCTGTATCTGACCTCTTTTTCAACTTAGAATTAATTTGCAAACCCCATCCAAAAACTCAAAATGTCAGAAGAATCAGATTGGGACAAGACTACTTACCTGAAACGAAAGCCAGTGAATGATCGAGTTGGTACGTTTTATTTTGCATCTAGCTGCCTCTTCTTTGTCGCAGAACGTGGCAGTTTCAATAATTCAAATGCAACAAACTTCCAAGCTTACTTTCCTATCCATTGTATGTAGCCAAAACCGAATCTGAAGTAAATGCCGCTAGGAGATCTGGTGCAACCATTATTACTGAAGAAAAAAGGAAACCAATCTCTACTGGTGCTTCAGCTTCGACATTGGATGCTTCCAAAGCTGCAAAGATTGATCGAGAGACTGAGGTAGGATATTGCCCTCTCCTGTGATAGGATTTGATATGTTTTGAACGTCCGGGTGATAAATTGGGTGTTTGGTTGATGATGTGTTGTGTGTTGCTTCTCTGTTGTGCATCTCTGTTGAACTATCCAATCGCAGTTTATTCACGCTTACAACGTTCTATTCTTGTAGGATTTCCATGTTGAAAAGATCTCACCAAGTTTGGGCAAAACGATTGCTCAACGAAGAGCTGAATTGAAAATGACACAAAAGGAATTGGCTACCAAAATCAACCAACCCCATAACATTGTATCTGAATATGAATCGGGAAAGGTAAGAACTATTGACCTACAGTCTGCAATTTCATGTTACTAATTATCTCTATCACAGGCCGTCAATCCAAATCAACAAGTATTGGCTAAAATGGAAAGGATCTTGGGCGTCAAACTACGAGGAAAGGATATTGGTGCCAAATTAGAGCCCAAGCATTGATTTCATTTGCACTCTCCACACTTTCAACTTGATCGTATAGAAGTACCTACAATTTTTCAATCAACACGTCTATCTTCACACCATTGAAAATGCATGTAGTGCTGCTGCTCTTTTTGATTTAGTGTATCTCATTTTACAAGTTGGTTACTAATAATTTAGACATTATGTCATATGAAGCACGCATTGACTTTGGTGGAGAAATCGGATCTATGGAATACCTAACGACCAAGTTCCACGTGTCAACCAGATACTCATCTATCTTTGCATATGGAACATATGCGAAGCAATCCAAGCTCACCCTCGTTTGGAATAGAACTCGATGGCTCGAGTATTGGATTTGAAGACGGTCAACATTGACTTGTACATTCCAGTAACACGTCCAACTTGTTCCATTAGTTCCATCAAATGATGGCCAAGACCACGCCCTTGTGCTTCAGCTTCTAATTGCAGCTCGTAACTAGAGTAGCAGTTTGGTTGCTGGATGAGAACCTAACGCCGTACATATCCAACGGATAAAGACTAACCAATAGACTACTGCGACTTCTTCACATATTGATGGTTTAGCTATTCGAATTGACAGATCCATGGTCAAGCAAGTTCAAACAGTAGCTGCCCGTATCTGTTACTAACCTCCCATTCGTCCATTCTTATCCCAATTTGCCAGATCATATCTTAACTTGGCATCCTGATCAACATCTCCCAACTCTTCAGTACTGAATTGGAAATGCACATATCCGATGCTTCGCTGATTGACACGTGCAATTAGAAATCTTGGTGCGTCAGAGCTCATCTCTTCGCGTTTATCTGGCGTACTCCAGCCCATATCTTTTGCTTCCACGTATCTGATTAGAAACTTGAGAAGTTACACTTTTGAAACGTGAATAGTGAAAGATTTCACGCGTAACTGGTCCTTCAAGTTCCGTTTGACGAGATTCACTGCCCAGTCAAAGTCCTTGTCTGAAATGGTGTCGATGCTACACACATCCACAGTGACTTGATAACTGCGAGAGAGCGAAACGTAAATTTATCGTCCACTCGATGGAATTGCGAATAATTCGTTCGGTTTACTCGTTCTTGGTGAAGCTTAATGGCATTTGAATTTTCTTGATCAAGTCTGCAACGCTAATCTAAGCACCGAAAGGAAAAATGTGAGATCTAGCAGAAACTTCAAATTTGAATCAAAACTACCTCGCACGCGAGGCGCGCACGTTCTTCCTCCACCGTCAATTCATCGTCGTTGTTCATCCCTCTTGATGTTTAAGGAAGATGGAACAAGGTAGCTTATCGTAATAGTTGAAACAGGAAAAGGAGAATTTTGGAAAGACTCACAAGCAAGTGCTGAGCATTGTGTTCTTCATTGCAGAGAACATCACTGAAAACCCCATCTCCTCATAATTTACAATCTCACTCACAGGCGAGTAGACATGAGTGAATTACAGGACCCGCCGGAAGAGGAAACATCTTTCCCTACCGAGCTATTGCTCAAGATAGCTAGATATCTTCCTATACGTGACCTTGACTCGCTTGCGTTGGCATCTAAAACATTCAACATTGTTGCCATCACACATCTATATCGAACCATTCGGCACGCAGTTTCAGACGACGCATCTTTGGATGAAAAGGATAGATACATTTGGGCAAACTCACTGAATACCTGCAGGGTGTGCATTCAACACCTTCAGCAACTCCCATGTATATGTTTAAGACTTAATATGATAGGGTCAGGAGCTCCCTTTCGCGAGGTCGTGAGCTCAAGCTCGTAGGCTTTAACGTCTTGTCAAAAGTTACTTGCGAGCAAGATGCCTGTCACTATAAAGAAGTTTGATATCCTTATAAACTATGGCCGACACTGCCTTGTGGACGACCTTCATGGAGACGCACACAACACCGCAGTGTCTTAGGATATACCATGCTGCTGACGGCCACACCAACTGGAATTATGTAATCGCTCTCTCGAAACACTTGAAACTAAGACGTCTCTGTCTTAACGCCATGTCTCAACATTCGCCATCAGGTCTAGGAGATGCAATCATATCATGAAGCGGCCCTACCGTACGCCAACTCAACCTCACAGGGATGGACGATCTCGATAGCGATTTTATAAATCAACTAGATTGCTTGGATGAATTCACTTTGATTCCTAGGGGCAAAGAAAAGCCGATAGTACCACAACGTCCACTTCGAACACTCTTTATCGATGATGAGTGGGCCAGAAGGTACTTTGGACACACGCTTTTGCTCTGGGATTTTTGTGTCCAAGCTTGAAGTCCTTGTACATACAATTCACTGAATGGCGATATATCATTCTCGCGACTTACAAACTTGTATGCAATATCATATTATGCTCATCGGGCATCAGCAGACTGGAGATTCGTTGATACGAGGATCGGGAAGCTAGACTGCCAAGGGATGGTGTCGCCTTCCTCGCTGCTGCTCGGGAGCGTAAGGGACTGGCGCTGAAGGCTACAGAATTGGATATTAGGAACGTCCAGTGGGAATTCTCGGGTGACCTCGTTTCATGTTTAAAACCGATAATCATTCTGGTGTAGAAATCTGTCAGGGATTGTTGGTAGCTTTAGATGATATTTTCATCTGTAGTCGCAAACAGACGTGCTATGACAAAACGGACGGCCTGGTCCGATTCAGAAGCTTAATGAGAGCTTTATGGTAGTTTTGACGAGGATATATATGCTGAATGAGTAATAAGAACACTTCAAGAATTGTACAGTCGGTGATAGTATATTATATAAGGACGCAAAATACACGCATAGAAATTCAACGTTCGGCGAGTCTCTCATACACTTGAATCCAGCGTCTCCATTACAACCCTTGCAATCTCATCTACTTGAGCCATAGCTCCTACTCCAACATCTCCACACGCCAATATCTTTGATATAGGCGGTATGACTTTATAGCCCAATTCGTCTTGTAGGATTTTCAAATGTTTGGCAGTGAATGGATGATCCCACATGTATGTATTCATTGCTGGACATATCAGCACGGGTCTTGTTGGTGCCCATGCTCGTAATATACATGTCTAGAAGGGAGAAAAGAGCGTCAAGTTGATGTAGGTTCACTTTCACGTCATCCGTGGCACCAACAACAAGAAAGAGAAATGCACTCACAAGTAGGTTGTCTGATAGTCCTTGAGCGAGTTTAGCGAGTGTGTTGGCATCTAGTGGTGCAATAACCATCAAATCAGCCCAATTTCGTAGATCGATATGTATGACTGGATCTGACATCTTCTTCCATGCCTGTACGTCAAGTAGACAAAAAACAGGAGATCAGTATATAAGGATGAGATAGACATCATCATGGCTCCCAAATCGTAACATGAACAAACAAGTAATTACCTTCCATTCGTCCGCGTCAGTCAAAACCTCAGCCGGTTTGACGTCGTCAGGTTTAAAGAAGTGAAGAGCATGTTCTGTAGTGACTATTCGTATCTCCACTCCCATTTCATCGTGCTAATGACATGGAGATGGTAATTGTCAGCAAAACTGTCGATGATGGTCAAATGATGACAGAGTTCATGCCTTGTTGAGATCTATGAGTTTCTGTACCAGGAGAGGTATCTTTATACTTGCTACACTGCCTGTAGCTCCTATTAGTATATGCCTTGGCCGTATAGTCCCTGTAGAAGTTGATCTTGACAATTCAGTTCCATTATTGCTGCGATTAACAAGCACAGACGAAGAAGACATTGGCGACTCGCTCGTCATTGCCAATTGCACTATAAACTATCTATATACTAGGCTGTGGTAAGTTCCCTTGTTCTTCTGCAATGTGAAAGTGTTTTCTTCTGTCTTGAGCGAATGTGTGAATAGGACTGTATGAAGCTGACAAATTCAAAGATTTATTACAGATTTTAGACGCGATGCCTATCCAAATACTCGATGCGCTACCATCCAACCTCACTCTGCCCGCTTCAAACGACAACATCAACGACACCACCCATCACTACGACTTGCAAAACCCAGTGCTGCCTCTTGTCAGAAACCACCAGCCAAACACTACTCTGTACATTTCACCACCACTCACTACTTCATCTGGAATACGCATCGGGGCTGGAATCAAGGGTGATGTATACATTGCTCAAAAGTGAGTGTCCTTGTTGGAAGGGAAAAAAGAAGTTAGCAACTTGGTGGATGTTTCTCAACGTTCTAACACCCTGTCATCACATCTCAATAGTAAGATATTCTTTACTTCACCATCATCACCATCAGCCGCAACTACACCATCAACAGCATCACAAACACTCTGCATTGACTACCTAAACATTATCGTACACGCCATATCACGAAGTGGAGATCGTATCATTGCCAGACCTAGTATATATTGTCAGCTGGATGGCGTCACTGTACTAGATGCACAAGGAAACCCGTTATCTATTGCAGCAGCTGAAAAGAATGGCAATGATATTACAGCAGCTCACGAAGGGATTGAAGAAGATGATAATGATGAAGTCATGTATGAAATGAGAATGGTGCCTGATGATTCTGAGTCTTGTAAGTCATTCGAGGTGTATGTCTTGTTGGTTTTCTATTTTCGCCCCTTCTCCATTCTCATTTCATTCTATTTCTCGTAGTGGACACAATGTACCAAGCAATGTCAGAATGCGCATCTCTACACCCAGACCCCAACATGGACGAAGATGATGACGATGCCTTAACAGGAGGCGCTGCAGATGGAAGTGGTTGGGTATTCGCTGACGATGCTGATCCAGCTCTACAACAATTTGTGGCATCGCTCGGTAGCAATAACGGTGGTAGCAACAATAGTCATAGATTCAGTCCGTATACAGTTCCACCGTCTCGTATGAGACGTGAGGATCAAGAGACTATGAGGGCTGCAATGGAACATGTTGAGGTCGCGTTTGATGTACCTGCAGGATATGCTAGTCATGCGATGGGTGATGATGGTGTTGAAGGGCAGTTTGATGATACTGAAGATGATATGCAGAGATAGGAAGTGATACGAGGTTTAACTTTCAAAGCGTCGCGTAAAGGAAGGATGTGTATACAAAAACTATTATAAGAACATAGCCTCATTTCAGTTCCCATATCTGCACTTTCTGTTTGGAATCATTTATGGTGTGTGTGTGTGTGTGTATGTTTTGAGTGTACAAAGTAAATATAATGTCCATTTTCTGGGATGTCTGTCTTCTACAACCACTTAATGCAATCATCATCAACAACAAATCTCTACATCACAATAATACGTCCTATCGGCAACACACCTATTCTCCCCATTGTTCCTCTATCATGTTTTAATCTGTTCCATTCCTCCATTGTTTGAGATCATTTAAAATATCCAACCGCCATTTTCTTAGACTTTACATTCAGCCAAGAGATTAATCATCCTATTTGCTTCACGACGACCACTCAACAGAGCTCCATGTATCGTAGCGAAATGATTCCTATTCGTGGCCTCTCCTGCAAAGAATACGACTGGATTATTGGTGTTGTTTGTTGGATTACTTGGATCTGTTGGGATGGCGGGTGAGGTCAAGTTTGGTAGGAGCGGTAGTAATGTGCCATTTGAGTCTCCTGAATGTCCATTGATGTCGCCATTGATGTGTCCGTTGGTTGTTGAGATTGGAGCGGTATACACTCCACCACCTAATCGAAGAGGTGCGGCCAGCGCATCATTGCATTCACCAGATTGGCCGACTGGGATAGACTAGGTAAAAACATTGTTGGTACCAAGCTACTATCTCACACTCCAGCATGATAACTTACACTATACGATCCTAATGCAAATGGATCACAAGCCCATCGAACTACAGTCAAATCCACCAACTTGATTTCATCAACGTTATCACTGAAATTCCTCTTGATGGAAGTCATAAACACTTCTCCGACTTGTTTATCCGTCAATCCTTCCATCCTCATAGCGGTAGACTGGGCATAGTATGCAACCAGAATAGCTGGTGGATCTGATAGTTCCGGATGTAATCGAGTCACGTTTAAGAAGGAGACGAGAGATGGTTTTTGTGTTGGGTCTGCATTGTCGACAAAGCCGTAGAAGAATTCCTGATCGTAGAGAGGTAATTAGTCGCTGACGCGAAAAAAGGACAAACAAGTATCACGAATTGCGGCACATGCTCACCACATCCATAGGCCAGAACGCCTTTTCAAACTTGAGAATCGTCTTATCCAATACTCCAAAGCCCAATCCTTCGATAGCTTGTTTCTTTGATATTGGTAGAGGCGGGTTGAATATACTCTGATGATGAGCTTTCAGGTATCCCAATGGTATCGTTGTCAGTACAGCTGCACACGAAAAGTCTCCTTGATTCGTGTGAACTGTCACTGGATTTATCACATCTGCACCTTTCTCGCCACTGTAATCGATACTCGTCACTACATGATTGAGGAATATACGTGTATCCTTTTCAGCGAGGATGTGTTCGCCAGATTTCTTGAGAAGTTCTGTATATCCATCTACTAGATAACAATGTTCTCCACCAAAGTCCTGTTTGAAGATAAAATGATCAGTCATAAAGTCTACATGCTGTTTGGAGACATATCGCGTACGTTGATATCCCATTCGCGTATAGACATTGTCTCCAAGTCAGCGGCCTCGATATTCTCTATAGCTTTCTCCAGGAATGGCAGCATTTCTCTAGACAAGTCATCACGCTCTAACTGCCTCTTCCATTCCTCGTCTTGATCGATAAAATCTCGCATCGACATATCAGCGTGCGTTGATCTCACATAATTTGCAGCACGTTCAAACACACCCCAGAACTGTTGTCATCAAATAAAGAAAATGATTAAAACGGATGCGTACGATGATGGGGGTTGATGATTGTATGTCAGGTGCCGGTTGAGTTTGGAAGGTTGAATGGGAGCACCAAGATTTCAAACCAAATGAACAGGGTTTTTGAATTGGGGTTGGATTAAGGGGGATGTAAAAGGGAATATAGAGGAATATAAAGGGGGAAGGCAAAATCAAATCAACTTCAATCCTCATTCATTCGAATAAAACAAGAAAACAGAACTGAAAAGAAACAAAATTGAAAAACCTGGAAAAAAACACAAAACATCAACAAAAACTTATGGTAGCTTGCCTTCTCGTACTAGTGCTTCCAAAGAATTGGAAAGCATTGTACAAAAAAGGGGGAGAGCGACTTTTGGTTTTCTTGGTTTTTTTGTGCCCCTTCAGCATTCATTCAAATTTACTTCCTTCCTTGTTTCTCAACCGTACCGTTTCTTTAGCAGTTCTCACCACATCTAAGAGCTCTCTAGACCGTTCTATTGATATTGGCTTTCCATCTGGTTTAAACATCTACCAAAAAGCGTGTTACTATAAGTTTTTTCTTCCAGCCAGGTCCATCACACGTGCCAATTGCAAGTATCATTCCAACTCATAGACGTGATTACAAAGAAAGGAATACAGCACTTTTTTTTGTGATCAAACTAACCTGTATCCGTTCAAACACCACCTTTCGAGCATTGGGCACCAAATCAGTCAGTGGATTGCCATCGGCACCATGTATCCATGAAGCACCCATGTCAATATTGACTCCATATTGAGTATCAGTTTTTATTCTACCACCTGCAAGCACGCAGCGACACGTTAGCTCAAACCACTTGGTAGATAGAGGCAGTGCAATGGCTACCTGTTCGATCTCTTGCTTCCAGCACAAGAACGTCAAGTCCTGCTTGTCTTAACATACTAGCTGTTGTGATTGATGCGATTTCATATGAGAAGAAGGGAAAGTGAGGGTTGGTATGAGATGCTCCACACACATGTTAAATGTTGGTGCAATTTCGGCACAAAACATTGTCTGGCAACACCGAAATGATCAGATCCGTCATATAAACATAAGTGAAATACAAATTTGATTCTCTTTTACCTGCTGTGAGTCCACTCATACCAGAGCCGATAACGATTATCTTTTGAGCCATTTTTGTTGAATATTATGAGGGCAGACAGTAGATCACTTGGTTGAGATAGAGAGATTGCAGTTTTATGAGCTTTCCGATCTATTCGTGCCTTGTCTTCTAAAAGTCTTGGATTTTGCCACTGCTTCGTCTTCGTTGGAAATTGGCGGCACGTAAGAGACGTGGCTTTACTCATGACAACCCTTTATTCACGTGACATATTCATTTAAAGAAACTACTTAGAATGGACTAAGAAGCGATCGCACAGATTTACCGTTTTAGACGGGAGCGCTCTAAAAACTGAACAAACGACGAATAACTCAAATTGTGACTGATCTAAACATCCACATCACGATTCAGAGATCAAAATCTAATCCTAATTTATTGTGATATTTTCCATATTGTAGTCAGATGGCAGCAGACCCCATGGGCCTCACTTTGAGGCCCACCCTCCACATTCTCGTTCCCAACGTGGTTTCAAGTTCAGGCAATCCAAAACACTGCTAGTGAGTGCTGCACTCAGATCGCCTTCATATCCATGAAACGAGAGATGCGGCTATACACAAGTTTAAGTCGTGTGTGCTGGCAGCTCATCCCTCCAGACAAAGGCACTTTGAGGCACTCCAGCAGCCTCCAATAGCTCTGGAATCAATGCATGATCGGCATTGTGTGCATCAAAACTATTGATAGTAGCGTCAGAGACAGTTGGGTTGAATGTGGACTATGCAATTGTACATACTGTTCAAAGTGACAAACTTCGCCAGTTTCGGCAGACTGGGACAAGACAAAGGAGCCACCCTGTTGTCTAATATCCCCTTGCAATCCGGTTGTGACGCCCATTACGAATCCTTTCACCCACGCATCGGTTTTGGATATCTTGACGTGGCGAGACGGTAACCATCGTGAGTCAAACTTCAGATTCATATCCAGAGCCGTGTATAAAGTCTTTTTAGGATCACAGTATAGTGGTAACTGTAATAATATGTAGAAGCGTTAGAATCACGAGATGGTGGGAAGCATATGTCTGACTTGCCCCAAAGTTCGTCTCGCGCAGATACTTTTGGACTGCCCAAAGCGGAGCTGGTGTAATCAATATCAGCGAAATTCCAGACTCAGATAGCGTCTTCTTATCAATTCTGTCTAGATCCTGTGGAGTGAAAACATGTGCAAGATGTTAGTTCACGAACTGCTTTCACATGCATTACCAACTTCAAAACAATCAACACCATTGCATTCTGTAGTTCTCACTGACCTCAAAATAATCCCGACACACTAATCATAACAGGTTCCTTCCAAAGACTATTATTGACTTGCGATCCTGATACAATTCCTGGAACTTCACCTCAACCCCTTGCGAATCTAGCAACGTTAGCTCACGAACATTCTCAAAGTTAAAATGCTTTATAGATAGCCTACTGCCCCCTGCCATTTTTATCGTGCTCAGCACCTGGATCGTGTTTTGTAGGGTGGACTTGAAGACTACCACCATTTTCTGTTAACAGTTTTATTATAACCGCCCGGATAACCGCTGGATAACTCCATCAGGAGAAACCGTGGGACAGATTCAAGCAACCAATCATACAGATACAACAAAGGATCTCAATGACATATATCATGACATTCATATATCCCAACGAGACACTAGAATGGTAGTAATGTCGAAATCCACATCCATTTGGTGTAGTAAGTCTGTTGTCTGTAACATTTGCTGGTTGTAATGGCCAGCTTGTTTAGAGGATCTAAGAATCATTTATAGTCTGGCCTTGGAGTCGAAACGCCAAGGCTCGCTCACAACCACCAACACCTAGTAGTAATAGCTCGTCGCAAACCCGAACACCACCATCAGCATTCGTAGAAGGTCCACCAGACAATAGCTACAACTATGTCATCTATATTCATAAGAAAGCAGATGGGTACTGCAGAGGCAACTTGTTTAAAATTGGCAGACTCCTTATACGCCAACCCAACGACCCTCTTCTTCGGAGATACCAGTAGCCAAGCGTGGATAGGCACATCCGATTCTGCATTCGGTGACGTTTTCATACCAAAGAACGTTAAGAATTTGATCAAGCACGGTCTGCCATATGATCCCGCAGAGCAGCCTCTCGACCACATGAGGGGCGAAGTAGCTGTTAGATGGAGTCGCGCACATCATAGATATTTCTTGCAGAGATGGCCAACCTATGAGCAGGATTTCAGAAGAGCTTCTGATCTGATAGAAGGAGATTCGAACAGAATCGTCATTCTGTGTAGAACGAACGAGGAAATCTCGAAGGAATCTCACAGTAATGGCAGTGTTCGTTAATAATCATGCAGCAGATCTAGCAGCATATACAATTCATTGTTTGATCCAGTATGTTCGGCCGTTGGTGAGAACATCAGATTTTATAAAGTACAGACGATTAATGGTATTAACGCGAGTTGCTGGTCAATTGCATTGAATCTCAAGAAGCACTGGTTCGTGACTTCAAGCTTTCAAACTTCACCGTTCTTTACGAATCAGTCAGCAGTTTGGTATGGAGCAAACGACAAAAGAACCCATATATAAATTGATTCCACCTCTTGTGGGCTGGCATTAATCAGAACGTCCACAAAAGTCATGACGATTAATAGCTTGATCATATGTGGTGAGTTAAGACGGCCATCGGAATCAATGCGTACGAAGAACCGCTGAAAGTAGTCAATCGTAGCCAAAAACATCTATTTTGTCAGTTTGCGGAGATGGCAGATGAAAGAACGCCTGAAGCAGTTCCATTACCGTACAGTAAGTAGAAGCTGGAAGGAACCGTAGATGGCCAGCCAGTAAGCCTCGCTCGGTTTCACAGTGCCTTCTCTGTGACGAACATTAGTTGTATAAATAGTAGATTCTATGCTGGTTCCTGAGACACTCCGCAGTCTAATGTACGTGTCAAAATGCATATGAAACTTTAAAAACACGTTTAAGTTCAGTCTTCCTATTGCTATAATTGTTTTAGCAGCGACTGCATCTTTCATTACTCGTTTTTTCGTTAGGCCAGAGATAAACTGAGGCGATGATCTCAACACGGACTTTGTTGCCTATTGTTGCAATTATACTTGTTGTCTGGCTGGGACTGACCTTCTTCTTTAACGTGAGAATTCGCACTTGCGCATTCACAGTTTTAACTCTGATGACCATGTAACTGACGACGACTCAACCTACCACCATTATAGGATGACCAAGATCGCACCGAAATGATGGAATGGTACCGTGGAGACAATAAGCCCACTCCTTGTACTTGTCCGCTGGTGGTCTGCACACCAGACCAGCAACAAAACACCAACAGAATGGACAAACCACCGTCATCTACTTCAAACCACACTATAGCGAGCGCGAATTCTGGTGATATTCCTACGTCACCTCCAAAAACTGTGAAAGAACAAGAAGAACACGACCAACGCGAAGGAGCGTTTTCGGACATATATAAGGACAAGACGTGGGGCAACGGGGAATCGTTGAGTGGGCCTGGATCTTATATGGAGTACACCGTGAATGTCAGAACATTCTTGGCGCTGGTGTTTCGCGTCTTTGATGTAAAAAGTTGGCTCGATACTCCATGTGGCGATTGTAACTGGCAGCGGAACATTAGTGGATTTAACGACATTCTGTATACTGGGGCTGACATAGTTCCGGTATGCATAGTCACTGTTTGTGCAAAGTGAAGGCAACAGTCCAAACACATGTGTCTCACCCTTCCTTGTTAGAGTGTGATAATACAGAATGGTAGAAAGTACCGAGACATTCAAAACATGAAATTCATGCACCTGGATCTGGCAGTTGATGACGTTCCTAATGGAGCGGATGTAATATTGTGTCGAGATATGCTACAACACACACCCCTTGAGGCGGGTCGAGGAGTTATTCAGAACTTTGAACAGTCTGGTGCCAAGTACGACCCTGAGTACCGCTTTCAAAGGATGGGACCTGATTGTTTCGTAATCTGACTCTAATCCCGTCACGTGTAGATATCTTGTTACGAACTTTCACTCCTTGAATTACAAGCCTGAAAGCGGAGGAAATCGTAATATCAAGCCTGGAGGTAAGCAATTTGAACCAATTATTCCTGATTTCTTCGCATCGAACATCATGGTCAACAATCAACCTCTTTTCTTCTTTCAGAGTTTTTTCTAATTGATGTGATGAAACCCCCCTACAATTTCCCACCACCACTTATGTACAGTGTGGACGGTCGGGACTCGGAAGTCGCAACGGAGCACAATTATAAGATGGTCGGTATCTGGAAGTTGCCTGTTTTAGATAAAGGAAATGGCACGATACTTCCTGTGCATCCGCAGGTACCAATGATTGCATCTTGATACTCTATACTACAAACGTCCTTTGAAACATTGTTTGACGTTATCTTTTGAACAATAGTCTATTAATGAAAGCCGCATCATCACCATTGACCGTGACGTGGAAACAGCTTTAAGGAAATTGAACATCTCGTTTTTACCGCATTTTGCATCCATCCTGTAAGATATTGCCAGGTAATTTAATAACGCACTTAATATATAGTATATTATGCATCATTTCGGCCCGGTTGTTTACATTGTACTTCAAAAGTTGTAGCCTTTCACAAATCACATTCACTACGGTCCAAAAGCTTCTTACAGAATGGGCGTGATTCAGACGCCGAGGATAACACCGATACTCGTGTTGCTAGTACTGCTTGTCGTGATCGTTTTCAGTCTTGCTTATGACTATGATGTAGTTCTCTTCAACCGTTGAGGCCGTTTTTAGATGGTGGTGATGAGGCACGTTTTCAGAAACCACTCAGGGGTTAACTTCGTTTGAAATCGTACAGGATAGTGAAGACTATACCGGATTTATGAAAGCAAAGAGCCTTTCTGGTGAAAAGAATTGCGCAGGTCCGGCATCTACAAACGGCAAAGATTCCGGCATCAAAGTCTCGATTAGCAAATTCTGATGCAAAGTCATCGGAATCTGATTCTGTATTGCTGGTGCAACAACCACGACCACTCAAGAAACATAAGACTGCGGCATCATCAGCACTACCTCCCAGAGAGTCACCCAGCCCTGGAGAAGCTCACAACCAATTTCACGAGCAAGAAGCTCGAGTGGATGCATTTACAAGGCAACCTGACATGCTCTTCATTGTCAGTTTTGATGTGAGGCTGACTTTTGAATGGATTACTATCTATAAGAATAATACATGGGGAGGCATGTCATATATTCTGTCGCATGAATGATTATGAGCGTCCAAGAACAACGTTTGAGTATTCTCTGACTTTGACTAGTACAAAGGTAACCAGTGTTTGAGAAGGAATGTAGAGCTGAGATACTGACATTCTTATGTATATACATATAGTCTCTCCATGCTATACCTTCAACAAATACTATCTAATTATTTTCTTAATGCTTCCAGTTTGGCAAATTGTCGTGCAAGCCTCGATGTCGCCTGCAGAAAAAAGGAAGTAAAAACTGTCAGTAAGCACCACAATTTCCGTTTCGAAGGCACTGAAAGCTACAAACCGTACGTACCTCTTGTTCAGCTTCTTTTTGAATTGCAACTAGATCATCATCATATTCTCCTTCAGCATCCTCACCAAACGTGTCACCAAATGTATCATTGACAAAACCTTGCGATTCACCAAACGATTCATTTTCGTCAACCATTTCATCGTCATCCTCTTCGTCCCGATACGAATCAACCCCAGCCATACCACCAGTTACAAACGGATTATTTCGAACATTCCCACGTCGTCGTAATTCACTCAAATCGCCTCTTGGAAAAGCAGATCTCAATTCAAGAGGGTCTCGAAGTGGTGTAAATCGTATGTCTTGCTGTGTGGATTCATAGTCAGGTTTGAACGGCGTAGACAGGAGTGCTGGTATGGCGTCTGTTGTAGGGGATGGCGGATTATTTGTGGGCATCGTTGCGGAAGTGGTATCGGGATCAATAGATTCGGCATTATCAAACGATGGAAGCTCTACTACATTCATCACAGGTGTGGATGATCGTGGTGTTCCTATGGAAAATCATATTAAGTGACTGGTTTCCTAAGGCGAAAGATGGTACTTTGTCTCACCTTCCATACTAGAAGACAGCGAACCCTTTTTCAGAGCTTCAAGCTGACGAAGCTGTCTTGAAAATCTCGAAACCTAACAGGGCCCGAATGTGAGCGACTAGTCCAATTGCGTAAAGCGGGAGTGCTAGCAATACCGATTTTGCTTCTGCTTCAAACAAGTGAACATCCCCATCACGATATTGCATTTCTTCCAACAACGATGTAGTAGGTGGTGGGACATCAACGTCAACAGGACGGCTGTTTTTTGACTCTTCCTTTTGGACTGGAATTACTTGCTTCTCAGCTCGAGGTTTGCCGACAGAGCCCCGTGGTTCGGCGGCCAGAGTCTTTTGCTGAACTGGTGCTTTGGTAGGTGTAGGTGCAGTTTTCCTAGGCTCTATAGCTTCTCGTCGTGCCTGTAGCATACTTTGCATCTTTGACAGAGTATTTGGAACCTTGTCCAAGCCTACCACTTCAACAAACCTATTTGACGTCCATGATTAGGAAGTCTTGAAGTAGTTTCAAGTAGCATACCCAACCAATTGCAGAACTCACTTTTCAGATTCATCATAATTTGGAAACAGCATAGAATCAACGTTATGGTATGCTTCCATGCCTTTTATACCATCCCAATCCTGATACACTTTCAAGTATTGTGCAGCTTCGGTTGTTCGATCAACCGCTGACGAATCTCCAACAACAGTTGAGGCAGTCATATCCGCATAAGCCAAGCCCATGATGCCATAAACAGTCTTTCGGGCTTGATCATCGAGTGCTTGTCGAGTACCAGCAGCTGTAGATGATCCACGATCTAGATATGGTGCTCGCACTGATCCACGCAATTCGTGAACACATTGGTAATAGTCCGTATCACTCAACAAAGTGGAGTTATTAAAGTATGGTTGTTGTGGATATCTCTACATTCACGAGCAAATCGAGTTAGACATGTACAGAAAAGCATCTAATGAGATGGTCCTTGAAAGGTCCAAGGCAAACTACCTTGCCAAATTTGACGATGAGCGTCCTCCAGAATGACTTTTGACTAGCACTAGGTTGCCATAGTCTCAATATTTCACCAGACAAGAGTGCTTCTCCCATTGATTTGGCACCACTATAGCGCGTACAATGCATGTATCGAGACACCAAGCAAAACAGCAAGTATGCTTCAATGTCTGCAATTGTTGGTCGCGGTAGCCTTGATGCTCTTGCCACAGTAGAATACTAGTGAATGCCAGGTCAATGTTGGAAATTGAACTATCTCATATGTAGCAGCATTTTTTTACCTGTGGATTTTCAGCCAGTCGAGGAAACATTTCTCGAAGCCACTTTCGTACACTGCCATCATGAAGTTGCCAACTAGCAATATTCAGAGTCCTAGCCACACAACGCAGGCGTTAATAAGTCTGCCGACGGACAGAAAAACGCCACGTCCACATGCCTTTCAAAATCCCATGGATCTTCAACAAACACAGACTCGTCAGCAGTCATGAACAAGTCTGCCTTCAGAGCATTCACTATATCAGGCTTCTTCTCAAGCACCAAACGTAAAGATGGAAGCTTGAATTCAGGAGCATCCAAAACAGAATGGGGTGACGTTTCAAACATAACCGCATCTGGCTTATGCGTGTCCAGCCAAGCAGTGGTCATAGACGCCATCATGGGCAACACAATGTGTAGCAATGCGCTGATTCGATCATGAGTTGCTCTAGGTAGTTGTGGGGTTGGCACGTCTACATACAAAGAAGGTCAACATTTCAGCATCAGCAAAAAAGCTGCGTTGGGCAGGATATTAGAATGCTCACATAGTAAACAGGCAAGTGAATCCACGTATATCCTTTGTAGCATGACCCGATGTGATGATGTATCGCTCAGTTGTGTTCGGGCCTCTTGCATGATTCGGATTGAGTTCTCGATATCGAAACGTTGTGATTGTGATGCGTACTCCTACTCAGCGGGAAGAAAGATTGAGGCTATAGCCCAATGCATACGAATTCTTTTTCGCATCCTACCAGCCTGAGCTTGACCCATCTCTTTTTAGCATACTGAGAATCTTTGGATGTTGGAAGATCTGAATCAGATTCTTCCACCAGTGCTCGTAATGCAGCAGTCTCTTCTTGAATATCATATGAGAATTCGCTAAAGCAGAAAAAACATACATTTATATCATGCAAAACAGCGGTCGAAACACACTCCTCCAGTCAACTTACTCTAGCTCATGGCAATGAATTGACAACCATGTAGCTCTAGCGGCGACATACAGATGTTCTTCCAAGAAGACGAGCTGCTCCTCATCGCCTTCTTCATCCAGACCTTTTCGAACATCATCATACGAATCTCGTACAAAGGCCAACCATCTCAAATCATATGAAAAGCATTCTTTTCTTGAATGGATGTATGTCCACGCGCTAAAACCGGAATTTATGAGTCTGACGAATTGCCCTACATGAAGAGCGTAATCTTCAAACCTCTTGTAGTCTCGTGTTTGTAGTATGGTACGTAATAAGAGAATATGAAGTTCTGATCTGCACAAGGTCTCTTGCATTGAAGCTGTTGTCATGATTTCAGCTACAAGTGCTGGGTTCAGAACGCTCTCTAAAAACGAATCGTTCAGCATTGGCGACATACACCATAAAACTGTACCTATTTTGTTACCTGTTAATACGACGGCACTGTAAGCATCCGTCAGGATGTCCAATGCTCCATTTGTATATTGGCCTTGATTCCACAATCGTAACCTGCAACGGGCCAAAAACGATTATGGGTTAATGCCGATTAGGGCGAGATGAATGAGCGATCAATGGGCCGATTATTCGCTAGATGGGCCAGCACCAGCCCTTACGCGCTATCTTAGCGTAAGGGAATTTGATCGCAAGTCACTAACCTTTGTAGCAACTGTATAGCTTTCCCAACATACTCTCCAACAGATCCTACATCTTCAGATTTCTCGGCAATCCTCACACACGTGGCAGAGGCTGATATGAAAAAATGATCAGGCTTGTTGAAAACTTGATCGTCGCTTGATGAAAGGTAGAACTTACCATCCAGAACAAGGTTTTTTGACTGATTTCCAGCAGCCAACAATCTGTGATGAAGTTTAAGCACCTTCTTCATGCAAAGCAACAGAGAGATCCATTGAAAGGTGGGGCTTACTGCTCATATATCTCAACAGCTTCTTTGAGCTTGCCTCCTTCAGCATACAACCTCGCCAAGTTCATGTTTGCCTCGACATTGGTTGGAGATCCCAACAGTAAATTCTTCCAAAACGTTTCGTCTTTGAATGTGTATGGTAGGTCGGCATTGTCCGTTTGTTTCTAGTTCAATGGGGTGAGAACTTAGCATAGAGCGACTAGACCAAAAGGAAGGCATTCATTCAATCATTTTGGATCATTCATTCACTTGTTGAGGTGGTGTCTTGAACCTTGACGGTAGTGCTGGCTCGAATGGTTCACGTTGAAGCCCTGTAGCAAACATTGATGTCTAATTGATATATACAATGTTAATCAGATAGATCCAACAACTAGCAATTAGCAATTCAATGAAGAAAGCATGACATGACACTCTTACCTTATATGAGCTTTCTGAAAGAAACAATCACTGCTTTTTCAACAGTTTTATTATAACTGCGCGATAATTCCATCAGGAGAAACCGTGGGACACATTTAGGGTATGCGAATAACAGATATGATGTTATAAATTTAGCATTTAACTGCTATAATTGGTCCCTGCATGGGTGTTTTGATTTGTCGGAATTCGCGATGTAAAAGGGACGCGTCAACACAGTGATTTTCCCCCATTACCAGATGAGAAGTATATTTTAATCGTGTAAAAATATTCGAATCTAATTTTCTTTCGACGTGATAATCCTTTCTCGACAAGCTAGTCGAAGTTCGAAATTCTAAAGAATACCGGCAATCAATGAACAAGGCAACAAGATGCATGAAGCATCCAGTCAACAGCCTATAATGGATCCATACACGGACGACGATCCCGAGTATAGGGACACCCAGCTCATATCGCCCATCCCTCCTCCAGGCTCCTCATCACGTACCAGTGCTTACTCGTCAACATCAACCAGGAATCTATCATCGTCAACACCATCAGGGGCAGTGCACCGTAATAACGATACTGTGACGCGTCAAAGTCCTTCTTATGATGCTGAAAAAATCACATATCATGCTCAGTCTCCTGAGCCGTCAGCATCACAAACACCAACATTTCGTGTGCTGAAGACACCAATTCCTCATGAGCAGACCTACGAATGGTTGGATGTGCCTGCTACTGCTACTGGAAATGATTGGATGAAGATGAAGGTTGAAAAGGTACGAGAGTGACCTACTGGAATCGAAGTTGGAAGTGAAGATAGTGTGAAGATGGTCATGGTCGTGTGGTTTTGAAGGGTTGAGCTATGTTGTTTGAACCTTGACACCGTCACTTACATCTCTTTCTTGTATCTCTTTTCAGGCTGCTCCCCTCAATTACGGCCAGTTCTCAAATCAAGACATTTTCGAAATGCTCATAGAGCTCAAAGTACGAGGCTTGGATTTAGATTCCTGTTATTAGCTCCAGGCACACTCACATTGTTTCTAACTAATCTCTCTCTCTTTCTCGCTGGTAGAACAAACTAGATCCTCTACCACCGCCCTTCTTCAAACAAGCGAGAATGCTCGCAAACCCATACGAAGCTATTGGCAGATCTATATTCGTGAATAGGGCTGCTGTCAAAATGGCCAATCTCGACGCTCTGTTTGGATTTACTACCGAATTGATCTCTCCAAACAGAGTAGGTTGTATGTGCTGAAAGAACGATGCGAACAAAGCTCTGACGTTTTATTCTTACCTCGTTAGCCGTTCAGATTCGCCGATGTTTGTGCTGGGCCTGGTGGATTCACAGGTAAATATCATGAACTGTCTCTGTGCTCCGTTACGTCAATATCATCATCTATCATTTTACTCGCTTGTTATTAACCTGATTATATTTGTTCATCAGAATACTTGTTGTGGAGGCTCCCACCAGCTTCTGTTGATGTTCGAGGATTTGGAATCACTTTGCGCGATGACACAGACTTTACTCTGGAGCAGTTTGCACCTGAATCTCAAGCTCAACAACGATTCGAACCTATATATGGGCCAGATGACACTGGTGAGACCCCGCATTTCTGTAGGAGAGAACGATATGTCGACCTATTTTATTGTTGCTAGGTGATATCTGCAAGCCAGGAAATATGCGTCACTTTACCCTTCATGTTGATAAAGCAACGGGTGGTGCTGGAGTGGACATGGTTATGGCTGACGGAGTGAGTATAATAGTTAAAACATCATTTTCGTCCAGGCATTAAGTCACGTTTGCCCTCCATCAAGGCATTCAGTGTGGCAGGTGATGAAATATTCCAAGAAGTTCACTGTGGCCGTTTACTGATGTGTGAAGTTGCCATCATGTTCTCGATTTTGAGAAAAGGTGTGATTGCATTGCCAGTAGCTTTATTGCCACAGGCCATTGCTCGAAATCACTGACCTCTCGCTTTTAGGTGGATATTACATGACAAAAGTGTTTGACACTACTACACCCTTTACTGCTGGATTGCTATATATTCTTCATTACTACTTTGAAAGGATATGCATCATCAAGCCATATAGCAGTCGTCCTGGAAACTCTGAAAGGTAGACATTGGTGGCGGGAGAAGTACGGTCGCCATATTGGGGCCATTCAAAGTTGTTTCGTTTTAGATTCGTGGTCTGCAAAGGCTTGAAAGAGCGACGACCAGTACTAGCTATCAATCACTTACTCAAAGTCAATCGGCGTATGATTGAATTATCTGCAGCACAAGACTCGTCAACATCCGATTCAAATTTTACAGTATACAAGGATCAAATTGAATTAGGATTTGAACATGTGTCCCAGCTGGTTGATTCGGATGTGCTTGTCAAGGATAAGCCATTTATGGACTACCTGGAGGGAAGAAATGACATGTGGGTTCTCCCGGAGTTCCAGGTTTCATGTGTATATTGCTCAGTCATCTCACATTTGGCCTTTTGATGATAGGATTGCAACGAAACAAGCCAAAGCACTTGAAGAGCTCATCAAATATGCAGGTGATCCTTCACAACCTGGGTATGATCAATTGGAGATTCGTAAAAGGTGTCTTGCAGAATGGAAGCTGCCCTTCACGGAAGTGAGTACTGCTGCGGAGGGATCCGATACGTAGCGGAGAAAATGCATAGTTTAGTAACATGACAACCACTCGCTCTATTTTGCATCACATATACATAATTTTGCTCCCTTCTCTACCCTTCCATTCTTTCGTCTCTCTTTGTTACGAAAGTGTCAACCTCGGCAACCTTTTACACCATCACCTATAAATCGAGACCACCTGCTGTATAGGACACCATCACCTGCTGATCTAGATAAAGATTGGCGTGATCGTAGTCCTTCCAAGACACCTACAAAGGATCCCATACGAGCTTTTTCCTCATCACCATCCCTTGAGAATCTAGTCGGGTGGATGGCAAGGCGTGGAAGTCGTGAAAGTATTGCAAGTCAAGGAAGTCAAGGAAGAGGAGTCGATTCTCCCTTGAATTGGCGTGGAAGTCGTGAAAGTACTGGAAGTCAAGGAAGCCAAGACGGAGTCGATTCTCCTTTGAACGGGAGAGATCGACTGTGAGGTTTGCGTCGTCTGGTTTTCTATGCAAACGAATCTTTTCTTGTTGTCCTCATATTTGTGCACATATAGCGAGATGTTAGTTACGCGAATGTAACTTAAGAAATACAGATTTTATCTTTGCATCAATACTGTTGTTTATGTATTTATGCTATCTACATCTTATGTGCTTGATTGTTGTTTCTACTTTATGCTATTTGCTTAGTGGTGTTTCTATTCTCTTACAATCAACATCTCTATATCATCATCACCTCTATTGAACCGACTGCTAGCTTGTCTCATCCACGATCTATTGTGCATCATTTGTTGTGGCGTCATATTCCTAGCTTGTATGTTTGCCACTCGATGAGTCTCCGCTGTCTCAACAGCAACCGTCTGCCTCTTCCTCACCCACATCCTAACTAGACGTTCAACAACCACCAGCTCCCACAATACAGCCACTAGCATCTGCGCAAACGCTATTGTAATCAGTTCAAGACGGAAGATACGTGGTAGGCCAGCCCTTAAAGAGAATACGGCGTTCAAGAAATATGCCGATCGAGACTCTGAAGGATACTGGGCAATCATCGTCAACACGGCCGATATGAAGATCATGTAGGCGAGATATGGCAGATTCGTATAGAATGGCTTTCGATATGATGTGGCGACGCTGAATGCTAATGCCACGATTACGTATTGGAAGTGCGTAAACAACCAAGTTACGACGTTCTCTTGTGATGATATGAGGAGCCCGTCGGCAAAGGATACGTCTGTTGGCGGATTTATAAAATAACATGGATATGAGGTTGATATGTCTGCGGATGGATCTACTGGTTGCCAAGTGTCGAGATTTAGTCTTGACAGGGCTATTGATGTTGGGCAAAACCAGGGCTGAATGCGACTGAGTACTGTGACTCCGGCATAGAATAGTACACATATGAGGATTTGGCCTCCGATTGAGGCGAGAATGATGGGTGAGAAGAGGTCTTCTGTTGGGCGATCTGCAATCAAGTGCTTTGCTGGTCCAGTGTATAGCATCAGCAATGCCAAGACCTGCAGAAAAAGCGGAGAAAATTGCATGTTTTTTATCAATGCGCGAAAAAAAGGCTTGCTAAACTTCACAGATTGATTACCAACACTATAGCAAGATCATCGAAGAGATACTGATTGCTGGACAGTGTTGAACCAATTTGATTCAAGCTGGCAGCCATCATCAACTGTATGATAGGATACAATATCATATACTAAGAATTACAACAGGTTGGTTAGCTGCGATTCTTAACTGACGCAGTACATTGTAGTAGTACATCCTGCATGACACCATCTTTCGCGTACCTTGAAAGCAGTGAATGATGTCTCAAGCGCACATCGTCCCTCTGCTAACAGTATTGGTACGTCCTCAATTGACTTATTGGCTGATGTAAACGGTGCAACAATAGATGCTTCGGCATTTGATAATGCGATTCCAATATCAGCAGCTTTGAGCATTCCTAAATTGAATTTTAACATATCAGATAACGGGCAAAAGAGCCTCACATTGAGTCGTACTATTACCACAATCATTGGTACCATCACCACAAGCACCAACAGACATTCCAAGACTTTGCATTTGCTCAACAATCCAGCTCTTTTGCATTGGTTTGGCTCTTGCAAACACTTTCGTATTGCGTATAAGCCATAATAATGTATTCTTGTCTAGTCCTTTGATAGCCATTTCTAGAGCACTTCCAGTCATGACAATACTAGGTGGCTTGAGCAACTCTCCACAGACTTTGGAGATATCTTCCAAAGGACTTGTTGGTGATAAATTACCATCAAACATGGACTCTTCATCACGACCAAGATGATTTGGCAATAAGTTCACGACTGGGTGGAAGACGGCCCGACCATGTTTGACATCAGCCAACAAGACGTCGTCAAATATCATTTTCAATTCACGAGCTACGTGTATAGCTGTATCTGCATTATCACCGGTTATGATTACTGATTTTATCTGTGCGTTGTCTAGAGTTTTTAGGATTTTTGATGCTTCCTTCTTGATGGGATTGTCAAACATTATAAATCCGACGAATTTCATATCATGTTCTATGCACCTTCGATCGTCTATGGCGTCGTTCAGTGATACGTCCTTCTCAGCCAGTGCTAAAACATAGAGACCCATCGAAGCATACTGCTGATACACGACATGATAATCAGACGGAATAGTTGATGGTCTACATATTGGTCGAATAGCTTCCGGCGAACCTTTAGCACTAGCAAAACATCTTGCAGACGCAGACTCGATACAAACTACAGACATTCGTTGTAGTGCTGCATCAAAGTCATGTCGTTGAATAATATGAATTGCGTTTCGAAGAGATGAAGTAGTTGGATGATCTTCAAATGGATTGGCTGTTGCTTCGACAATGGCTGATTCTGACTCGGTTGATGTAGTTGCAGAGTAGCACGTGGCCAATACGACACGACCTTGTACTTCTTTTACGTTCTCTACGTCCTGTTTTAAGCTCCAGCTCGTAGCTTTAAACATCTCCAAATCAACGCTATGACCAACTAACTTTTCTTGGACGAGATTCACGTTATGACAAGTAATCATGACTCGTTCCATGTCTCCAGCTGTTGCTTTTACTGACGTCTCGAGAGCACTGAAGGCTGAATCTTGCGCTCTGGCAAGTCCAGCAAATCTTAGTGCTGATGCAGTTAGAGTGCCAGTCTTGTCCCAACAAAAAGTGTTGATTCGTCCAGCATAATTCACTCTCTCCGGGTTGATGCAAAATATTTGCTTTGCTTTCAGCCTGGTCATCGAAAACCCGATACCTGAGAATTTGAGAGTATGAGTCTTTCAAAAGCGGAGGAAGCTCAAACAACATCATCGCCAAATTTTTTAAAAGGTTACCAATAGTCAATACAACCGGAAGTGCTGGAGGAACTATGAGATGAAACCAATATAAGTATTCGCGTTAACTCCATGAAATTAACATTGCGTTAACTCCATGAGACTTTTCGAAAGCCAACCTGCTATGGTGATCAAATCGAGAGATGATAGCAGAGCTTGACCAAATGTCCGTCCATCTGTAAGCCTACAATTTTAAATAAAGATCATCGTGAGTGGATTATCGGTTTACCACGTTCTCATCAACACTTACGCATCAACGAGACGATTGAGGAAGGAAATCAATGCCACGACACCCAATATCATCATAAATTGATACGAGTCACGATTGAATTTGAAATCCATTGGTTTCGGAAACAAGATGGTTCGAAACATTTCTCCTCTCGTTGAAGAGAACCCTGTAGCAACAACAATAGCTAATGCTCCCATCTCCAATCCAACACTGCTCTTCTTCACTTGAACTATGGTCGAGCCTCCAAATAAAGTATGGTTTTTCTGCTTTTCGGACGTGTAGATATCACCATTAGGATGGAATTGAGGTAGCGGTGACTTTACGACTGGTACTGTCTCTCCAGTTAGAGAAGACTCGTCTGCTACTACCTCTCCCTCTACTACTACCATATCACACACAACACGTGTATCTATTGAGCTCAACACGACCAAATCTCCTGTGACGAGGTCACTCGAGTCGACTTCACAGTGGACTCCATCGCGAACGACTATAGCTACATGTCTTTGCTCGATCATGTTTCTCATATCCCCTTCATTCATTTTGGCCGAGCGGATTTCCCATATGATGCTGGCTGTGCTCATGGCGACAATCAGAGTGGCATAGGTGATGTAGTTCCCATAAAACCCTATGTATATTTTGTCTCAAAAGTGTATTTGTTTTGTTGTTAAATTGGTACTCGATCTGACGCTTACAGATGATCGCGGAAGCAATTTGGAACTGGTAGAAAGGATGGAGAATCTTGTCTTGTATCATCCTATTGGCGGAAACAGAGGCTTTTTAGCAAAGTTGCAACCAACTTATTTTTCTGCAAAACATATCACGTAGTATACGCCTCGACTCCGCAACAAAAATTGGAACATGTCAAAGTACCTGTGTATGGGGACTGACTCTATTTCGATCGTGTTTGATCCATCTTGGAGGTAGCGAGTGGCGACCTCGTCAGACGTGAGTCCAGTCTTCATTGAATGCACTGTTTCAAATGCAACCCGAAGTTGCGACACATGTCTCTGTGTATGAATGAGAGCCAATTAATACATATTTCATACCAAAAGTTCAAATTGGGTGCCATTGCCTACCGTATAGCACCCCAGTTGCTCAGACCAGTAATATTTCTGTTTGCGATACTCAAACCAGCGATATAGCTCTGTTGTAGCCTGTTGCTTTCCATACTGATCTACATCAACAATTCTTTCCAGCTGGACCGTGTGTGTCTTGACTTCATGAAACTGCCCTTTAGATCCTTCCAGTAAGATGTACTCTGCGTCTCGAAAGGAAGAGACAGGGATCCGATTTAGAAATACATGGAAGCGTGGCCGCCATTTACAGATGACTGTCAATACGGGGAAGGAGATGAAGGAGAGGACATGGAAAAGTATTTCTTTTGATGTTGATCGTTTGAAGGCTTGCAGATTGAGGAACTCGGGAGGTAGAAGGGAGTTATGGGTGGTCGGTATGGCCGTATGAGGAGATTCATCTTCATATCGTGCGTTTTCCTCATCAAAGTCAGCCATGGCCACGATGCGTGTTATTTGTTAGGAGGCAAAAGGTGATCGAGTTGAGGTATGACGCCTGTATTATGCAGACCTATCTAGTAAGGAATGTGATCATTGATTTGAATGTGAACGCCGCCACTGCTGATGTCGAGCTGGTATTGGCCAATGTGATTGACAACTAATCAGAACAAACACCGTTGGATTGATCCCAACTCCCTACATTCAAGACCACTCGGATGCAGCCATTTGGACGCGTACCCAGTCTTATTTGTGCTGATCCTGCTACTTTAGTCACGTAGAACGGTGAGCCTCGGAAGGACATGATGCTTTTTGTGTATCATCATCTGGTGTCTCTTCCACAACGTCATCCATCGAACTTGACCAAGGCAATCGCTCATCTCTCAAGTCGAAAGGAACGCATCTCAGTCCTAAAGTATAGGAAAATACCGTTGACAAGTCCTATAGCATAAAAAGTCATGGCTCAAAAACCAATGAGTGTGAAACAAGCTCATGACTTCCTCACCAAACCTGGAGGCATCTTTGAGCTAGAGACCGTGATCACCAACGGCGTACAATGTAAAAGCTTCAAGGGTGCATTCAAGACCTTGAGGGACATGTGGGAGTCTACAAGAGTATGTAATGTTGTTTCTCAATTGTTGGGTCAAGTTTCAGACGAAAGCGGATTGGAACTGAGACCGCAAGGACTCTTCGCCCTTGGAAACTGCATCAGGAATTGAGAACATGGCTCAATCGCTGACCAATTACCCTATTTGACCCGTTTTAGAAATTCGCTGATAGAGAGTATCTGGTATATGAAGATGAGAGATTGACATACGCCGAAGCCCATGCTGAAGTGGCAAGAATCGCCAATGTACTAGTAAACCAACTGAGCGTCAAGAAGGGGGATCGTGTGGGAATCATCATGCGCAACTATCCTGAATGGCTACTGTGCTTTTGGGCTGTACACTCTATAGGAGGAGTCACGTCCCTCATAAATTCCTGGCTTACTGGTCCTGAAGAAGAATACTGTCTTGAGGATTCGGCGTGTGTCATCGCTCTTGTAGACGAGGAGAGGGCTACTGTGTTGGAACCTCATTTGAGCAGTTTGAAATTAAAAGGCTTGAAATCCGTTGTAGTGTGTAGAGGAAATCCTAGAAATGGAATGGCGCATTTGCCCACATTGTTGGCATCAGTGCCCAAGATTGTGTCGGCTCCATATGTGGACATTGGACCAGAAGATGAGGCTATAATCATGTATTCTTCTGGAACCAGGTTCGTAGCTATCATAGTCTTTCGTCACTTTCACAGTTGTTTCAACCAGCTCATCCTGCACCACAAATGTTTCTAGTGGAAAGCCAAAGGGCTGCTTGAGTGTGCAAAAAGCCATAGGCGCCAATCAAATCAACTATATATTACCAGCCATGCGAAATCTTTTGAGACAAGGGCTCCCTCTGCCATCTGGTCCTGCTGCAGCCAAATCCGTGTTGGTATCTTCTCCATTGTTTCACGTACGTGTTATAGCCTCGTTTCGCATCTTAGATACGAACCTGAACCTTCAAACTCAATTATATCAAATTAGCTTCAAGGAATCTCTCCTGTCGTAGGTCAAACAATAAATGGCAATAGACTAGTGCTCTTGTTCAAGTGGGACCCTACAAAGGCACTGCAACTTATCGAAAAAGAACGAATCAATCGATGCTCTTGTGTTCCAGCAGTTATGTGGCAACGTGAGTATGCTTTGAAAATCTTAAACGTCTTAACGACTGCTAAATTAATTTCATTTCTCCCTAAACAGTCTTAGAACATCCCGATTTCGACAAGTACGATTTATCGAGTTGGGAAAATGCTACAGTCGGAGGTGCTGCAGTTCCAGGTGATTTAGTTCGAGCCATGGCCCAAAAGCTACCCCGTGCCCCAGTTGCCACAGGCTACGGACAATCCGAAATCACTGGAACCCTTTCATCAAATGTTGGATATGATTATGAACGTAAACCGACGTCTGTCGGGCTTCCTTCTCCAACAACCGAAGTTCGTATAGTCGACCCAGATACACTCAAAGACGTTGCAGAAGGCCAAGTGGGTGAGATTTGGTGTAAATGTGCACATGCAATGAAGGAGTATCTGAATCGACCTGATGCGACTGCTGAAACCATACAGCCTGGCAACTGGGTCAGAACGGGCGATCTCGGCTACGTTGATGACGAGGGCTTCGTTTTTATTGTTGATCGTATTAAAGATGTTGTGAATCGTGGTGGTGAAAAGGCATTCTCAACAGGTATGGCGAACGTGCCGATATATTCGCGCCGCTGTGCTGACCAATGCCTCGGTTAACCATGCAATAGAAATTGAGGGAAGACTGTATGAACACCCGTCAGTGATAGACGCCGCAGTGTTTCCTATGCCGCATCCAACTCTAGGAGAGGAAGTGATTGCATCAGTGCAAGTCAATCCAAACAAAGCTGCCGTAACTCAACAAGAGTTGAAGGATTGGACAAAGCAGACATTGGCTTATTTCAAGGTGCCAGTATATATAGATATAGGCACTGAACCGCTAATTAGGAATGCTAATGGTAAGATACTGAAAAAGGACATCGCTCCTGGTGTAATCGCCAAGGCAAAGGCTGCTCTTGGTGCAAAATTGTAGGTGGAGCAGTCGAATAGAAGAGTAGACGTAATATGAACCCAAAGCCCGGGCTAAGTTTTCAGCTCAATATGCTTGCATTCAAGTCGGATACATGTCCGGATTTATTCGTAGGAATTACACGCCAAAAATAACATTTGTCCACACCTTGTTTCGCGTTGACGCCCATTGAAGTGATGTTGGCGGTGTTTGCTGACGTGCGTGTCAGTTTAGAAAACCCCATTTCTTTGCTCAAAGAAAACCGGTTGGGGCATTAAAGTTCGCAAGAGTTTCATTAGGAAAAGCAAGTAAGCAAATACAGTAGCCTTTGTTACATGATTTGCACAATCCTCCAATACTTACGAAGCTCACTTCCACCTCTTTGTTCAGAAGCAACTTGTCGAAAGCCCAAGGCAGCAGATATGTCGCATGGCAAACACAGAACATCTGTATCCAATGCACAGCAGCACGACGAGACAAGACTGCCGCCATCTCCTGGTAAAAGCGCCTCTCGTCGATCCTCTGTAACAGACATAAGTGGACGAACAACTCCAGACAAATCACAACATCAATCACGGTCACCAACTCCAGTACGATCTCCCTCTCATAAAGGCAATGGCCACGACTCGAATACTGATAGCAAACCAACTCTTCTCGTCAACGAACCCGCCACCACGAGATTCCACAACCTCTGGGTCAGATCAATGACAACCTTGTTGATGGTCGGGGGTTTCATCGCAGTTATACTGGCGGGACACTCAAAAGTCATCTTCCTCGTCGCATTTGTACAGACTCTGGTATATAGAGAAGTCATCTCCATTGCGGCAGTCACGCCTCGTGAAAAAAAGCTGCCTTGGATGAGAGCTATAAATTGGTACTTTTTGATTTCGACAAACTACTTCTTATATGGAGAGTCCATTATACATTACTTCCGAAACACTATATATACGCCAGCTTACTGGACGCTTCTGGGACCGCTCGCTAAACACCACAGGTTTATATCATTTGCATTGTATTGTGGAGGATTTGTGTGGTTTGTCATGAATTTGCGAACGCACCACTACAAGTAAGTGAAGCTGAGTGGACATTTAGTCGAGCATCTCATGCAAGAGGGAGTGTGTCTGTTGCAAGATATCACTGCGGAGACCTTTTCGATTTTTTTTGTGCTCGAGTTTGTCGTCCAGCTGTAACTAACCCACCCCAAACAATCTTAGATTCCAGATACAAGCATTCGGATGGACACATATGACGTTACTACTAGTAGTCGTCCAATCTCACTTTATCATAAACAACATTCTCGAAGGCCTCATATGGTTTGTATTACCCGTATCTCTAGTCATTGTCAACGATATAGCAGCATACGTATGTGGATTCCTGTGGGGACGAACACCACTGATATCTCTATCACCGAAAAAGACTTGGGAGGGCTTCATTGGTGCCTTTATAATCACATTTATATTCGGATTTTGGTTTTCTGGCTACCTGACCCAATTCGGGTATCTCGTATGTCCAGCCCGTGATTTGCAGACTACATCATTATCAGGATTGAACTGTACTCGAAATTCCGTGTTTTTGGAACATAGTTGGGTATTGTCAGAGACTGCTGTAGGTGCCTTGGACATGGTGTATAGTAAACTTGGACGAGAAACACCCACAGTCATATCATATTACCCTGTACAGCTACATACAGTCATGCTGTCTTGCTTTGCTAGTCTGATTGCTCCTTTTGGAGGCTTTTTTGCTTCAGGGGTCAAGAGGGCATTCAAAATCAAGGACTTTGGTGATTCTATACCAGGTCATGGTGGGATTACTGATCGTATGGGTGGGTGTTTGGCTGACTGTGTTTTGTGAATGATGTGTCGATTATATGTGAAAGAGCGGAGAAAAGTGAAATGTCATTCCATCTGACACGTTTCCATGATTTAGATTGTCAATTCCTCATGGGTCTCTTCAGCTACATGTATTATCAGTCCTTCATATCACCATCCAGTATCACTGTGGGAGCAGCTCTTCGTATGATTGCGACCCTGAAGCCACATCAGCAAATAAGAATTTATCAGGAATTAGGTGCTCAGTTAACGGCACGTGGATTGCTTCAATAGTGAAGAAGTTGGTTTCATACGTGGCAAGAGTAGTTGTAGTTGCATAGTTGGTTTTGCTCTGTATATAAAACATCACACTTTTCTGATGCACAAACAAAGGCTCATGGTTTGGCTATGTTCAGATACTTGAGCGCGCGATTTATCGTTCAAGTTCCTCGTATACCGCGCCTTCTAAAAGGTTGATGCTTACGGATTTGGGGCGTGTTCGAAGAAAATTGTAGGATGAGAAATGTTGATAGCCATGAAGTATAACCAAAGCAGCTCTAGGAGACATTGAGTATCCAAGGTGGCAGCATGCAAGAATAAAATGTAGTTGACTTTACAAAAGTGGGAATCCTAACATCGACATGTGCAAAAAGCTAACTTGCGGCAATCCTGTAAAATCGACGTATGCAACCGCATGCAATTCACCAACAGCACCCTCACTCAAGGAAGATCCAACAGAATGGAGATATCTGCCTAGCAGCAGGTTCGGTGTTGGTCGACATTCCGACCATCGGCGACTTTCAGGTTTGACATATGGGATCCAATCAGAACAGCAACCCGATTTCCACCGTTAGTCGACTTGTTCAGAGCCATCATAGCAACCTACTGGTAGTGCTGAATTTATAACGATGAATTCTATGCGGGCTATAGTAGGGATTGCATTGATCAATGCGGCTGCCGCTCTTGTTTCGCAGACAAATGTTGTTGGGATGTGGGGTGGCAATGTCAAGACTGGAACCATTTTAGATATCGGTAAGGCTATGGAATAAAGTGATATGGCGATAGGATGGCGTTCTCGTATTTGCAAAACTCATGAGGACTTTTCCGGCAAAGATTCCGGCTAAGAATGAATTTGGAAATTGTTAAAACATATCCCTAACGACACTGATTTTAGGTACCGCCAACGCACCAAGCATTATCATTACTCCCTCTATTCAAGGAAACTTGATTTCGGGAACCTTTTCCAGTTTGAGATTATTAGCAAACTTTACCACATGCTCGACCATTTCGATTGATCCATACGAATTCTATTCTCTGACTGGCTCCGATGTGGCTGGAGCTGGACCATGGACTGTACCTTGGACTGTTGATGTAGGAACGTGGGCGTATGGAGTGCCATGTGCTGCGGTACTGTTCTATGCTGAATTAAATGGGACGCAGACCTCCGATGGTCAAGCATTCCAGTATCAGTCGGCTCCTGTTACTGTTTCGATTCAATTCCCAGCTCAAGTGACTGCTTCTGTGGGAACGAGTCTTGCTGTTGGAACATCTGCAACACTTTCGTAAGTCCATCCGACATTTTCAAAAGAATGTATTTCCTAACACAAAACCAACATAACAGGGTCTCTGGTAATGCTTCAATGTATCCAGCTTGGTACGCAACGAAGTACGCTGTCTCCGTCTCTCCTCCCTGCTCGGCGAATGGTGTAGCAACGACTCTAGCAAGTGGGATCGACAATGGCCAAACATTCTTATTGGATGCTTCCAAAGTCATCCCTGGAAGTGCATGCCCACTCACAGTCTCATGGAATGACGGATCTGGAAATCTTGCCTTGACGAGTTACAACACTACTGTTACTTTACTCGCGGGAAGCAACACTGTACCAACCAGCACACAATCACAAGGAGGTGTTGCTAGTGCGACCTTGGTACCAGCTGCCTCAAGTCAACTTTCACAGCAACAGAAAACAAGCGACTTTATTACCTTGACTGTAAACTCAAACACGGACTTGTCTGTATCGGTTGATTCTAATATTCAGGCTTACTCGCGGTGGTACACTATCGCCACAATAGTCGTTGTTGTCGTTTGTGGGGTCTTTGGTGTATGGGGGACTGCCGCATCAGGAGGTGGCCCAATCACTCCTGATTATGTTGCATTGTGGAAGGTTATGAGCTTTGCTGCAACCACGGGCATGTTAGGAGTCACGCTTCCAGTTTTCTGTAAGAAATTCAACCAGGTTACCAGTATTTGCAGCTTCAAACTCACTGAGTTCGTTTGGTAATTTTAGATGCTGATTACACTGACATCTTCCAATGGGCTTCTTGCACCTTTTCATTTTCATTCGTCAATGATATGATCACCAACCTTATACCCGCACCATCTCAAGACTATTCTCCATCTGGGGTTTTATTCAGACGTGATGGCGCTTCTGCTTTCTCGGCACCAACTCAAATCAACTATTCGCTGGTAATTTGTTCTTCAATATAAGATTGAGAATACTTGGTTCTCACAAAATCTGAATTTGCAGGCTCGTTGGGCTTCATTAGTGGGTGTGGCTCCTGAAAGACTCTTCTTTACAACATTTATTGGAATCCTGTTGGTCGCTGCCTTTATCGCTGGAGTTTATGTCATATTGAGAATCGTTACTGGATGTGTCGCTAGTCGCAAAATTGCTGACTTGAACCGGCGCTTTGGTGGAATCTTTATTTTGTACTTTGCCGTCTTACATCAGCAATTGACTGCTGTGTCTCTCTATCAAGTAAGCCTTTTGCACGTCTTTCCAATCGCTATAGTTATTCACTCAACTTCTTTTCGTTAGAACACGATGAGCGGCAACCCTATGTGGCTATCATTCCTGGCAGGAGCTGTCTTTGTATTGATGCTGGTCCTTCCAGCAGTCTTCATATTCACATTTGTCAGGAAGACAACGCTTAACTTCCTCACCCCAGACAACCATTCCGAAAACTCAACCATGAAGAAGCACGGTGTTCGATACTTTGTGTTCCGTAAATGGCCTGCCAAGATGAGTGGTATCGTCTTTCTCAAGAGTTTTGCTACTGGTGTAGTACTTGCTCTCCTGGGTCGTAATCCAATCACACAAATGGGAGTCCTCGTTGGATTTGAGGTTGCATGGTTTTTGCTAGTCGTGATTGCATCACCATACAAGACCCCCCTCGAAAACAGATTACAATCCGATATTACGTTAGTGTATGTTGGAGCATTGGTGCTTTTACTCGTCCAGCATGCAGGAACATTCACTTTGGGTGTACGTGATACCATCAGTCTAGCTGCCATGGTTTTATCAGCTGCTGCTATTGCCGTGTTGATAATTTGGGGACTCATTTCCGTCATTGCTCGATTCTGGCAACTACGATCTGACAAGAAGAAGAGTTTTGAAGTAGAGCTAAAGAGCAAGAAGAGACAAAACAACGGCCGTGTGGCTCCTATAGATACAACTATCAGCAGTCCACGATCGGCTCTTACTACACCTACTTCTCGTAAGAGGGGTAAATTGTCATCTGCGGTAAGCTCAAGTTCACACTAAGTGTTTTTTGAGAGGGAAGAACGCGTTATAACATTCATAATATTTTCATAAAACAGGTTTCCCCTACCAAAGTCCCAGAGTCAGCAGTACCGACCCTAACAGTAACCTCACCACCAATATGGAACCCATTCACAAGTCCCACCAACACGCTCGCCTCCTTCCTATACAGATCTAAGTCAACTAGGTCCCAAAAATCCATGGCACCGACACTAGTGTCGTATGTACCATCACTACAAGAACAACCAGAAGTTGTGGCACTAGAAGAACGAGCACAATCTCCTCAAAAGCCAAGGAGTCCATCATTGAGCGAGTCTCTATCTCCAACCTTCTTCAAGTTGCTGGAAGACAATGTTTCTGAGCCCCCACGATCGCAACCTGTTACGAGATCAAACTCCAAGAACGTCAAGTTCATGTAAATGATTTTATTCCTGCACTGATGATTATGTACAGAGTGTAGAAACATTCCTTGGGTAATAGAAAAATATCTGTCGAAAACTCGTCTAGTGCAAAGTGAACGTTTAGTAAGATGAATTGTTCTGAGAATTTGCAGAGGTTTAGCTTACGCGGTCGCTCTCAGGTAGCCACCAGAACACGAATTTCTACATATAATCTAGTAGTTCTGTAGCGCAGCTGGACTTGTTTTAGTACAAACTATCACTTACTTTGGTGTATTCATCAATTTGTTGCTGATCTTGGAGAAAGATTTAGGTTGGCCACCTTCGGAAGCTACAGTTAAATCAATTTTAATACGATATTCGCGAACTGGAGCAAACAGCATTGTTGTCGTTCGCGAGCTTCGAAGGAAGACAAAAACGTTTGCCAATCAGCAATTTGAAAAAAACAAAGAGACGAGATTCCCACGTCATTAGGCAACATTGGTCTAAGCAAAGGAGGGGACAATATTTTTCAGAGGATGGCACCGACTCCACGCAGTACTTCTCTAGTGCCAGACATTGATCCATGGCAGGACGAGGCTCCAGAACCGTTGGTGCTTACAATTTCCACTCCAGTTCTTGCTACTCCCAGAGCTTCTGTGTCAAACGAATGGGGTCATGCTACCTCTAGCTGGGATGCCGGATCCGATCGCCATGAACTTGACGAGCACCACAAGTCCAGTACACGGTCATCACATCGCAATTCTGTCGCTTCAATATCGAGCAATGGAAGCCATAAAGCTTCCAGTGTCAAGACTGGAATCGCGAGTAATCAAGATGTATGGTCATCTCAGCACTCGAGATCTCCGCCGATATCGCCTGAAAGTCAAAAGAGTCCAACCTGGAATACCGCAAACTCGAAAACTGGTGAATCTGGCCATTACGTAGAGCCTGTTGCTGCTGCTGCCCCTGTTGCCGCACCACTGACTACCCATGCTGCTCCCAAAATCAGAATGCCAGCTGATAGTGATGATGAAGATGATGTTCCAGCTGGGATCTCTGCTTGGTTTGTTATTGTGCAGCAGAAACCTTAACGTTTCAACAGAAACAAACAGGCTAACAAGAGCTTTATCTCGACAGGCGACCTTCGGTAGACTGGAGAAATACTGAAGCTGAACTCGCGACAAACAAAGCGTCTGGAAACGAAAAAACGTTTCGGTCGAATTGGTCGTGGTCGAAAAAGGAGGAAGCAAAGAGATTGGAATCTATTAATACTGCTGCCGCTGCTAATGATAGAATGTCTCGATCGGAACCTGAGCCGGTTCGGTCGCCGTACGAGTATCAGCAACAGCAGTATCAACAGCAACAGTATCAGCAACAACAGTATCAGCTACAACAGCCGAATGAGACATATCAGTCAATTACTCGTAAATCAGAGCCGAAAAGGCCCGAGATTCCCAGACCCATGCAGCCGAAATTCGGTGTTGGATTTGGATCGTCTAAAAAATCTAGTAGCAATTCATCGGCATCCACACCAGCTGCCCCAACACCATTATCGCCAGTGAATATAAAGCCAGCTGCAGCTCCAGTAGTGCGTACTGAAGACAGCAAACGCTTCTCCAACAATAGTGCCAAATCACCGCAGGATAGAGAGCCTGAGGTACATGGTGTAAAACGTGTGTCGTCTGAAGAGTGGCAAGAAGACGATGCCGAAGAATCGGAGCAAGATTGGGAGGAAGATTCACGAGTATCGTCGGTTAATGGAAAGGTTGCTGTTGCTGAAGAATCTATACCTGATTGGTTTGCTAATGGCGGTTCTCCCCCGACTAACGATTGGACTGACGTGGAATCTCCTACAACCGGTAAACTCAAACCTAGTAACAGTAGCAGGAAGGACGATTATGTTGATACAACAGCTATTGCTACTCCAACCATCTTAAATCCAAGTCCAATGACTTCACCATTAGTGCCTAATGGGCTGACATCACCGACAAATCCAACAGCAAGCATATCTCCATCGCATTTTCAAGATCTTTTAGAACCCGGCTTTTTAGGAATACCGTCAACTACCACTTTTGCGTCTACGATGAGCTCGGGCCCTATGCCTTCAGCAGAAGATATAGATAGGCTTTTTGGAACAATTTACACAGAAGATGTAAAGCCGAAACAGCCTGAACCTGTTATAAATGTAGTGAAAAAGGATGTCAAGAAACCCTCACTCAAAAACCAACAACAAACTGCTACACCTCCTATCACACCCATAGTGAGTCCCAAGAAGGGGTCTCCTAATAATAGCAATAGTCAGCTACTAGTATCTCTATCATCAGATAATGCAGACGATGAAGCGACTCTAGTCAGTCCAACATCCATTGGACGTGACCACCCCGAATACCTGAGCATATATCATGCGCTGCCAATCTTCCAAGTTGTGGCATCTAGTGCTTCTCATGCACCCGCAAAAGGAGCAGTTCTGGGCGCTCTAGCTAGAAGTGCAGCAACGCTGTCGTCGATCAAGGGTGAAGTCATACCTAAATCTAGACGAGGCGATGGCGGTATTCGTCAAGTATTTTGTACTTTTATTTCTGATGAAGGAGTGCAGCATGCGCAAGGACATCTGCCTGCATCGGTTGTTGTAGAGTCGCTTCTGAAATCGGATGTCAAGGTACGCAAAGATTTGTTTGTACTTCTATGGCGAAAAAAAATTCCCGTATTTAAGCCCACTAACTGACTGGAACGATAGGTCTCGGATCAGAGCATGCTTACTGCCATCCAAACCAAACTCTCGTCCAGTCACTCGTTATGCTCGGGTAGACCTGGTATCTTGTTCCTAGACACTCCTCGTGGATTCAATGACCCTGCTCCGTCAGGCACACTGCAATCCATAGCATACCGACCATTGCGTCTGCCCATTATACTAGTAGGTGGCAACGATGTCTCATCTATAATATCAACATATGAATCCGGTCGTATCCGAGGATACGATGTGGTGGCAATCTTAATCGAGGATGTAAACGAGTCCGTACTGGAAGTCGTTGAGCAGAATGTAGATGGAGGAGTCATTGTAGAATGTTTCCCACCAATGCCAACACTATCATCGAGCATTATTAAAACTACTGACAATGATGATTTGACGACAAGTATTGACGATGAAGCAACCGAGAAAGAGACTAAATGGGCGGCAGCTGTTGGTGATATTGCTGATGTAGTGGTAGCAGATTTGATAGCAGGCCATTGTCGTCGAGTTGAAAATCTATCTGATTTAGCTGAACGTGGACGTAGACGATTGTGGTGGCCTAATATACAGCACATGACGTTAGGCCACGTAATTGGCATTGAATCCGAAATGGATCAAGGAATAATCAGTTATAAAGCCCCAACAAAGGACGAATCTGCTCAAGATGTCACCAGTCCAACTGGTACATCGACATTCTGGCTGGACGCTACTGCTGGTGGCCGAATGACATGGACGTCAGCCAATCATCGATTAGCATTATCGCTTGCTTCTGCTGCATCTCGGTATGGGTCTACGGCTTTATCAGCTGCTACTACGGAACCCGCTGTAGTCTTGGCTGAAAAGTTGGCGTGGAGTGTTGGTAAACAGTGGTCGTCTAGAGTGTTTTATACGGATAGTGGTAAAGATGCTATTGAAGTGGGATTGAAGATGGCTATACGCTATTATGAATCTATCAATCGTGAAGAACGGTGGGCTCGTGATGATGTCTGGAATGGGACATGGGAAGTTATCGGTATCGTTGGTGGTGGTGTTAATGATTCGGCGGCTCCTAGTATATTGAATCGTCGTGATAACTGGTGAGTATTCAAGTCGCTCAAGAAAGTTGCTCCGTTGTAGCAAAAAACCCTCTCTGTCATAGACAGTATTAATGCCAACCTTCAAACGTGTTTTTTAGGTATACCGGTCGTGGTCATTGGTTTAATGCTCCGTATATTGTATACAAGGACGGCAAATACCATGTCCGTATCCCTGCCGAAGTGTCTCTGAAGGTCGTACGACCAGACTCTTTAATCTTTGATTCTGTGGACGATGTCTTCAAAATCAGTCGTGATAACAGTATTTTGATGGCCTTGTATCTCCAAGTAAGTTTAAATCTTGATGCACGTCTTCGTGATTGCACAAGTACCCAATAGCCTTTTTTTTAGCACATTCATCGAGAGCTATCCCACCTTGCGGCCAGGGGCAGACGCTTTGGCGCCCTTTTGATTCCATCAGTACTAGTACAGAGCACAGATTCTAGTATGAAGGTCATTGACCCGCTATTCCAGCGTGCCCTGGCACGAGCAGTACGATCTTCTGATCGCAACCATTTCAATCGAGGAACAAGTCTGCCCGTAGTCATGGACGAAACCTTTTCTGGCTTGTACAGATTAGGAGTTCGTAGTGGATGGGAATGGATTGATGTGAAACCTGATGTATTGTGTTTGGGAAACACGTTGGGATTTATGGGTGCGGTTTTGGCTAGTCGGGAAGTGTTCAAGTCGTTTACTGGTGTTGCTGAGATTGCGCTATATGTGGCTCAGAATTATGCTGTGAGTTATGATGTATTTGTGTAGTGCAATTTTTTTCGCTCACTACCTCTTTGTTCCAAACCATAGGGAAATCCCGTATCATGTCAAATGGCACTAGCCAACTTGGCCGATCTATCACGTAGTCCCATGTGGGATGATCGAACTGAACGATTCAAACAGTTTTGGGATGCAGAGGACATTGCTCGATTGTCTAAACTGCCTATTGTGGAAGGTGCTGTTGGTGTAGGGACTGTACTTGTCGTCCATTTCAATCCGGTTGATGATCAAAATGGTAAGAGTGTTTGAATTGTGTAAGAGTGGCTACAAAATCTCATCGCATCTGCTTTCACATAGTTTTGGCGTCTATCGTCGCAGCCAGACTGAGAGATGAACGTATCATTGCTGATGTGGCACCGTTTGGTGTTTCCCTAATTGTGAATCCCAGCTCTAGTAAAGATGTTGCCAAGAGCCTCGTTGTTGGGCTGTACAGAGCTCTTCAAAAGTGCATATAATTTTTGTGGAAACAGTAGAACGGTAGAAGTATAAACGTAAAATAATATATATAACTGTGAATTGTCGGTAATCTCGTCTTTGTCGTGTCATCCTCGCACATTTACAAACGTACAAGTGGCGACATGCCTCCAGCAACATCCCCGACTCGTAAATTTGTTGCATCAGCAGCATCACTGTCTAGTCTCTCTAATATAAAGGGTGGATCGTTCGGAACGAATAAATCCCTTGGTTCTCTGGCAAACTTGTCATCAAAGTATCCTAGACAAGATAAAAGTGCTGAGATCGAGGCTGCAAAGGCTAAAGGTATGTGCTGGATCTATCGTGAATCTATCGAGAACTATGGCTGCTTCACTCTTCTATTGCCACAACCGTGTCCATTCCTTGTCATTAACATTTTGTTTTCGCATTTCAGAGTTACTTTTGAGTGCACCACGAGAGCCGTCAACGGTTGGATTGCTCAAGTCTTTTATTTCTGTCAAGTAAAATGATATATTTGGTACTTGTTAGTATTGTACGGTTTGTCGCTGACTTGCATACTAACGCTAGACAAACATCTGAGATCTTTGTGGTTTGTTTCTCTCCCGATGCCAAGTATTTAACTGTAGGCCTTGGTAACTCTAGTATACAGGTACATGGAAAAGCATGGAATTGTAAAGTGACTACGTGAGGGCTGACTTCTCTTTCGTCAAATAGGTGTATTCAACGCAAACGAACGCATTGGAGAGAACGTTGACTCCTCCATCGGCTGACCTGGAGATATGCATTACGTCGATATCGTTCAGGCCCGATCGACCTAATAGTAAAACAAAGAATGTGCTGGCTGCTACATGTGTGCATGTCGTCTCCGCTCGTTTATCTCTGTTTCCTTTACGTTTTTGTTAACGATATTATTATTAGATGCCGATGGAAGACTAATTCACTGGCATTACACTTCTGGACAGTTACTTTCTGTAGTCACAGAACCCGGAAACGAATCATTGCTTTACGTCACGTATCGAGCAGATGGTAGTCAATATGCAACCTCTGGATCAGACGCGCTAGTGAGGATTCATGATGCCGCTACACAGAAAGTAACGTCACGACTTGAACTAGGGTATGTACCAAACATCAGGCTCAAAAAACAACGCCAGCACCGCATGTGATCATAACACGACACTCACAAACTCAATATACTTAGAACACCGAGTGTGACAACAGGACACAACAGTCGCGTATTCTCTGTCAAGTTCCATCCAACAGATCCAAATATGCTGTGTTCTGGTGGTTGGGACAATACAATCCAGATGTGGGATGTACGATTGCAGTCGTCTGTAAGATCTATATTCGGACCACATTTGTGTGGTGATGCTCTGGATTTGACTGATGACGGGACGACGATTGTTACTGGTAGTTATCGACGAACTGAGGCATTACAGGTATATGAATGGTGAATTTACTTACTGGTTTTGCCATGCTGATGTTTGAGATCCAAAGTGTTTTGAGCTGAAGTGCCTTGTGACAAATAGTTATGGAATTGGGCTGATGGCTCATTGCAAGAATCGGTACCGTGGACTTTAATTGATGGTGCACCAACGACAAAACTGTACAAGACACAATTTAGTCACAGTACAAGTTCGTCACCTCTACGAGGATTCGCAGACAAGAATCGATTCATGCTTGGAGCTGGAGGAGGGCCAAATGCTTGTGAATTACGAATGTTTAACACACAGTCCAAACGAGTGAGCACATAGTGTCCTCCGTTTCAGGTTATTTTGGCTGAGCTTTTTACTATCTATAGTGTGTCGGTATCGCTCAAGGATTTACTTCTTCGCTATACTCGTGCACTATATCGAATGATGAGAAATTCGTGGCTTTGGGAGGTGGAGATAGTACATTATACGTTTATGAGGTTGACATGCTTGCTCCAATCGACTTTCCTTATTGAAGATCGTCTACGAGCTGTATCAATCGGATGTCAGATTGCTGGAAAATAAACGATAAGAGTTTTAAGTATTTGATAGAAATCTTTCCCTTGAGCTTGTGTGTGCTTAGTTGTTGAACGATTGGGATATCCAAGACCAGAGGAAGTGCCCAGTACCAGCCACAATTATATATATAACAACCCATGAACAATTTTCAAACACTTGATACCGGTAGAAGGACGATTCAAAACCGCATCACGAATAGATCTCCATCAAGATATTTCAATGTTGAAAATGCAATAGGCAACCGCAAGGGCCAAACGCTTGGAAGGGGAAGTTTGAATACAGAGAAAAAGCTTTTTATTGTTTCAGCAAAGAAGGATTAAAAACTAATCCTTCTCTTGACCAGTTGTGGGCTACCACTTGCCCTTGTATTCGTGGTCGTCTTCGTAGATCTTGTATTCTTTTTCGAATTTGAGATCCTTAACGTCAAAGTGGTGTGGTTCCTTGTATTCGAGTTTGCTTTCACATTCACATTCGACAGGGACTAAGTGGGGAAGAGTTACGATTTATGAGACTTGGTCATTCGTTGAAGACGGATGGAAGGGTAAAAGCATACGTACTCGTGATGTAGATGACCTTGTAGTGGGCAGGGCAAGTGATGTGCTTGGCGTATACACCTTCGTGGCCTAGTTCGAAGCCATCTGCATTGTAGAGGGTAGAAATGAGGGTAGTTGTTGCCAAATGAAGTGTCAAAATGTGCGAAAGGGAGGGAGTTGAAAGGCGCTTGCAGTATACCTTCGTAGAAGTTCTTGCCGTGGTGTCCATTGCCATAGAAGTCACGCTCATAGCCATCGTGGCCATCAAAGTCACCGTAGAATTCTTCATAGCCACCATACTTCTTGCCATATCCAAGACCCTTGCCATGGTAGTCTCGTCCATAGCCATCGTAGCCTTGTTCATATCCATCTTTGCCACCATAGTAGCCCTTATGGTCACCATCGTAGTATTCTTCAAAGATTTCTTTCTTGACGACTTCAATGACTTTTCCGTCGTTATGTCCGTTCTTGTATCCGCCGTCGTAGGCTGGAGCAGCGAGGACTGAAGTGGCAGTAAGTAGAGCGATGGCAATCTATAATTAGAGATTGCAAATAGAAGAGTGTGAGATACATGGTCAGAAAACGTCGTCAAATGAGGAGTAATGTCAAGAGTAGAGACGACAAAATGGATCTGTTGAGGTATGCTGAATACCCATTGCTAACCTTTGATAGCATGTTGTCTTTGGTACAATGTATGATGGTTCGGATAGTACAGTGTTGATGAGAGGTGAACGTACAGACTTTGGGTGAACGCTAGTGGAACTGGCGCTTTTAAGAGGATCCCAACCTTTCAACTTGAACTGAGCCGCCTGACCTTGAAGTCGGCTGTCCAGTCAAGATAAGACTGACAGCAGGCGACGTCAAGAGCAGAGTGCAAGGAAGGTCTCTAATGAAAGACTGCAGACGCATCTCTCGGTTCACAAAAGGGCGGTTGTCCTGCGTTTCCGTGCAATGAAACAGCCGCAAGTCAAACCTCTCAAATTGACGCAAGGTTTGACTGCCGACTTCAGCGCATGATTGGCGATGTCAAAAGTGACACAAAAAGAACTTCAAAAAGAAGCCAATGTTTCCTCATCCATTCTCAACACCTTCTCATACAAAATACTCTTCAAGCAATCAAACCACCAAGAACAGAATATGTTGTCTAAGGTACTGTGCTTTCATCACCGCAATGATCACTTACGTTCATCGACACCTATCATTCGAGAACGTCTTAACTTCGAAATCTCACAACCTAACCTTATGTACCAGATCTTCTTCACTGTATTGGCTGCCTCCTCTGCCATCGTATCTGTCTTAGCAGATGCCAAGTACTACGGCGATGATGGCTACTACAAAGACGACTACTACCGGGATGACGGCTACTACAAGGATGACTACTACCACAGGTCTCCAAAGGTCGTCGAAAAGGAGGTCATCATTGAAAAATTCTTGCCTCACGAACGTATTGAACACTATGGTCCATACGTTGACGTCTTGGAAAAGGAGGCTGCCTTCAAGAGCATGAAGTACCCTGAAGTCGTCTACCCCAAGGTCGCTCAAAAGGAAGAATGTAGGTCAAATGACACTTTAGAAATTATCGTGGTATTATATTGTGTCCAAAACTGTCATCGTCGAATGTCACTAGCACATTTGAATTTTGACACTCTAAATGGTCATATAGTCAATGAAGGCCACCTAGAAGTCAAATACTTGGAAAAATACCCACCAAAACCACAAGGAGCCATTATCTTCCCTTCAGAATATGCCAAATACGAAACACACTCTGAAGGCCCACACGGTAAGCTTGACTGTTGGCTATAGGCAGTCAGTTAATTGTCGGCAGTTTCCGACTTGAGCTTAACAACCTGCATCATTAAATCTCCAATGGACGATTCAGCTTATCTTATCCATTTTAAATAGTTCCCCACTTCAAGCCACGAAAAATCTATGCTGATGTCTTTGAAAAGCAATTTGGTATCAATCTAGTCTCTGACAGCTGCTTCAGTCATATCTTGATTCAGCCGCCCTCAAACACTCTTCTTCACTCTTAGTCTGCCCCAAGTTTGAGAAGGTTGTCTACGTCACCATTCCTGGCAAGTGTACTTGTGAACCAATCAACGTACACCCAAAGATCATCAAGGCTCCTAAATTAATTCACGATGGCAAGCACTTTGATGGTCATGATGACTATTATGGTCACGACGAAGAAGTCACCACCATCACGGAATTCAAAGAAGTCAAGATCATCAAGGAAGATGACAAGAAATGGTGGTACGTCTCCGCGATTGATTTGCTTGTTCCGTTTGCTGTTTAACGAGTTTAGACCAATTCCGATTGAACTAGATCGGTGATTATGACGGTATGATCTATAGAGATATAGATCTCACTTCTATACGCACAAATAAAAAGTATTCACCATACCTCATTTGTCTTATGCGTACGTCTTACATTTTGTGCACGATACCTCACTTCATAATCGAGTTCAACAGCGTATTCGAGGTTGTAATCTCGAGAAGAGACAGACTGTCAGAAACATAATTTTACGATAATACCTACCTCGACATAATCAAAGAGAAATCCTCCCCTCGTGCTATCGTGCGAAAATCGGATGAGCAAATTGATGTATCCGATTTTCGCGTCAAACACGCTTGTAGTTGAGATCTGAGAAGAGCCTACGGTCTATGGTAATATGAAATTCGGTATCTGAGTCGAGATGAACTACACCACATGTCCTCTACACCGTGAAATCTCCAAAACTCAAAACCAGATGCAACACACTTACTGCTAATTCCAGGACAGTTGGATAGAATATGAGCTCATCCGGAACGACCAATCCATTTTTACAGCCTAATATCAGTGGCTCTAGGTCTCCCAATAATCCCTTCCTCGCTCATGTCGAATCCAATCCATTTGAAGATCCAAACTCACAGCTCACTCCAGGAGGAAGCACCAGTACCAGCAGTCTGCCAATTGGAAATCCAGGTGCAAACTGGCAGCAATTTGTAGCTGGAAGTGTCGGATCTCCTCAGGAAATCACTTACCAGCGACAACCAACATTCTCATCCAACGTAGGATCCTTGCTCACGTCTAGCTTGTCCCAGAACAATCCTCCCGCAGTCACGCCCCAAAGTAATCGAAATAATAGTGACTCGCCCTACTATCAGTCTCCTCGATCTTCGGCGGGGTCTGCAGGAGCAGCTTCTCCATTGGACGATATGCTATTATTGAAAGTCACGGATTCTCAGATAGATGTAAATAAGCCAGACTCGTTGCTTGATTACAAGCCAGCGCTCCCAGCTCGTAGGCCGACAATTGGAGCTCCGGCACTGGCACCTCGTCCCAGTGAAAGTCCCAGACGTGACTCTCTCTCAGCAGCAACCAGACCCTCAACGCCATCGCGTTCGGTATCACCATCAGTAAGCAGTATATTAAGTGACCAACAAGCCCCGCCGCTTCCAGCTAGGCCGTCGATAAAACAAATGGCACCACCACCTTCAATCACGACTAGTAATAATCCATTCATAAATCCGTTTGTTTCGCCTTCTCTCGATACTTCTCCCGAAAGAATAGCTAGGTTGAAACATCAACCCATCCAAATCCACACGCCACAAGCTGATTCTATAAACCGTAGACCACCAGAATTAGAACAGGGACCTGTAGAAGTGCAGCATAAGGGAAGCGTTCGATGTTTTTGTATTTCTGGGACTACCCTGTGTACAGGGACTCAAAATCTTAGGATTTTCAATGTATCTACAGGCGAGAATACTCGCACCAACACCTTGGGTGATTCAAAGCCCATTTGCATGTCTTTTCTGACAAGTCGACAGCCCAGTGACGAAGGACGATTTGTTTGGGTGTCGGTGGAAAGTCCCAAGGCAACCGCCGAGAAGGGAGAGTTGTTTTGTGTTGACGTTAAAACAGGCGAGACTGTTGAGCGACGCGTAGCTCACTCGGCTACTGTTACTCACATTCTGAGGTCTGCAAAGACTCATATGTGGACTATAGATGATAACGGAGGATTGAAGATATGGGGTGAAGATAAGAGCGGGCCTGGGGGTGTGATATCACTCCTGACCTCAAAACCTCAATCGCTTCGTATCAGCAGCAGGCAGGCTGTCGCTCACCTAGCTCACGGCTGCCTCTGGACCGCACAGCATAGAGTAATAGAGTGTTACAATCCTTTGAGCGACGCATTCCAGCAGAGATACGATGCTGGACCATCAATAGGCTCCGTTACAGCATTAGCCAGCACTTCACTACCTCAGTACGTATTCTCATCTCACGATGACGGCAAGGTGTTAATATGGGATAACTTGGAACGAACAGGTCGCCTACGGATTGTAAATATTAGTTTATACCGTATTACAGCTTTGACTGGTGTCGGCGACCGATTTTTGTGGTTGTCTTTATCCACGGGAAAGATGCAAGTGTATGATTTCGGAGACAATGCCACTTCCAGCAACTGGAACCATGTCAAAGATTGGAATGGGTCTCATATTACGGAATTGACTGTAGATGAGCCTTGTCATTTAGAAACTGGTCGTCTTCATGTTGTGTCAATGTCAGAACATGGAGTTATGAAGATGTGGGATGGGTTGCTTACTAGAGATTTTTACGGTAAATTTTAATTACTCTTCTTTCTCCCATTTCGTGTTAATTTATAAATTCATGCACAGATCGAGAGATGATAAATCGTGAACCACAATTTTGTACATACAAGGATATCAAGTTTTTCGTCGGAAGCTTCAACCTAGATGCAGCAAAACCAGACTCGCTAGACGAAGGCAGAAATCAAGACACTGGCTTTCTGTCTGAATGGCTGTCGACTGTGAATAACCCCGACTTTATAGTTATTGGACTACAAGAAATAATTGATCTAGAGAGCACGAAAGCAAATGCTAGTGAGTTGCTGCCCTCTTTTTAAAGTCTGCTTCATTCGCTGACGAGTACATTCATCTTTCGCAGAAAAGTTCCTTCAAGGTTCGAAAACCTCAAACGAAAAGAAGAATCAAGACCATAGATTTATGCTTTGGCAGAAACGACTCGTGACATCAGTGCGAGAGTGTATACCAGATCGAGTATACAATCTCGTACAATGTAATGTGCTTGTTGGTCTGTTTCAGGCAGTTTTCGTTGCAGATTCGGAAGTCTCACGCCTCAGGCGAGTGTTATTTTGTTTGCAGGTCCAGCCGGCTATTTCTGATCATCTAGTTTCTGTAACATTTTAGAGATGTCGAAGTGCAGTTAGTCAAGACAGGTCTCGGCGGTGTTTACGGCAACAAGGGTGCCATCGCATCTCGGCTGATATTCGATGATAGTTCCTTTTGTTTTGTGAACTGCCATTTAGCTGCCCACACTGCAAATCTAGCAGGTCGGAACGCTGATATTGCCAACATCATCAAGGATTGTAATTTTATGCCCAGACCGTTCTATGACAACACGTGGGTTAACGGAGGAGATGGTAGTAACTTGCTGGACCACGATGTGGTCGTTTGGTCGGGCGATTTGAACTTTAGGCTGGATACGTTGGGTAGAGAGCAAGTTTTGAGTTTGATTGAGAGGCGAGAGTGGAATCTGTTACAGGTAATGCAATTTACGGCGGTAATTTGCATCACCAAATCAAGACTAATTTTTCCGGTTGGTAGCAACATGATCAACTGATACGGCAAGCTCATTCTACTGCATTCCCGTTGCGAATGCTGAAAGAAGGCGCGTTGGACTTTCCTCCGTGAGTTGTCCTATACTGGTTTGTTTTTGGAGCCACGTTATCTGACTGCGCCAGTTCACTTCAATTTAGAACCTTCAAATATGATCGCAACTCGACAATGTACGATTCCTCAGACAAGAAGCGTGTGCCTGCGTGGTGTGATCGCATTCTGTACCGTGGGAGTACATTATCTCAAACTTCATATCAGCGATACGAGTGTCTCGTATCTGATCACCGTCCTATCGGAAGTGGATTTGTCACAAAAGTTAAGAAGATGAATATGCCCGTTAGAGCTGACGTGGCTCGTCAAGTTCGAATATTGGTGGAAGAAAACTTTAACAGGATACTGCAGGTTCGTAGATACGTCGCGATGGCTTTTTTTTTCGCGTTTGCATTTTCCTCACCATATGTTCTTTAGACCGCTCGAGAAGATTGGCTCACCAGCATAACAGGAAATAGAGCATTGGCACGAAAGATTCTGATGGAATCCAAATCCTTACGACAAGCGAGAGAAATTGCACAGACCTCATTACCACAGTCATCATAGTATAGCAGTAGAAATACTTTGTATATTGAATGCACCGCATGTCTCATAACTACATTTTATCTTACTGTCCTCACATCTACATTGTATCACACTGAAATTCAAATCTGCAAGACTGAATGCAATCGTGCAATTGTTGCATCATCGAATTGTACATTGTCATTTGACAGGCATACTTTGAAGATATCCAAGACGAGCGACTTGCAATTTTCCTGTATAAATTAAAGTAATCCATTTTAGGTTTAAACATTAAATCCCGAGAGGAGAGACACGCGACACTACTTACAGGAACATTTCGTTTCATTTGCGACAACAATGTATCCGCCATGCCAGGCATAGCATCATGACCAAGGTCTTGACGCAGAATATGAATGACTTTAACACATTCTGTAGCAACATCAGACCATCGATTTTGTGTCAAGGGAGTCATAAGACTTTGCAACCATTGTTCAGATATAGTCTTTTTCAAGTCTGGTACTTTGGCTTGACATACTTGATCTGAAGTTGTCATCAAGGATTGTAAAAGCTTCATCTAGAGGATTGACAGAAAATGTAAGAACGGGCTAGATCATGGAACACTCTGAATTGCGGGCTTACAGTTTCACACATGACTCTACGACGAGGAGCTACAGAAAAGGGCTTGTGTTGAGTAAACGTGCAAAAGAACCTCCAGCCTACTTCATAATGAGAGCAGGTACTCACTGTCATTGGAAGCCAAGTTGTTTTCAATACACAACAAGAAATCCTTATTTGCCAACATTGCCAACCAAGGCTTTCTAAACTCGTTCATCATGGCCTTCGGTTCATTGGAAGCTCGACACTTTGACAAGAGACGATCAATTGTTTCAACATGCATCCGAAGAGTCTGCATACACTTTTCTCGCAATATCGTGTTCTTGTTCCAACTGCAGTAGAAAAGAAGGTCAGCGAAAAAAAAACCGCCAACACCGCTCTGCGGGGATGATCACGATCATACCTTGCAACATTCAATAACTCTGGAACAGCCACAATTTCTGGAATGTCACCTCCTCTGATGATGCGATCCAATCTAGAGATGCAAGGATTTGGATTGGTGGGTGAATCCTTGAGGAGTCGAACCAATTCCTATTTTTCATAAGGGCCGTGAGTTCGTGACAACTCAATCAAAATTGGCATGTCCTACATCTTCAGGAGGTGGAGGAGGCTTCTTTGGACTCGCAACGAGTTTCGTTTGATGATATCTAAGTGGACAGTCTGTGCGTGAGAATCACAAGATGGTTTCAGCGTCGTTTTTGCTCACCGTTTTGGCGATGCGATAACACGCCGTAACAGGTACTCATATTCTGGCTTGAGATAGTACTTGACTTTCTAGCGAGTTCCCAAAAAGTGTTGGTTACATGGCCCTGCAGCAAAAAAAGGATTTCTCCGTTCAACTTACAGCATCTCCAGTACGTTGCTCGCGTTCAGTCAGCTCCTTTATCTTCTTTTCCAAAGCACTGTTGCTCAATGGCAAATCAGGAGCTTGCTTTCGAATTTCTTCAACCTGCACTGATAGCTTTGAAGCGTTGCCCTGAACAATCTGTTAACAAAAAGAACAAAAATGTTGACTAGGAGACTCACAACACAACAAATGTTCAAAGCAGTTTTTGGAGGAAACCTACTGGAGCCATAAGTCGCAAGATTTCATCGGTAAACGTCGGTTTACCCTTCCATTTTGATGCTTCAGACCAGTCGATGGGATCATCAAGTGGAACTTCGTATGGATCAATTGGAAAGTTGCCTAAACGAAAAACAATGAGTTTCCGGAAAGGGAAAAGGAGGAGCTCGAAGCTGGTAATTACCATTATAAGCAAAGTATTGACACTCCTTCAGAAGCGCATGACATGGCGAGTCATCTGCACCTTCAAAGAACAGTCCAATGATGACAGGTACAAGAGGCTCGAGCTTGCGTTTAGTTGGAGCAGCTTCTGCGGTACCTATCAGAAACCAAACAGGTCAGATTTCGTCCAGCTGACGTTCTAGACTATTTTGTCCGTACTTGGTATACGTTCATCAGTAGCCCCTTCATCATCAGACAAGTGACCATCTGGCACCAGCCATCCCTGTTTATCAAAGCGTCAACTATGCGAATTCGGCAATAAGAAAACTTTGCAATAACGAATTCTTCACCTCTTCGCTGACTTGAGAGCCGGCTTCAGACGCCAAATCATCTTCCTCTTCCTCATCACTACGACATTCTTCACCATCTTCGTCTTGTTCCCATTCAGCTTCCGAATCATTTTCATAGTCTAAAATGTCAACCTTTGTGAATGGTCGACGACCAACGCTCTTTGACTTTTTTGACCACGTTCCTTTTTGAAGAACAAAAACTTCGATGAATATAAACCGTCACTATTTCTGCCCAAAATTCTGAATTACCCCAATATGCAGGTCTCGTATCCTCGTGGAACTGCAGTAATTTCCAATGCAGTCCACGAATCTTTGACAGTGGATCTCCTTCCGTGATACTAGCATCCACATCAAACAAGTTCATGACCACTGGATCTTCTTTGGGAGTTTGGGCTGTTTTCTTGAATGAAATCTGGGGTGGTCGTAACTCCTTCTTTACATCAGTGATGGAAACTATTTTTCCAGATTGAGTCACAAGGTTTTCTACATCCAACTATCGTCACAACCCAACTTACGTTCATATTCCTTCGAAAACAGGGAAGCCATGAATCCTTTTCCAACTGGACCTTCATACCAATTGTATGGTGCAACGAAGACATGTTCCTTGACATGGAATGGTACAAACGGTATAACAGCTACATTGTCAAGTGCTGATTGTGAGAACAACAAAATGGTTCGTTGGAAAGAAGTCCTACCTTGGACGACGGAAGCAGCATCAGGTTTAACAGGCTTGGGAGTGTCCTTCTTTGGACCGGGTGTAAAGAAGCTAGCCAGTGTAGTCTGACCCTAAGTAGATAAAGATTAATAAATGTTGGAATGGAACAATTTTCAACTCGAGGAACCTTCTTGGCTGGCGCATCCTATTGATTGAATGATTGAGCATCAGCGAAAATTCGAAGTAGCAGGTTACGCTTTTTTTAATCTTACCTTGGACTTCTTGGTTGGAGCAGCCTTGGCCTTTTTCGGCTCTGGCTTGAATTCTGCATCCTGTTGAGAATACTTACGTAGTCAGCCTCACGCCAACAAAACGTCGTTACTTGTATGAATTGACGGTACTCACAGCTTTGGCGACGTTGACTTTGGCAGGAGATGCTTCTGCATCTCCTGCGGGATCACTTCCACTTGGTCCAGCTCCTGATTCATCAACAGGCTCTTCTTGAGCGATTTCGGCAGCCTGAAATTTCAGAGAGTATAGAAGAACAATAATTCAGTAATCGCCGCCAAAAAAAATTGTGGACTCTCGAATACCTTGCGTTTCTTCTTGCCAGGTGTTTTCTTTGTTGACTTGGCAGGCTCAGCACTTTTCGACGTTAATGCATGAGGCTCATCAAGCTCTACTACAGGATCGTCTTCAAGTATGATAGGTGTACTTTCTGGCGCGGATGAAGATACCACATCAGCTGGCGCTGATTCTGTTGGTGTTAAGGAGACTGTTGCTGCTGCTACTGATAGAGTTTCCACCACTGCTGCTGATGAAGATGCTGCAATCACTGATGAAGATTCTGCGCCTGCTGCTTCTGCGGCTGCTGCAGGTACCAATGGAGCAGCTTTGGTTGCTGCTGCTGGTGTCGTCGACGACGAAGCTGCTGTTGACGATGAGGATGTTGCCACTGAAGCAGCAGCTGCTGCAGCTCCCTTCTTTGGTTTGGTAACAAACAGCAAATCTTGTTCTCCTTGTGGCATTGCAGCAATGAGAGTGCGCAGAGCTTCCTTGGCCTAACAACAAGCACATTAGAAGAGAAAACAGTAACAAAGCCTGCCCACATAGTCTGACCTCGACTCGCACAGCTCTCCTTGGAACGATGGTATCCCTCAAATCACCGAGTAAATCTAAATCATTGACTTCCCATCTGTAAATTGCCAAATTCTATGGGACAGGTCTAACTGAGTTTTCTACTGGTGGATAATGTAAACGGGAGCAAAGATCTTACGGCTATCGCTACTCCGTCCTTTTCCATTCCATAGTTTGTTCTTGTGGCAATAACTGAGATTTCCTTCTTAATTTGGCCAGCTGAAAGTATGGGTTCTGCGCCTAGTTGAAATAATAAATTGAGAAGTCGTTTTCCCCCTTTCAGAGTCTAATTGTTCACGTTACCATCTGCATCGAATTCACAGAGTTTTTTGTGAATATTGGTCGCCAACGAAGCAACTGTCAATTCACTAGATGGAGAAGCAAGTTAAATAATTGATCAAAGAGCGGGCGAATACCAGGCATTCTTTACCTATCTTGCACCAATTTCGCGAGGAGGGGATGACATTGAGCAGGGAAGGCATCCAGTTTGGTCTTTTGAGTCTTCTTGAGCTCATGAAAGGCGACAATATCTAGTTCGGGTGCACGATAAGCGAATGCATTTCTGCGAGCACCACCTCTTTTCTGCTTGCATACCTGCAGCAGTACTTGGATGAGACGACAAGTCCAATTTCTTTTCATTGAAGACCACCTTGTTCTTCTTCAGCGATACCAAGGCCTAAATCGTGCAAATATTGGATCAAGAGATTTACAAAATCGATGGGAATGGAGCCGAGGATATCTTACAGCTTGTGGTGCATCATGACCTAAACATTTGTGAAATACATGAGCACGAGTGATCATGATCTTGGCTCAATGATGGACTGATACCTGTCTTGGCCTTCTTTCGCAAATTTTGAGTAGATTTGGGCGTGGCTTCTATAAGGGGTTGTTGTGGGATCAATAGTTGACATATTGTGTGCCTTCAGCTTTACGACGAAGGGCCGGGTTCTGATTCTAAATATGATTCTAAATATGAAGATCTTATATCAAGTAACCAACGCGACATACCACTAGTAGGAGCATCTAAACAGCAACAAAAACAGTGAATACTTGAACAGTAGTTGTCAAACACAGGTCATTGTGGGGGTACAGTACCATCTTTATCAGTGGGAGAATCCTTCCTCTTCTTCTTGTCAGGCTGACCGTCTTGATTTACTATAAGAGGGAATAGATCTAAGTAAGGCTGCGCTTCCACATTCACAAATCTGATTTGTTCACCATGTTGCATGTCAATGTCGCCATTCCCGTCTAACAAGATGGAAGGATTCATATCAGTATATAGCGAAATATTCCAGATCAAACATCCAAGTATGGGCGATTCGCTTTACCAATGGTGATGGTAGCTTCAGGTGCTGCTTGCTTTGGAGTGTCTTCATCGCTGACTACAATGACAGTCTCATCGGTTGCCATATTTACTAGCAGCAACACACGATCGCAGTTATATTGACTATGGCCGAGTTGGGTGCTAGATTTGTTTTTGAATCGTGATGTTTCTGCATGTTTGGACAAGCGAATCAATAGAGTGGGCAACGGAGAGGTAGGAGGGGATTTTGGACGCGATGTTTCGGTATCCTATGTAGTTCTGATATATTGGACACGTGCTAACGCATTGATCTCTACGTGATTACTAAATTTTGCCTTGTAACTGCACGAAATCGACTACAAGTGAGGAAATAGGCCGATTCGAGGTCAGTTTCCTTTCGATCGCTCATGGACGACACCAATAATGGAGAACTGAAAAGCTGATTTCTGTATACTGCCATTTCTTCGGTCGATACTTCAATCCGACCTTCCAAACATTTAAACTCAGACCCACAAAAAAAACCATACAGCTTATAAAACACCCAAAGCTTCTCGAAACTCTGGACATATGGAGTTGCTAAAACCATCTGCACTGGAACGGTTACTGCCAGCCGGACGGTTTGCCATCTCTTCGCCTCTGAACGAATCCCTGCCGGTCTCGATACAAGTCATCTATGAAACAGTGGATTGTAGCGGCTCAATTACCAGTATATATTATAACCAACTCTCGAGCGCCGACAAACCCTGCGCCCCATCAAATTGCACAGTCACTTCGAGCTTGGGTTGCAACAATACGGCCAGTCGCAATTTTTGCTTCGACACGCCATTCAACCCAACTACTTATGCCACCTCCTTGCTTGGAAGCACCCCGTACCTTGGCGTAGCTCTGTACAGTTTGGACTCAGGTACCTCAAGCGCTTTTTTCAAGAGTCAATGTTGGGATTGTGTGCTGATGGATATGTTGTTTTTTCGTCGCTCATCACCTTTCTTCATTCGACCAGGTTGTGCTGGATTTACGTCGGCAATATACACTGCAATAGGAGGGTGCCAATGTGATGCATCATGTGAGTCTCTTGCCTGAGCTCAAGAATGAGAGCGCCACTAACCTTTTTGTCTGATCTAGTTTTCTCGGAAGCATATGTATCCAATTCCAATGGATCTGTTACCGAATTGGATTACTCTACAGGAGACTGTACAGGTCCAGCAACAGGAACAGATCTTTCACCATTCCTCTATGACTCTACGATCATGGGTGTATGTCAAAACAGCTCACTCGGAGACTACTTTGAATTCTTCACATCAACCTCGGCGTTTACCGGAAGCTTTATGTCTACAACCATGAATGCAACCGTCACAACACCGAGTCCATCTCCATCATCATCCTCCGCTTCCACAAGTAGCAATGGTGCAATAATTGGTGGTGGAAGCAAGACCCCTGTGGCTGCAATAGTAGGCGGAACTTTGGCAGCATTGGTTGTACTAGTGATTGTCTTTGTGTAAGTCACAGACACGAAACACTTAAGTGTCCTTGATTCTGACAATTATTCCTGCTACAGGCTTTTGTGGAGACGTAGAGCCATTCAGCAACGCTCTGATAAATTAATGGCCGGCACATCAAAAAGTCAAACGGCACCTGTACCGGTACCAATAGCACCTGTCGCTCTCACAGACACTAAAGCTAGCGCTCCGTCTATGGAGGCTGCAGGAGCGATACCAATATCACAGGAAGCCGATCTGTCGTGGAGGCCCGTCGTACTAGGTGAGGATCCTACTGCACCAAATAGACGCTTCATCCCACCTCCCGTTATACCATCAACACCGGGCCAGTATCGCGAAGAGTTTGTCGCTGTTTCGTAAGTACACGCCTTTTGGATTCCAAGGGTCTCAGCATTAAATCTTTTTTTCTAGGGCATTCTCGGCTGATCCCTCCATCTCTCAATATCTACCATTGTCACCTGGTGATCGAGTTATAGTGATTCAAGTGACTAACGATGGGTGGGCATGGGCAGTGAACTTGAACTACGATCCTAACCACAGCGGTCTAGTGCCACTTGATCATATTCAAGCGGTCCCTACCAGAACCGTGTCCTAAAAATAAGCTCTGATACATCTCGAACTCGGAAACCTGCTTGTCCTTCTTGTCTTCAATCTGTAAACTGTAAATGCAAAACTAGAATAGATTATTAACGACCTCGAAACAATATGGGCCTAGATGCAACAATATGGGCCTAGATGCTCGACTACTTTGAAACAAACATATGGCTTTTTTAACAGTTTTATTATAACCGCTGGATAACTCATATGGTGAATCTCGTTGGCACTAGAAGTTCTCAATTTGTGTTTTCTGTCGTACTAGCCTAGCGGTCGGTCTTCTTTAAATCTATATAGTCAAAGCTATCAATAAATAGAGGCGATTCTACCTTTTCTGCGTTTGTCTTTTCGTTGCCCATTCAACGCATTCACCAATACTCAAAACATCCAGAAAAACTCCTCGCCGAACATGTCCGGAGAAAATGTCAAGAAAACGCGACGAGGAAAACGCGGAGGCAAGCAGAAGAAGGCTAAGGAGGAAATAGTCCAAGATCGCAAACGCAGAAAAGTGGAAGAGGTAAACTCCAAAAAGTTGACTTTGCAAAAAAAAAAATTAGTTTGTATTGATTTCATGTTTCAGGAGGACAATGTAGTGCAAGATCCCTCTAATAAACCAGCTCCAGTTACCGATACCGCTGCCTCTTTCCCCGCAGTCAACTTCACATCGACCACAGCACCAACATCTGATCAACCAAATGACTTCTGGCTTGTCAAGCCGGATCTACGACATTACTTGACTAGTATAGAACGCACCATACAGCAGGAGTTTGCTGAAAACTCGGAAGCTGATGATGAAGGTGTGCTATCTCATTGTGTTGGTCGAGCCTCATGAATATGTCGATAGTACTGAACCAGCTTTTTTTCCTACAACCTAGACCGACAATTGCTACTCAACAATGCATTCAAGGAAATGAAGGACAGTGAAAAGGAAATTGCTGCTGATGCGGAATGCTCTCGGATCTTGGAAGCGATATTGGACGTGTCCAATGATGAATTGATTGAGGCTACTTTTGTCGCCCTTCAACCAAAGTAAATCGAGCAAACCATGTAGACCTATCAAGACGATCTAACACAAATGTTTTACACGCAGTTTCATGGATTTGGCCCGACATCGTATAGCTTCTCATGTCTTGCAGAAGCTTATTACTCTATTGGGAAAGATGGGTTCTCGACAGGTACCAAAAGAAGCAAAGATTCAATGCGTCTTAATGTGTCAACGTATGATTAATCGCTTTCAATTGTATTAGGATGAGCCTAGACCAGATGTCCTTTTGAATTTCTGCAAGGTACCAAAAATTGAAACTAAAGTTGGCAGTGCGTATCCCTCCGTTATTAACTTGTGCTCCACAACTGCTCTACCAATTAGACGTTTTCAGCGGATTCATATGGCCTCGTGGCCGACATATACGGCACACACGTATTGCGAACCTTACTCGCAGTCTTGTCAGGGAGCATACAAGAGTTAGCAGAAGCAGATCACCGAAAACAAAGATATCCTGATCGTCGACATGACGATGAAGCTAATTCGAGTAGTAGAGACAGATCACAGGCACGTGTTGCGTCTTTCAACAATAAGTATTTTCGAAATTCTTTTTTTTTTGCTTACACACTGTGGCCGACTTTAAAACCAGGCTGGCGCAATACCACAACCATCAACAGGACGCTCACTAGTTCCAAAGGAGTTTACGGAAGCCTTTCAAACTCTATGTATCACCATGATTGAAAAGTTTGAGACGATAGATTTACAAAAGTTGGTGTTTGATCGTGTTGCAAACCCAACTTTACAGGTTGGATTGATCGTTTCCTGTTTGTAGACGTGTAACTAATTTTCCAATCATGTCATGGTTTCCTGTAGTTGTGTCTCGTGAATGAGCATACAAGTCTTCCGTTTCTCGAAAAGCTTTTCAATATCTCTGATTGTAAGTCATGTAGCAGCATTGGCAGTCTCTTTTTCGCTTTTGGTCTCACTCTCTCGTTTTGTTTCAACAAAAGGGTCAACAACTATTGCTGGTTCTCAGAATGCCTTCTTGATGGAATTGTTGAAGCATCCTATTGGCTCGAGATTGGTTGAGCGACTCATCATGGTATGAGTGTATGAGTGTTAAGTCGTTCAAGGAAATCGCTTGTTTTTGCTCACACCTCTCTTGTTTTTTATAGAATGCTGATGGAAAAGTCTTGCGCAAACTGTACATGACATACCTCGCGGGACATCTCGTAGACCTGTGTCAAGATCCAATATCCAACTTTGTTGTCCAAAAGTACATCGCTCGACTGACAACTGCAAAACAATTGAGCAAGATCGTCAAGGAACTCTGTGAACGATTTACATCTCTTTTCAGTATGTATTCAGTGTTTCAGGTATACACACGTATATGGGTTGAGGCACTAAGCCAGTTTTTTTTGCTTCGTAGACTCAAATCGCATTGGCGTGTGCGCATCAATCATATCAGCATCAGCCAGAATAGGAGCCCACCATAAAGAAATCTTTGATGCATTAGTGACTGCTGTATCTGCTGATCCTACTACAGTGCCACAAGAGTTTTTGAAAAAGATCTTGTATCTTTCCACCACCCAACATCACGATCGTCGCCATCCCCGTGGTCATCACGGAGAATTAGGTCCTAGAATGCATATTCAGGGTGCCATGATTGTTGAAGGGTTGATTCAGTTTCCGTATGAGTATTCGCAATATGTTGTGTCTGGGTAAGGTACCATAGAGTAGAGGTCCCATCTATTTTTTTGTGCGGAGGTCCAGAGCTTGACAGATCTTTCTGATTCCGTGTCTTTTAGATTTGCGGGAATGTCGAATGACGAATCAGTATCGTGGGCGTTTGATGCTACTGGCAGTCGTATACTGGAACGCCTCTTCCGAGCAGAACATTTACCTGCTGATGCAAGAGCATCCATATTCAACGTGTTCAAAGACAAGTTTACACAAATGGCTACGGATCGATGTGCTAGTCACGTCATTGATACGCTCTTCCAATTGGGCGATATGGAGCTCAAAGTACGAATCCTATGTGTTGGTTATTCCATGATCTTTTTTTTGCTGACGTCGATTCCTTTGTCTCGCAGCAACGAATGGCAAGCAACTTATTAATGAACTATACACCCGTCTCGACTTCATTATATGGTCGATTGGTGTTACGCAATCTACGTATCGAAGAGTTTAGACGTGACAAGGAAGCTTGGAAGTCTCGTTTAAGGAATTTCGAGAAAAGAAAAGCGCATATGAATTCGTTTGTGGACGAAATGAATTCTGATGCAGCAAAGGCTCCCTCGGCGCCAACGATTCGTGATGTAAGTGTGGGGAAAACCAAAAAATCGCCGTCGCACTTCAATTGACTTTGGAATCCCTTTTCTTTAGAAACCTCCATCTACCCTCAAAGCAGCAGCAGCAATACCAGCAGTATCTTCTACTGCTGCTCCTATTATGGATGATGTTATGATGAGCATCTTGGATGCTGTTGTTGCAACCAAAAGTGGTGGCAGCAAAAAGCGCAAAAAGGGAAACACGGATAAGTGATTCTCATAGTGTATTTGTACCGTTTAGACAGTTTGCATATGAAACCTGTGTTAAATTTGACATGCTGTTTTGAGTTTCGCGTTATTGGTGGGACTAGCCCTTCAGATTTTCTCGCAAGTTGCCACGTCAAGAGGATCGCTGACGCTCCCTGGTGCATACATGCGAACGTGTCCTCTAATTTTCATTGGTCCCTTCTTACAAATCCTTCGCTATACCTTACGTAATTGCACAAACTTTGCATGTGTCCACGTTTAAACTGTTAGGCTCAACAACAGCAATCCCAACCACATTCTCTGGAACGTTGTAGCAGCATCGATACATATAGAATCTGAACTCTACATTACCGGACGATGACCGATACTGAATCTTCGGAAACCCTCATTTCTCCAAGGGAAGCAGGAGGTTTGGAGGATGCAAAACATGACATAGACATTGAACAAGCAAAGATTGAAGAAGCCAAGGCTGCTTTGTCTGCCACAGATATAGCAAATTTAGAGCACAACCGAAAGCATCTTATACCGATAATGATTGGGTTGGGATTTGTGATTTTTTTATCGGCTTTGGATTCGGTAAGTGTTCAGCATGTATCGATCGCTCTTGTCTTAAGCAGTGTGGATGCAGTTTGGAATTGTATACATGCATGCTCCCTTGCATGCTTTGCTCAGTTTCTTCAGGCTAATCTGATAACTTCAATAGACGATCGTAACTACTTGCCTCCCCGTAATTGCCTCGGATTTAGGCGATTTGAGCAAAGTGGCATGGGTCGGTACTTCCTTCCAGCTGACATCTACGGCAACGATGCCAATTGTGTCTAAACTGAGTGACTTCTTTGGACGACGAAACATGCTGTTCGCTTCCATTGCCATCTTCTTGGTTGGGTCTGCATTGTGTGGAGCGTCTGTGAATATGGTACAATGGGCAGCTACTCGACTACAGTCCCTCGCTATTTAACTGACGCATCTTCTCCAATAGATCATGTTGATCTTCTTCCGAGCTATTCAAGGCATTGGGGCTGGAGGTCTTATGACTCTAACCTTCATCATAATATCGGAGATAGTTTCGTTACGGGAAAGGGGCAAGTATCAAGGAATACTGTCAGCTTGTCTGGCCATTTCATTATTGCTTGGGCCTGCCGCTGGAGGCCTATTCACTGACGATCTCAGCTGGAGGTAGGGGACCAGTCCTCGGACTCTCGATTGCATTTTCATTTAAGTCACCATGTGACACTTTTCGCTACATAGATGGGGCTTTTACATCAATCTCGTTGTGGGAGTCATTCCAATCGGATTATTGACCGTGTATTTGAGACTCCCTGCTCCAAAAGGAGCGTCAGCCGAAAAGCTGAAGGTAAAAGAATCTTTTTAATAATGCTTAAATTGTTACAAATGTGTAATATTCCCTTGTTCCAAATGCAACCCTTTGCTATGCAAGTCAACATTTTAAACTAATATGCAAATTTACTCTAGAGGATTGACTACTTGGGTTCCGCCGTACTCATCATTGCCTGTATCTTCTTCCTATTGGCTTTAGCTTGGGGCGGCCATGAATATTCATGGGACTCTGGAGTCATTATCGGATGCTTTGTAGGTGGTGTGGTCTTCACTGCGGTCTTTATCTACATTGAGGGCAGAGTTGCCATCGATCCTATAATGCCTCTCCGTAAGTGTTCTCTTCGATAACTGTTTGAATCCACTCGTACTGATTCCATTTTCCGAATTCCAGACTTGTTCAAGAATTCCAATTACTCGTTCAACGCTATATGTGGTTTCGCCTTTGGATTTGTGTTCTAGTAAGCTACGAGCTCTTGTCCAGTTACCTATGCAGACGTGAACTTTGCTAATGAAAAGCTGCGTCATTTTAGTGGATTTCAATTCTGCTTCCCAGAGTACTTTCAAGTGGGAAGGAGCACATCAGCCACCACTTCCGGAATCATGGGTTTTGCAATGGTAAAGTCTCACTTCGTCTTTCCAAACAGTCCATCAAACGCAACTCGTCAATGCCATTAATTCCTGTCAGGTGATACCGTTCATACTTTCATCAACGATATCAGGTATCCTCATTACAAAGTATGGCAGATACGTAGAGTTCTCGAAAGTGGGCGCATGGTAAAGTCTCAGTGAGTTTTTCTAACGCACCTGGTCAATCACATTAATTCATTCTTTAATCAATAGTTTAAGCGTAGTCGGTCTCGTCCTCATCAGTCGCTGGAACTTGGAAACCTCGTTTGGAGAGCAAGTCGGATCCTTCGTCGTTTTCGGACTTGGTGCAGGGTGCACTATGACACCTCAATCGCTTGTCGCGCAGATGAATGCAGAACCAAAGGAAATTGCAGTTGCGACGTCGACGCAGAACTTTATACGGACAGTCGGAGGCGTTCTTGGAATTGCGGTTGTAAATACGGCCTTAAACACAGCCTGGCAAGCCCGCTTAGCAGAGCTCATAACACAGAATGGACTAACCGTAAGTGCTTAATGTTGGCAAAGCTCTGTTATCGTTGTTTCTCATCCTTCGTCTTCGTCCATTTAGGCGTTCTCTGGATCCTTATTTATTAACGGCAATTTCAATCTGTTTGCCATCAACATGTTACCGGCCGACCAAAAGGCAATCGTGATATCAGCCTTCTTTTATGGATTCCAGATTTGCATGTGTAAGTGTCCTGCCAAAGCATCGTTGCAAGTCAAAGCTCAACAAACTGAAAATCTCGGTTCAATCAAACTTTAGGGGTCGCTGCAGGAATGACAGCCGTAGCTGAATTCTCTGCCATGTTCTTAACTCATGTCCCATTACGGACAACTGTGGGTGTACATAAGACTGAGGTTGGGGGCAAGAAAGGAGCAGAGTTAGAAGCCACAGAGCCTGTTCTCAAAGATGTTACCGCCCTCGATTAAAGTTTTTGGATACGGCTGATTTACCAATGCATTAATAGTAGTTTATGATGGTTGTTACGACCAAGTGGCTTCCGTACATATAAAATAATACAAGCTTTTACAGCGCAATAGATTTTTGCTGCAAACTCGCATTTGCTTGGATTTTACCCATCCTTCGCTATCACTTACGTAAAGGCGAAGCTAAAACACGTCGTCAAAATAGGGGCACGCAAATAGGATGGAACTCACTTTTTCCGGAACGTTTCCTTATTATTGCTACATTTCATATATTTGCTATACATTGCCCAGCTATGGCAGACACTGAGACCTCAGAAACACTTATTTCTGAAGGTCCACAAGAAGCCTCGCAGGATAACAAGGATATCGAGGAACAGAGGATTGTGCAAGAGCAGAGAGCTTTGTCTGCCGAGAACCTGGCGCATAATCGTCGCAATATTATCCCGATAATGATTGGATTGGCCTTTGTTATCTTCTTGGCTGCATTGGATGGTGTAAGTTTTATTTTTTCTCGCAGGGAGATAGTACCGATCGCTCGTGCTGGCAGTAGTATGAATTATTGCATATGCAATTTGGAAACTGAAAAGGCCATCAGTGTACACGCTCCACTCCCCAGTCTCTTGTTACTTGGTGTTTGTAACTAACAGTGTTTTGATGATAGACTATAGTCACTACTTGCCTCCCTGTAATTGCCTCAGATCTCGGTGATTTGAGCAAAGTCTCCTGGGGCAAGTATTCAGATGTTGAACATGCCATGGCCTGGTTTACTAACCCTGTACCTCGCTAGTTGGTACTTCCTTCCAGTTAACGTCAATGGCAACGCTTCCAATTATTTCCAAGCTCAGCGATATTTTCGGGCGTCGAAATTCGCTCTTCGCATCAATTGGCATCTTCTTGGTTGGATCTGCTCTTTGTGGTGCATCTGTGAATATGGTACAGCACATCTTCACGATTAGTCTCTTGTTATGTACTAACGAATCTTCTCCAACAGATCATGTTGATCTTCTTTCGAGCTGTACAAGGAATTGGGGCAGGAGGCCTGATGACTCTTACGTTTATCATCATATCCGAGTTGGTTAGCCCTAGGGAACGTGGGAAATACCAAGGACTTCTATCGGGTGCTTCCACAATGGCCTTGTTGCTGGGTCCTGCAACAGGTCTTGATTTAGAGCTACGACTGAAACCGTCCGCATCCATTTCTGATCTTTTACACGTACCTAGGTGGACTCTTTACCGACTATGTCAGTTGGAGGTAATCGCTGAGCTTTCCATTGGCCAAATACCGTTTCAGTGGCATGATGATTTCCACAATTATCATTCTTATTAGATGGGGCTTTTACATCAACTGCGTAGTGGGATTAATACCAATCTCATTGTTGAGCATGTACTTGAGACTGCCTACTCCAAAGGGCTCTTCAGCTGAGAAATTGAAGGTGATGAAGTTAATTTTATTCGACAGTAATTGAATTACTGATACAGTACTTTCTATTTCTCTAGCGTATCGATTACTTGGGATCCCTTGTCCTTATCATTGCTTGTATCTTGTTTCTGTTGGCGGTGGCGTGGGGAGGTCACGAATACGAGTGGACCTCGGGCGTCATCATTGGATGCTTTTTAGGAGGTGCAGTGTTCACGGCTGCGTTTATTTACGTTGAGAGTAGAGTTGCCGTTGATCCCATCATGCCTCTCTGTAAGTGTCGGTGTTATTTCGATTTGTGCGTCCACTCGTTCTGAAATTGCTTCTACTTCAAATAGACTTGTTCAAGAATGCCAATTTTACCCTGAATGCGATATGTGGATTCGCCTTTGCATTCGTCTTTTTGTAAGCATCAAACATTTTGGCTGCATTGACATGGCTGGTTTGGGATAATCAGGTTGCTAATTGTTTGTTAATTTTTAGTGGATTTCAATTTTGCTTTCCTGAATACTTTCAAGTGGGGCGCTTGACATCAGCAACCACGTCTGGAATCATGGGATTTGCCATGGTACAGTACATTTGAGTCATAGTTGAAACTACCATCACCACTTCAAACCAATATTTGCCTTCCTCCTTTGCAGGTGATACCGTTCTTATTCTCATCAACAGCAACCGGATTCCTAATAACAAAATACGGACGCTATGTCGAGTACCCAAAAGTGGGCGCGGCTATCGCGGTGGTGGCCCTCATTTTGGTCGCAAGATGGGACGTGAATACGTCTCTTGGAGAACAAATTGGGTCTTTCATCCTCTTTGGTCTTGGTGCCGGGTTGTTCAAGGCACCACAGTCTCTCATTGCCCAGACCAGTGCCAAAACAAACGAGATTGCGGTCGCAACTGCAGCACAGAACTTTGTGCAGACCGTTGGAGCGGTGCTTGGCATTGCAGTTGTGACTTCTGCGCTAAATACAGCATGGCAAGACCGATTAGCTCAACTCGTCACACAGGATGGGGTAGCTGTGAGTGTTTCCGATACTTGTTTTTTCAGCGTTTGCTTCTCATGTATGGTCGTTGTTGTTTAGGCATCCTCTGACTCACTTTTCATAAACGGCAACTTTAATCTGTTTGCCATCGACTTGCTACCAGCAGACGAGAAAGCAATTGTAATTGCTGCCTTCATATACGGATTCCAGATTTGCATGTGTAAGTGGTTTTCCCAACAAACGTCACGTCAGATTTCAACAAACTGAAAGCTCCAAATCCTTCTTTCGTTAGACGTTGCTGCTTCAATGACGGCAGTTGCTGAATTCTCTGCCCTATTTTTAACTCACGTTCCATTACGGACCAAAGTGGGTGATCAAAAGGGGCCAACTGAAAGCACAAAGACCGAGACTGAAATCACGCAGCATGGTCAAAAGTGATGTGTGGATGCTTTCAAAACATAATATTGAAATTTAATAATAATACTACATAGCAGTTTGTTGTACCAGTAATGTCATCAAGTACATATAGAGTGAAGGCAAACTTTCAACAACTGAGCCTGTGTCTCTCTTAGCTTCATTTGTAGCTGCATCACAATTGAGGGCATAAATACTTTGTTTGATTGGATTTGATACTATGTGATATCCTTACGTAATAGCAAATCGTTCTACTTCCAGCTCTGATGTATACGGACCCCATAGACCCATCACCAAATACTTCAGCTTTGCCACATCATTGATTCGAGCTTGATCCCCACATCGTTCCTTCACAAACTGTTTCAATACAGCCTTACTACCATAGTATCGAGTAGTCAAGAGATTCTGCAGGTGAGGCAAACGAGGAGCTGCAAGTGAGAGCAACCCTTCACCTTCTAGAATGCAGCTAGCCAACTCTACATCTTTCAGCATGGTACAAGCTTCAGCCATGATGTTCAATGTTTGTAGACCTAGACTACTATTATATCTATCTCCTCGATGTTTCAATCGTTCCAGGTTTGGAAAGAATGTGAGTAGTGCCCTTAAATCTCCTTCGGCCATGCTTTCTGTTATAAGGTGCTTTATGTTACAGCGGTTTGCATTTGGTCGAACATTCTGTCGGTCCAACCACGTTGCAAGGTCCTTGCTCGAACTCGACAAGACCAAGGTCGTCAAAGTCGGGGTTGGATTCTGAAAGTACAATTCTAGGACTGGAGCAAAGCATTCCTCCAGTGCAGAGCAATGAAGTTGTAGACTGGTAAGGTTGCGACAGGTGTTGAAGAGAGCTGCTAGGCCTGTTTGCTTATTACAGTATGTGCTGACTTTTTCCAAAGTCTGAGGCCATGTAATAGTTTTTGGAAGCCTAGCATTTGTCAGTTCTGTCATTTCCAAGTATTTTATGTGCGTATTGCATATTGATTCCGGTTCAAGCGTGCCTAGAAGAGGTAGAGCAATGTCAATACTCATCCAAAAAGAACGTGAAATGCGTGTCTACCATCGACTTCCAAATGTTCTAGTTGAGGAAGCTTTGTCATCACCGTAGCAATGACAGGTCCAGAGACCGTCAATGCACAAAGAGAGAGCGACACCAAGTTATCCCAGGTTCCACCATTTGATATTTCTTCGCAGCTAGTGCTGCGATGTGTTCGCAGTCCCAACGACCGAACTCGTGGTCTCAGGAAGGGAGTCAGTCTCCTAAACCAGAGATTGTTTTCGTCTTCCGTGATTTCGATCTGCTGTAGATTTGGGCAACTGATTATAAACCCAATAAGCTGATCTTCAGTGAGGTCTGCAACGGGAAGTATTCTACGAATTACGAGCGATTGGATTGAATGCCGGAATCGTTCCGTGATGGGTTCACCAGTGGCAATACGGGTTGCGAGAGAGTTTGCGAGACAACCAGTCCTCAAGTTCTTCAGGTGAACGTTTCGGTACAAGATTGGAAGTACTAAATTGGACATGCTCTTATTTACGAGTGAGAGGGCCTGGTATGTGGGCTTATGTATTTTCGTGTTGGCTGACTCGTCAGGTCCTGGAGTAGGCTTTTTAATGAGCTTTATAGCCCCAAAAGGCTCTACGATGCTCTCTCGCAGCAAGTTGATAATCATCATAAACAATTCCTTGGGCAGTGTGTCCAAGTTTGAAGGTCGTAATTTTTCCATTATGACAAAGCTGATTGGAATGGATGCAGTCAGGGACTACTTGATTTAGGAATAGAATCGAGTGGCAGCTTACCGATAGTCAATGCCTTCAAGAGTTTTTGAGTTCTGGCGAGTTGAAGTTAGATCCAAATAGGTAGTATCTAGAAAAGAAGAACGTGGAATTACTAACTTGCACCTTGATTCCTGACAACATGTTGTATCAGCTTCTTCCGGTGCTTGCAACACAGTCCTCGCCTTCTTCAAACCCCAAAATAGCAAGATGTCCACTTTCATGTTTGGACCATGGGCTATCCGACCATCTGAAATATTCTTCACATCAAAATACTCACTTGGACTAGTCAATTTGAAGCCTATTACTAAGTGAGCGTCTCTCGGTTCCCACTCGAAGCTTAAATCTAACAATTTTGGTGTTTTAGTGGACGCAAGTACCATTGCTTCAAGGAAGCCCAAATATAAGCAATGGATTAATTTCCAACCTGATGTAGACTTGCTGGTTATGCCTCGACGTGTAGTTGTTCGATTCGCAGATTTGACATCTGATGAAGTTGCTGGTAAAATTGAATGACATGTGTGCATCAATGACTTTGTGGTGATTACAACTCACTCATTGAGTTCTATAGACTTGTTTCAGAGTGTCCAAACTATTGGTCGTGTTCTTGAAAGAGAATATCGAGGTGAATCTCTGACAATCGCTGTACAGGTAATCAAAACCATCGACACAAACCCTCCACTCGACGCTGAACTGACCCAGTTTATTCGTCATTTAAGGATGGACCATCTGCAGGACAAACTGTTGCACATGTACACGTCCATGTCATCGCCAGACGCAAAGGAGATTATGCGGATAATGACAGAATATACGCTGACATGGACAAGAGTGAAAAGGATGCAGCCAAAGAATTGGCAAAGGAGTCCAAACCTCAGGGTGTCGATTTCGAAGATCGCAAATCTCGAACACAGGAAGAGATGGCTCAAGAATCGGCCAAGTTGCGACCCTTCTTTACTCAATACGAAGATATCTGGCCCTAAGCGCCGCTCCAAATATAGAGCTCCGTCTATGAGCACCTCATAGAATATGTGTAGATATCATGTTTTGAATATGAATATATTTGTGAGCATACAGAAAGAAATACAGCTAAATTTGAGGTCGATTATCTACATTATATAAAGCAAAAGGACAACTATTAATTGGTTGATATAGGGGCGTCATCAGCAATCTTCAGCTGCCGTGAGAGAAGGTGAGGAGGCACTGGCGCCGAGAAGTGGAGTGGTCTCCGTTGGAATCGAAGGGCAGCAACTTTGTTTACAAATGGGACATGTTCGTTTTCGTTTCGTAAGCCATCTGTCAATACAGGCAATATGAAATTCATGCTAGCGAGATGGAAGTGACAGATCGTTAAACCTTCAAATAAGCACACACCAAAAAGCACGGAAGAGAGAATATTTACCTTGCAAGGTAGTTTCCTGAGCTGCTGTCCATCTTCAAAGTCTTCCAAGCAAATGCAACACACTGTTGGATCGTTTTCTTTGACCACCTTCGACTCAAAGATCTTGGTCGGCAAATCCAACACTAGACGTACAGGCGCTATTTCGTGTCTCCTTCGACAAAAGACCCTGTACGAATATAAAGCAAAGAGAGCGAGCATGACGACTGCAGGTGACAAGATCGTTACTATGATTATTTCCAGGATTGGCATATCGAGTTCATTCGGATATAATATTATAGGAAGACTAGATAGTCGTGGCATGCCCTCGTCCATGCCAGAGGCCTGGAAATACAGATCCCGATAGACCCATTGAGTGACAAAGACGGAGGGAATTTGTATGTCACTCAATTCTCCACTGCCTGCGTACATAGTAACAAGTCCGCCATGTCCTATATTATCCCCACAAACAAGTCCTTTTGCTCCCGATGCCTGAGCTGCTCGAGTCTTTTCGAGAAAGTTACAAGCCCCTCTAAGTATAGTCGTGTGTCAGAGTCTTGTGAAACACGACAACCAAGCGAACGGTATAACGAATGATACTACATTAACGATGGTCACTACCTTGAAACTAGTAGTATATAGTCAGTAGAATTGTCTGGAAGCTGGACCTTGGAACAACCAGTTGCCAGATTTTGAGGATGTAGGGAAGCGACAGGAATCAAGTGTCCTCGTAATCCGTCAGATGGTATAAATGGGCCATATGCTGCAAGTCGGTCCTAAACAAAATGTCATGACTTAAGTGTGGAATCATTGCAAACCCTCACAAATGTCACAATGTCGTGTTTTCGATGCCGATGACGACGAAACAAGAGAGAAAGCTTACCGTGTAAGTCTCATTTGAAGCAACTACTAGTACTCTAGCATGGGTCTGCGCTGCTGTCCACCACATCATCAATAATAAGACGCAGGCAAAGCTTGCCATTTTCTGATCACGTTAAGTGAATCGTCAAAGTGGGAAAGCTCTTTTCCTATAAAGTCTGCGTATCATGCAAAAGACGAATATATATGCGCAGTCCCGTTCTCGTGCTCCTTGTCTTGCGCTAGTCACTCGCAGGTTCTTGGGGTTTTTGGTGTTTGGTCATGGGAGTCGCTCATACGGTTTCATAGACTAAGTCGAACTTCGGGGTGTTGGCGACACGTTGTTGATAATAGTTTGGTGGTTTGATACTTTGAAAATGATATTTCCGTTATCATAATTCACGGGAGTAGAGACATGACACGTGAAATATATTGCTGGAAAAAATACAGGTAAGTTGTCTTTCTACCAATCTACTTGATACGCTTCCACGCGCCAGACACAATTTTGTAAAGTGCAAGATTTGGCAGAGGCAGCATCTTCCTCAAACTCACTCCAATCGCGAGATCAAACCAATAGCGTGAACATACACTCCACAGGAAGATCACTATCTTCACTGCAGTAGGAGCTATCATATATCTATCGACTGGCCAGTGTAGCCTATATTGGAAACAGCGTTTGACAAGTTGTCGACAATGAGCTGCTTGGTCCCATTAATTCCATGATTAATTGATGGCGTCGCTTACCGTAAAACCTCCTCCATCTTCTTTACTACCACTTCCGAATCAAGCGTACCAGGTGCCGTTAGGACTTCCTTTTGCAGTTGTCCATATCCTGTGAAACGGGAGGTTACAACCTTTCTGTCGTTTGGCTTGTCTGCGGAAACGAAACTCTGAGCATACCTTGAGCGATTTTGAGCCCGTAAGCAGCCTGAACATCTGGACTTGTAGATAAGAAGTACTTCATGTGTTTTGCATCTTAAAAAATGAGAAGCTCTTTAGTGTTGCATATTTCATGTGAGATCAAACTTTTGGCAACACATACGGAAATCAGTCTTCATGACAAGAGGCGTCTTAGCATAGAATGGCTCCATCATTGAGACTGCGATTCCGAAAGGTGCGAGCTCAACTCGGGAAGCATCGCACATGGCTTCAACAGCGTGCTTTGTACTAGCATACAGCCCTACGAGACAACATATTTGTAAATAGATGCCGGAGTCAAGCTTGAATAGCCAGCCTGGACGTACCTAATGGAGAGCTTGCAATTTTGCCAGCGACAGAAGCAAGAACAATAACACGTGCTGGATGGCTGTGAGCAGCAGCGTACTTTCGTAAAGCAGGAGCAAAAGTATTCATTGTCCTCATTACTCCAAATACGTTAATGTCAAACATGAGTTTTGCTTCATCTACAGACGTCCACTCGATAACAGACCCAATTTCTATGCCTGCGTTTGGTATGACTGCGAAGACTCCTTCCGGGTGTTCCTTATCGATTATATTCCTTGCCTGTACGAAATCCTGATCCTTGCATACATCCCATTTGAGAGCACGGATTCCTTTCTGACTCAAATCACTTATTCCTACAATCAGACAAAGCTGTGTGTGTCAGCAAGTGAAGCGAGTCTTGTCTATTCAGTACTCAAGGATTGCAGACTGCGTAGGATCCGAGCTTCGCGACTTGATCAGATTGATGAGTTCTTGACATCAACGTGGAAACAACCGTCAAGATCACCACACTTTGAACAAAGAGGTGTATAAACACATGCCTTCGTTTGTGATGCAGCCCGCATAGACGACCATTCCAGCAGCAGAGCATCTTAGAGCCAATTCATTTCCAAAACTGAGACAAGATAAGAACATTCACGCGGTTAACGTTAACGAACTGGGTTGAAAAACGAGGCTTTAAAATTGATGACGGTTTTCAAGCTACTTGCCCAGAATCGCAGCCAGTGATAACAACTACAGCTCCTTGTAGATCTTCGTTCGATAATGTGGAGATCCGGCTACCCATTTTGATCAAGTAATGTGTTCAACTGGTCTGAATGTTTGATGTTCGAGTTGTTAGTTGTGTGCTGTTGTGTGCACGGATTCAGCTAGGACGTTCGGTCACAATCAATACTGATTTGGCCATGAAGTAATGCGAAATATACATATAAGTCCAATTGACGCGTCGAAACACTCTCCAGAGTACTGTTTCTGGTCAACGGCGGATTCTCGACCGCAAACTCTCTATTTTGATAACGAGAACAGAGGTGACAGTGAAGACTGATATGTGCACTGGAGCCTAGTATTTATAATGGACGCTTGGAGAACAGCAGAACTTGAGGTACTTCAAGCTGGAGCACTGACAGGAAGAGTCAATCAATCGAGGAGTCTATACTGGAAGGTATTGAATCAGAACAGTCTGCTCTATTGATCTACCACCTTGAGATCCGTATATATACTATGTATTCTAACACGGAAACTTCGTCTCCGTCACGGTCTATCGCAGATATTCTTGGGGTTTCTTCCGTGTCGAAACGTCGATGCATGGCCAAATCTACATTCTCATGAGCGTACTCAGTATGATCAACTGAGATCCAAGTATATCTTTGATCCCGCTACTGCTGCCCAGGGTGCTCGTGACTGGAGTCTGAATAATCCCTTGTCTTTGGACGAAGAGGTTTGGAGCTGTTTGCTGACATTGAAATTGTTGTTGTTTGATCAACTCAACTCAAGCATCCAATTATAGAGTCCATGGAAGCAGTATTTTGAAGACGTGGAGCTGCAGAAAGTGATTCGCCAAGATGTCGAGAGAACGTAAGAGCACACGCTTCGACATTCACAATACACTTTTCCATAACGCAACAACCACTCTTGGCTCAGATTTCCCGATCAAGCTTTCTTTCGTGCTGAAACTGTACAGAACATGATGACGGACATCCTCTTCATATGGTGTAAACTGAATCCCGACGTGTCTTATCGACAAGGAATGCACGAGATACTGGCCCCAGTTCTTATGGTCGTGCATCAAGATCGTCTAGTGGAATACGAGTAGGTCTTTTGAAAATATCGCTTTCAATTAGACCTGCTTTCACTGACACCCTGACTTGTAAATAGTTCAGATCCCATCAAACTGGCAGTATTTAGTCCTGTTCACGTGGAACACGATTCTTGGGTCTTGTTTGACAGGATAATGAAGTCTGCCAAGATATGGTATGACACGGGTGAAGATGGTGATCCTCGTCGAGTCTCGTCAAATTCAAGAATGTCAAGTTCAAAGTATTCAGATCGAACATCCGCCCAGGTCAATGGTTCATTTTCGCTTGGTGTAACCCTGTTCGCGCTCATACTAAATCTGACTTTGTAGGCAAGAAAAGTCATTCCTGTGGTCGCAGTATGTAAACGCATTCAAGGAGACTTGTTACGAGCTACAGATTTTGATTTGTGCTTCCATTTGGAACGAGTTGGCGTAGAACCTCAGCTTTATGGCATGTAAGGACTTCGCATGATCATTTCATTTTCACTCGAACGAGATATCGCTCATACTTTCCGTTCCAAATAGCCGATGGTTGAGGTTGCTATTCGGACGAGAGTTTCCATTCTCAGAGTTACTAGTATTATGGGATGGTATCTTTGCGGATGGGCCATCTTTGGGTCTAGCGGAATGGATTTGTGTTGCTTTGCTAGTAGCTGCCAGACGTGAAGGTATCATCGTAGCGACATTCTGTTTTTTTTTCGCCCTTTGCCAACCTCGGCGTATTAATCTAGTGTTGGGCCAAGACTTTTCGATGGTCTTGCACAAGCTAATGAGGCCGCCATCAAGCGATAATTCCAATGTGTCTGCTGTCTTCTTCCTGAATAGCGCTCGAACACTTCGTACTCGATACACTCAAACCCGACCTGTTACCACATCAAACGAATCTCCTCGTCGATCATCAGCCACGACTAGTAATAGTAATATACCATCCTCACCTTCAGCAATAGACTCAGATGTTGGTAATAATAATACTGGTAATCTGACGCCATCGCAACCGAAACGACGAGCGGGACCTGCACCATGGGCAACTCCCATTCAGGGCACTCCTAATAGTATAAATTTGAAACCTCCTACTTTGAATGGTGCTACTCCTACTGCTGGAACATCCACTCTGACCACTCCCGCCTCGTCGTCATCATCTTTATCGGAAACATCCAAGGAAGCCTCATCAGATAAATCTCCCAAACCACCAACTGCCGCTGACACAGTAATTAATTCAACTCCCATTGCATCAAATGTCGCTGCTGGTGCAGATACCAAACCAGTTGAACCGCCGACAAGTATAACAGCACGACCTAATGGATTCTTAGCTGATGAGGCCAGAGCTCGCGAAAGGCTAGCACAACTAGAACGTGAACGGGAGGTTATAGAGCAGCGAGATTCTAAACTTATATGGAATCTGAAAGAACATGTAGCTACATTGACGAGTTCCTTGTTGGGACAGTCAGCTACGCCGGAAGTGCTTGACGCATTACAAGGATTGAGGAGCGTCATTGCTGATCTAGGTGGTGATCCGTTTGCTGTAAATGATCCTGTATCGACGGATTTCGTAAATCGTAGTGTAGTCGAGACACAGCATGGTGATGATTCACCTAAAATACCAGCCAAGCCAGTAAAATACCATACGAAAACCAGCACAGAAGAAATCGTGGATGCTATAGACGATTTTTTGTCTTCGGCCGATACTCCATCAACAAGATCAACATCACCATCCAAGTCTGAACTTCGATCGTCACCATCTATGCCTTCAAATGCATCACCATCTATGCCTTATGCTACATCACTAAATCCTGACAGTCTACCACCTTTAGCTCCTTCAACAATACCGATACAGCCGCATGACGATACATGGGCATCCGAGAAACCATTACTCGGAAAGATGTCTACTCCTAATATAACAGCAGATATACCATCGGGCATAGAACAGGATCCATGGGGCTCTCCTCAGTCGAATAGCAATAGTCCAGCAGTCGAGGCGATGATGAAAGGACTGTCTCGAATGTCACCGTCACGATCAACTGCACGTAATAACCACGAAGACGAAGATGATGATCCGAATGATGTGCAAAGGATGTTCGCAATGACGAGAGAATACCCACACACGAATAGGTCATCACTTGTCAGAACACCATCTCCGACGTCAAAGTTTTTTGATAGTGTGTTGTCGACTGTATCGACTGCAGTATCAAACGGTGTGTCATCTGCTACCGCTGGGATTAATGCCTTGACTCAGGCCGTTGAGAACAGTAATATGAAGGCTAGAGATCCGTTTGGTGTTGGTACTGTGGGTGGCTCAGAGACCAGAAGGACTCTGCAGCCGACTGAACGAGGTCCATTATAGTAACTTATGGTCATTGTAGTCTTCCTTAGAAATGTAGATCATGGTAAATTACAACATATATATATTTCACTTTGCACCTCAGCTCTATATGAGTTTGTGTGTGTGACGCTGTTCAAAGTAGGTGTGTAAGCCTTGAGGCATTTCTGCAGATGGAATCCTCTTCTTTTCTCCGTTGTATTGTCCGTGGTTTCAGGAGAAAAAGAACATTCTCATACTGTATAAAAGAAGAATTTTCCTCTTGGACCAAGTCGTTTGTTATACCAGTGTCTTTTACCATATCTCTCAAACGTACGTTTTAAATATTCTCGCCAAAAAATAGTATCCAAGACGAGAAGTAGGCTTTTTTCAAGTGAATCTATTCTACAAGTTACAAGTAGAATATGTGGGCACCAATCCTCTCGCTCAGTATCCATGGTCGATCTTGTTTTCCTTTTCGAATTTGAGATCCTTGATGTCAAAGTGGTGAGGTTCCTTGTATTCAAGTTTGCTTTCACATTCACATTCGACTGGGACTATTTGAAGAAAATATGAGATTTTTGAGACGTGGCATTCGTTGGAGATCATTGTAAGTTGCCTGGACAGTCACTGTATACATACTGGTGATGTAGATGACCTTGTAGTGGGCAGGGCAAGTAATGTGCTTGGCGTATACACCTTCATGGCCTAGTTCGAAGCCATCTAAAGAGTTCGGCAAAAAAAAATCGTCAAGTCGAGTAGTGTAAAATTTGACAACATTAGAGTAACGGTCGTCCGCAAAGAGTAGTAGAAATCAAAGACGGACCTTGGTAAAAGTTCTTGCCATGGTGTCCCTTGCCATAGAATTCTTGTTCATAGCCATCGTGGCTGTCAAAGTCACCATAGAATTCTTCATACCCGCCATACTTCTTGCCATAGCCGAGACCCTTTCCATAGGAGTCTCGTCCATATCCATCGTAGTTTCGTTCATAGCCATCTCTGCCACCATAGTAGCCCTTGTGGTCACCATCGTAGTAGTCTTCAAAGATTTCCTTCTTGACGACTTCAACGACTTTGCCGTCGTTGTATCCATTCTTGTATCCGCCGTCAAAGGCGGGAGCAGCAAGGACTGAGGTAGCAGCAAGTAGAGCGATGGCAATCTGTGATTTAGAAACGAGGTGGCAAATGTTTGTCAGTATTTTTGTCCTGATTTGTGAAATCAAGAGAGAATTCAAACAGAGAGACAACGATGGAGCCCTACTGACCTTGGATAGCATGATGTCTTCGCGGTGAGTTGTAATTACAGGATTGATTTGGGATGTGAGTGCTTCGTTGTGGACTGTAGAGGGAACAGCATGGCGTTTAAGAGGGATGCGAGATGTCGATTTTGAAGTCGGCAGTGTGATCTTGAAGTCGGCTGCAATTTCAAAATTGAATTTACAACCGGCAACGTCAATAGTTGGGTGGGAGGAAATTGGTGAAATAGTGGATCGAAAAGGACGCGTTCATCTATATACAGCACATAGAGCCGATATCCTCTTTCTCAGGAGAATCACACTACTACAAGTCAAACCGTTCAAGTTGACGTGAGGTTTAAGTGCCGATGTCAACGTTTGACTTCCGATGTCAACTATGACACAAAGAGAACCTGAAAAAGAAGGCCATTTTCCTTCTTCCCGTCACACCACACAACCTTACTCTACATATCATTGAAACACTCAAATCAAGGAGAAGAGAATATGTTGTCCAAGGTATGTCTACTTCATTGTTTGCCATGGATACTGGCTTCAAACAATCTCGACATTTCACTCCTCTCCAACTTCAAGCCTCAACATCCACCATAATACAATCCATATTAGATCTTTGTCACTCTATTGGCTGCTTCATCTGCCATCGTATCTGTCTCAGCGGATGCCAAGTACTATGGCGATGATGACTACTACAAGGACGACTACTACCAGGATGATGGCTTCTACAAGGATGACTACTACACGTCTCCAAAGGTCGTTGAAAAGGAGGTCATCATTGAAAAATTCTTGCCTCACGAACGTATTGAACACTATGGTCCATACGTTGAGGTCTTGGAAAAGGAAGCTGCCTTCAAGAGCATGAAATACCCTGAAGTCGTCTACCCAAAGGTTGCTCAAAAGGAAGAATGTAAAGTCAATAGTCACTGCTCTAATTATCGTGATTTATTATGCCCGAATCTTAAATTTTTCGTCGAGTCGTAACGTTCAACACATCTAAAAGTTGGCACACTTCAAACTTCATAGTCTCAGATGGCCACCTTGAAGTCAAATACCTTGAAAAATACCCACCACAACCACAGGGAGCCATCATCTTCCCTTCAGAATATGCCAAATACGAAACCCACTCTGAAGGCCCACATGGTAAGCTTGAATGTTGACTGTTGGCGGTCAGCTTAATTAATTTCCGACTTGAGTTTGACAACTTGCATCATTGATCGCCAATAGACGATTCAGCTAATTTTATCCATTTTGAATAGTTCCCCACTTCAAGCCACGAAAGATCTATGCTGATGTCTTTGAAAAGCAATTCGGTACAAACTTAGACAGTTTGCCTACAGTTTCCTTGACCTTGATTTAGTCGCCCTCAAACACTCTTCTCCACTCTTAGTCTGTCCCAAGTTTGAGAAGGTCGTCTACGTCACCATTCCTGGCAAGTGTACTTGTGAGCCAATCAACGTACACCCAAAGGTCATCAAGGCTCCAAGATTGATCCACGATGGCAAGCACTTTGACGGTCCCGATGACTACTATGGTCACGACGATGAAGTCACCACCATCAAGGAATTCAAAGAAGTCAGGATCATCAAAGAGGATGACAAGAAATGGTGGTACGTTTCGTTTGCTGCTGAAAATCTAGTACGCTTCCAGTCTCTAACTCTGGCACCTTTCCAATAGATCTGTAATTATCATCGTATGATCTATAGTAATATAGATCTCAACCTGTTACTTTGGAATAAAAGAGTCTTGATCGATATATCAGATTGTCTATTGCAATCTTTGATTTGAATGGTTCAAATTCTTGTAACGGTTCAATTCATGTAAGCACTTCCAGGCAGCCATCGTTGGAGGTATGAAATTGGTTAGAACCAATAGGAAAATAGTCCTGTGAGTTTGCTTAAATTGGGATTGTATGTCCGTAAGATCTATCAGAATGTATATACTCGCCACTGATGCTACTCACTTCTCGCGTCAAACACTTATTTGACAGACAATCAGACCTATATTGCGATCTATAACACATATTATATGAGTAATCGATTCAAAAATGTGTTTGATGATAGACACGGCAACATTGATTGAAATACAAAACACCAACAACATAGTTTCCGCAGCCTCCATAAAAGTGACGAGACCGTCACCATTTAAGTATACATACCAGTACATTAAGCTATACCCAGGTGCCAGTCAACGTGAACTATCCTTAATTCCACAAGGATCAAGCCCGCCATCATCAACAACAAGGTCCCATTTTGCAGCAATGGACCTGTTGAGCACGGAAAAGATCAGGGCTGAAGTAGAGGAATTCGAGGATTTCGTCGCAGATTATAGTAAGTTACCTCTTGCTTTCTCATCTACATTCTTGGTGCTGTATCAGCTTGACGATTTATGATGGAATGCAGTTGGTTGATTACACCTGGCTCGCTTATATGGAGAGAGTCAAGCTATTATTCATAACAATGATGATTATGATGTGTTCGTATCCTCCTTTGTATTGTCATCTGCCCTTTTATGCTCGACATTAAACAATACTGTCGTCGCAAGCTTGCTGAGTTTGAGTCTCCAGACTTGATAATGACCTGATCTTCTCTTGTTTTCTTAGCCACTCAACTTGAGAAGATACTCAAAGGACAGTTCGACGAAGAACAACGAAAGTCAGCTCGGGCTGAAATCGATGCTCAACTAGCTCCAGCTGCAGAGAGTGCAACCGCCACAACCATACGAAATGCTCTAAAAGCACCTAGTGTAAAATCGAAATTACAGTCACAGAAAGAAAAGTCGGGTGTTGTCGACTACTCTCGTTGGGAACACTTCAAGGAGGACGACGAGGACAATCAAGCCACTTCTGACATACTCGCAGAGGTCAAGGATGCTGAAAATTCAAAGGCCGCTGATATCGTATCTAGTCCTTCTAAGGGCAACAAGTGGCGAGAAGACCAGATAGAACGAGTTCAAAAGCATTCGGAAGCTTCTCGTCGAGAAGGAAACGACTTATTCAAGACTAAAAAGTATCCAGAAGCCATAGAAGCTTATAGCAAATCTGTTAGAGCACTCTTAGAACCCGAATCGATAACAGCATCTGAAAAGAAGAACGACCCATTCGACTTCTTGGAAAAGTATCGCCAACCTATAGGTAAACTACCCGTCAATCCAATGATTTATACCAATCGAGCTCTATGCTACATCAATTTGAACATGTGGAATGAAGCAGAGGCAGATTGTACTGCAGCATTAGAACTCGATCCCACAAATGTCAAAGGACTTTGGAGAAGAGTCATAGCTCGTGAAAAGCTACACAAGCTAGATAAGCTTGCTGAGTGTCTGTCTGATTTGAACGTATTACAAGACATTGTGGAAGAATATGAAAAAGCCAAGAAGGCTGGTAATAAGAACGTTATAGCTCCCGCAGTTACCTTGAAGGAAGTCACCACTTTACGATGTGGTATCGAGAAGGATTTAAATGCTGCTACAAAGTTAGACAAGGTAGCACGCAAACTCGAAGGTGATGGCATTGTAGCAGTCTTGAAAGGCATCTTAGCTTCTATCGATGAAAAAAAATTAACCACACAAGGAGCAGCTCAATCCGCATTTTCAGCTGCTTTGAAATATTTATGTCAATTAATCTCCGGGCCCGATGCTCAAAAAGCCAAAGATGCCATGCAAGTGTCAGGGTTGTTAGAGAAGTGCTCGTCTGCATCCGTGTTGAATCCAACAACCATACAACACGTAGTACCCATGCTGTTAGCTTCATGCCAAGGACATGCTGAAAACAGCAGGCTGGTAGGCAAAGAAATCGTGAATATCGTAAAGTCACTGGTACTAGGACTACCGCTACCGAACACAGCCACCCTCGTTTCAACATTAAACTTGCTTGCCATATTGACCACGGACGAAACATGCCTCAGCTCGTTTGTCAAACTAGATTTAGATTTAGGATGTAAATTCGCTGCTACAGTACTACTTTCCTTGAGAGATGAGACAGACAAGACAGTCCAGGCTGGCAAAACATACGGATTATCGCTGCTCGACGCCGCTTTCAACCAGCAGCCACGTGGCGCATCGACACTGGTACACAAATGGGGGTTAACACCAAACCTAGTGGTTCCAGCCATTGTCGTATGTATCAAAACGCATCTAGAGCCATCATGTAAACTCATCAACACAATCATCGGCCTCACTGGATTGGCATCACGAGTACTAGTAGTTGACCATCATGCTGACGCACTGTTGGACGTACTATTGGCTGAATTGAAACCGAAATCTAAAGATGTCATCAAAACTCAGCTGGTATTGGTCACTGCCCATAATATCCTAATCCATACGTCCCATTCCATAACACCCATATTGATAAAGTATTCGACTGTATCAACCGTCATTCCATACTTTAAACATCCTGACCTGTTTGCTCCAACCATGTCGATTCTATCTCGCCTACTAAAGCAAAACTCGAATCATGTCCTGAGTCAAATCGACGGATGGTGGGATGAACTTCCAATCCTCTCCATCCTGAACGATAAAGTAAATCATAAAGAGCTACGAGGTCCTGCTTTAAGAATCTTGATTGAATGGATTCGATTACAAAAGTCTAGAGTAGCAGAATGGAAGAAAACAGGTGGATTTGAATGCCTTGCAAACATCATCAAGTCGGAAATGGAGACTACGGATACACCGAGGGATGAATTTGTAGTTGGTAATGCTGCTCTTTGTGTGGGTGATTGTACTCTGACATGTGAGTGTTGTCCATGGCGATTTTAAAGCACTCTTTTGTTGTGTCCAGGATGATCTCTTACATGGATCTTTTAGCATCTCATGCTGAAACCTTCTTGAAAATGGGGGTTGTGGAAGACCTTATCAAGCTGTTGAGGATTATGAAGGATGTGTCTGCTCAACGAAACGTTGCGGTGTCTTGTGCCAAATTGTGTCAAGTCGGTGAGTCTGGTAGCTAGAGGCGCTTTAATAGGATCTAATTATCACATTTTTGATCATAGATGAAACAGGCAAAGTGTTGGATTGTGTTCGATCACTTTCTGGAATCGAGCTTTTGCATTCTTTGAGTAACAAGATAACAGTATAATAGAAAGACCACAGCTGCTCATGTAAATGTATTTTGAGATTGATTCCAATATATAGAATATTTGCTCTTCATGACTGCTACTCGCGTTTACGAAGGGGTTGAAGAATGTTCCGAATCACCTTCAATCAAGTGCGTTTCTCGTTTGAACAACGTCACATTTCGACTACGCACTTAGCAGAAATGGCATTTCAAGCTGAAACAAAAAATAATCGTATTGAAGGTATGGCTGTCACTCTTGAAATTCATTCGCAATTCAGTTGTTGCATTTTCTCATCGTGTCAGTGATACACTCTAGGATGGGGACAACATATCCTACCATCCGGTAACATCTATATAGGCAACTTTGTTGATGGCCAGTACGTGATTATCCACCTCTTCTCTTCAATACAACCTCAAACACAACTAACCGATCGTTTTGCAAATTGGACGCAATTGCAGATTTCACGGCAAGGGAACCCTCCACTTTACGAATAAGGCCAGATACGATGCATTCTGGCAGAATGGAATTGCTGTAGAGGTATGCACGTGCTGGTTGATTACTGTGCTGCGGTTTCAAACAAGCTGAATTGTGCACAAACGCAACACCAGGGAGTCTTGACTTTTGCTGATGGTCTGATATTTGAGCAAGAGAACTGGTCGTATTTGACTGAACAGGATAGACGATTCTATTCGGAACGTGTAAATGGATTCAAAACTGGTAGGTCATGGCTGGTGGTTTCCCTTTAGACTTACAACAACAAAAACGGTAATATGATACTCTGAATGCAGGTGAACCAACTCAATCACTCTCATCTCCATGAACCAATTAGCACGATCGAATTGATGATACGCTGAATACAATGCCTTGTTGTTTATATATTACAGTCTAAAACTACTTAAAAAAAGATGACACTTTTTTGTTCGACAAATTATTTTACTCACAACTGAAGCGACGGTATCAAGGCAGAATCTCCACGAGTCAAATTACCAGTCGATTCTGATGGTACCATGGTTGGAAATAATTCATCCTTGAGATTCGGTTCAAATTGTCCAACAATTTGCCAAGTTACAGTCCACGACATTGGTCCTTGTTGCTGTTGCGGTTGTGGCTGTTGTTGTACTTGCTCTGTTTCTGCTGCTTGTTCCATTGGCTCTGACGGTGGCTGCTGTTGTTGTTCCTCCTCTGCAGGCTTTTCAGCTTCGGGATGGAAGACTCCTTGTGTTGACATTACAAGGAGCATATTTTTAAGCGATTCCAAAACACCTTCATGCTACCGACACAAAAAAAGAGATGAATGAGGTCCGTAGGTCTCTTTCAGAATGTTAGCTTCGGCTACAATCCCTTACCAAATAATCAGACCCCACGGTTGCAAACTGTCCCAAATATTGCAGCAGCCGAGTCCATAAACTCGGCAGGCCTTTAGAGGTATACATTCGTTGCATCGAATGTAAAAAGATTTTACACAGTAATGCAGATGCTCGCATGCGAGTTTCATCTACACCAGGAGAATCCAATGACGCAACTTCAGGTTTGAGTAACTCATCCAGTAAAGGGAACAAAACGTCGTCGAAACATCTAGTCCATCGATCTGGCCCTGCTCCAATGTCCAGTTCCGATGAGAGAAGTGCTCGTTGTAGTAGAGTCATTGCGTATTGGCGGACTTCTCGACATGGATGATAACATTCTTGGCCGAGACCTGATAGCACTGGAAGCCAGAATTCAAACCAGGCTATGGACAAAGAAACATGGTTTGAGACGAATGCGTAAAAGAGAATAGCTGTTGCGATAGCACACCTCTCTCAGGACTACATTGAGCCTTCTCAACAAACTTCGGTATCTTGGCATGCAATTTATACAGCTTGTCCAAAGCTTTGATGGCTCGATCAATAGACTCTTGTATCAATTGGCTGGAAACAGATGTTTTGTAAGCACGATGAAACCCCAAAAAAATGTCAATAATTCGAAACTATATAGACATACGTCTTTTGAGCATTAGCAGCCGACACGTGCTGTTTACCATCACCACCTCTCTTTCCATTCACATTCCTTGGACTAGGTGCACTAGACCTATCATCAACGAATACAGTACTAGAACTTCCACTTCTACTTGGCACCATCACTCCATTATTACTATTACTCGACACATATATGCCTGCTGCGGTAACAAAAGCAATCAATAAATCTACGCATTCACCAAAGTTCTGTGGTGTCAAAATAATGTCGGGTGTATCAGGTATGAGAGCAGATGCAGCTTCAAATGCGTATTTTGATGCTTCGGGATGTGTGGATGCCATAGTCAAAAGAGATAATATTGTCTCCCATTTTGAATATCGACTAAGCAACAAAAGCGATGTTATTCGAAACTAGTGCCTTGTAGCTCAAGGAAATCGAAACAACTCACGTGAATATAGAATAATCTGTCTGAATCAAAACCAGCAATCCAGCGGTCGTATGATCAAGAACACCATACAAAGATTCAGCTGGTACAGACCGTAACAAGTCCAATGTTTGGAAGACTGTAGAAGCCATATCCTCCTATGAAAAAGAGAACAAGTTGATAAACAACTGTACGACCACAAAAAGTGCCATCATCGCTCTAATGAAGGTACCTTATGGACCAATCGACAAGCCAATCTCAACAACCCAACAACACTTCTCTCCAACATAACAGGATCAAGACCTTGCGGTGCAGCCTCCAGCACTGACGTAAAATACGACAAGGTCACTGGCCAAACCACAGACAATCGATCTCGATTCTGAATCAAGATCTTGATTAACAATTCCAGAAAGAAGATGGAAGCAGCATGATATTTCACAACAGCTGGTGTTAAAGATGATGATACTCCTGGTGGACTACCAGGTTCTGAAGGTGCAGATCTAGATTTACGAAGTGACGATATTTTTTCTGACTTGGATGCTTCAATCAGTGTCGTCACCAGAGACACTAGAGCTTCGTCTTCCAAATACCTAATACATTTTATTGCAATTGATTTGTGAGACGTAGAGCGACAAAAGGACCCAAGCTGCCAATATACTCACCGACTATCAGCAAACAAATCTTCCACACGACAGCTTCGAATGCACTCTAAAGTACATCGTTCAGCGTCAATATCCTCTGGCGTAGGCTCTGCATCTTCATCCTCATCTATATTAGGACCAGAACCAAGACTCAATAACTGAGCAAAGGTGGACAAGATACCATCTCGTCGAGATGTGGGAGCAGGTGGTCGTACGGATGGATCTTTTACCGGTATAAGTCGTGGTATGGTGATATTACCACGTACGAAATCCTCAGCTTGAATCATTGGCAGTGGTAGCAAGGAATGCAAAAAGAGGTTTCTTAAACAACCCGCAATCTAAATGTGTCAAAGAATTATATAACCCGATGGTGAGCGAAAAACACGGCCTTCTACTAGACGGAACACGGAAACAAACCAACAATCTTACACTCTTCCATCCTTCCTTGAGACAACTACCAGACTCTGCAGCCAAATTGAACATGAGGACGGCAGCAACCTGTCCTCTAAACTGCCTGCCGAATTCAACAGCCCATCGATCAACCTTCAGTTGGACTTCTCCACTATCCTCTGATGCATTCTTCGAGCCATTCAATCGACGTATGTCTCGTGGAGGTGGTAGAGTGCCTCCATCCTTTAGCAGACCAGTTATTCGTGATAATGATATGATGACATTGTCAAATACATCTGACAGGTGATAATGTGCTGCTACAAGAGCTAATTGATGGAATCCAGCCACCGCTCGTTGCAATGCGACATCGTCTTCCGCATTGTCAAGTGCTAGCGAAAAACAGCGCGGTGAGACAAAATAGCTGCAATTGAATCACGTACTATCGAATCACTATTGTCACGTACCATATCCCAAAGCAGCCACCATAGGACCATATTCCAGCATAATCATGTCACGGTCATAAATGTTTGTTTTGCATGAAATCAAGGTACCCATCTTATCAGTCTTTTTCATCAACTCCTTCCATGCATAATTGAATCCTAAGTCTCCTTCATGCTCTTCAGGCATGACTATTTCTGTGGTCTTGATTGCTTCATATATGAGTTTCTACACGCATAGTGTGAGCAATCTGGTGTTTGAGCAACTGAAACTTTCTACTATAGCTTACGAGATAGTCTGGAGAAAAGTTTTTTCCGTTATTGATTCCGCGAGAATTTCGTACAAAGTCTTCAAAGGTCATTCGGCGCTAGAGATGGGAGAAATGGGACATCAACTCATGCGATTTGAATGCACCAGTTTTTTTTGTTCATAGAGGTCTTACCCGAACTTGAGGATTATGTTGATCAGTATTCAACAAGATGACTGAATATGCCAAAACGAACGTGGCACTTTGATCCTCAATCTCGTGATCTCCAGCTCCTAATGGCACAGACGGTGATGAGCCATTGATCATCACAGTAACTAGGTATGTACTCATACCAGATACACATTCAAAATACGTTTCCGCAAATATATCCATAACTCGTTCAATCTGCTGAGCTTCTCCAGGCAGTCGAAAGCTCTCGAGCATAAACCGTAACGCTTCATCAATACGACACTAGAGCCAAAAAAAAGACGATAAGAGGGTAAACCGTGCATGACCAGCCAAAATCTTAACATACCCCTTTGAATTCAAACTGCTTGACAAAGGCCTTGAGAACTTCTACATTCGCTGGTTTACCAAAGTATTCACCCAACAGCTTCTTGTTAACACCGGGCGTAGACTTCAAGAATGTAGCAATATATTCAGGTTCAGCAGGTGTTGGTAGGAACTTGTGCTCTAACGTTTCAAACAAGAAGCAGGTGAAAAAAGTCGTCCTAGTTCCCCAGCAATTCTTACGAGAAAGAAATCAGACCCAAAACCTACCTTGCAAGAATCGTATGGCATCTTTAGGATCTTGGTTAAACCTTTGTGCACCATCCATCAAAATCTTTTTACTATTCCTTTGACTAAATAGACTTCTTGCAGTTGGTAACTTGATATAGGGAGGGCAACGAAGAGTGTGAGCACAAAACGATGTTTGGATGTCGATACGGACACTATCTTCGCAATACCTTAGATTTTATAGACGAAGTGTCAGACAAGAAAGTCTGATTACCATTCGCGGAAGACATATACCGCCTGTCTACCAAATGATGTAGAAACAGGTACAAACTTTCGAGAGCTAAAGCTTGATGTGTGCTTGTTGTTGCTGGACCACCAGGTGTCCCATCGGGGAATGAGTGCTAATAAAGCCATCAGAAAGAAATGAGATTCCTCTCAAATTAGCTCAAATTAGGTTTTGCTGAAACTTCGAACCTTGGAGAGGAAGCGAATACTCTCTTCGTAAAGACTCATCCTGCTGGACATGTTTCCGTCATAGTTTACATACAAGTCGGAAAAGAAGGTTGGTTGACGTGCCAGCTAGAAGTGCGAGTTCCGTTAGGATTATCACGCTATGGTTTTTTGTTCATACGGGCTTACTTGACCAATCGATTCCAACAAGAGCTCTCTAACTTCTCCAACCAGCAATGGGCTGGTAACCTTTGAAGTAGCTGTACCATTCGATTTAGCAGCTACTAGCGATTTACCGTCATAACCATTGATACTACTCTTTTCCGTTGTATCAGACGAGTCATTCAGAAGCTCTGTCTGCCAGTCTCCCACGTCCCACCCAACGACACCACCATCAACGCGTGCCATAACCCATTCGAGAAACCATTCTTGTTGCAATCTTAAATGCTCTCGTGAGGCGACTAGCATCGATGAAATAACTCGTAATACTAGAGATAGCAGCGTCAAAGCAGCTACTGATGGTGGCGATGTTATGGTCATATTCGTGGAGAGTAACAGCTGGAATAAGAATCGGCACAAGTCGTCGGTAATCAATTCTTTGGCTGATACTGCCAATCTCTCGTCTTCGGAATCAAACAGCTGGTCAGCGTCACCCGAATCGTGACCTGGAAACGTAGCATCCTCAGCAGGCGGTGAGTTTGGTGATGTGGGTGCTATTGGATGTGGGTTTACATGTTCTATTACTGTGACGGGTGCACCAATATCAACCAAACCTGGTTCGACCTCTCGACCAATGTCCACAGTAGCAATTCCACGGACATTGCTTGCTCTTCTTTCAGCAGAAGAAGAAGTCGATGGCTCTCCATTTTCTGCACTGGCAGTTGATGGAGTCTCTATGGGACCTCCGCTAGCTCCTGCTCCTACATTGATCACGGAGCGACCTGCTTCCATAGCAATCCTGACCATATCAGTAGAAGGCTGCCTCCTATGAGAAGCAGCTTCCGGACGACCTTGCCATCTAGCAGCTACACGAACACCACGACCAACCCATACTCCTATTGCACGACCACCAACTTCAAATGCTGTAGCAAGCAGGCCTAAAGCGACAGCTCGATGTACTGAATCTGTATGAGCGCGATTACGAGGGTCTACGAGCGTCGTCAGAACCCGTAATAGTTCTAAAATCGCAGGTAAGCCATATGGTGCGAAAGGGGTTTCATTGGTTGGTTCTACTTCTGGTGGAGGACTTGCTACGCTAGCTCGGGCTATTGCTGCTCGTTGTTGCTCCGGAGTAGGCCGATCCAAGATGATAACTTTCAGCCTGGATTTGAGGGTGACATTGTTGGAATGTGGTCTTCGAATTCTTTCAAACATACAGCAAGCCTCTACCTCTCAAACAATGCCTGTACAATCACGACCAGGGTCTGCTCAGCAGCTCTCCTCAAAAGCTCTAGTGTCGTAGCAATGGAGCGAGTCAGGGAACAAAGCATGTCTCTGTCAGCAAAGCATATGACAACGTACCACTGACACGACCTTGGAAGCACATTCCAAACGCTGCTTCAATCATCTCACATATGCCCTTGTCGTCAAGAGCATTCAAACCAGCTTCAGAGACGACACAGACTCTCAGCAATCTAAGGATCCTATCCAACACCACTTCGTCTGACACGGCATCAGTGGCTTCGAATTTGCAGTGGGTCACAGCATGGGCTAATGACGACATGGCGGATGGTAGATGAGGGCTTTTGGGATCTAATCCATCAGAGAGGAGGTTTAGCGAGTTATATTGTCAGATTGTCTGATTGCAGCCGAATGTGGCCGTACCTAGGATTCCATATGTAATGAATTTTTCCAATGAGTTGAGTGCAGCGCCCGTTATAGGACCAGTAGCATCTCCACTTCGAATGACTGCCAAGAATGGACTGAGAATGTCTCGAGGATCCAGCTCCTGAAGTTCTGTTAGGTGTGCCTCGTGTCAGCAAAGCAAACGAAACAAAATGATTCGCAGAGTTCTTAATCAATGATGGGAGACTGACCATGCACAGAGGCTAAACGCGCTTTCAGTTGCGAGAACATTTGTAACAGAGGGTGTTCCTGAAAACAATCAACGTCAGAAGATGACACCCTTTTTCACACAAACACTCGATATCCATAGGTGTCTCTCGGTGATCGTATACAATACATTCAGATCCCTCATTTCGCATTACCTGACTAGCTCCTAGCAGCTCATTACGTCCACTCGACTGCACAAACTCCATCATGGCATCCATAGTAGGTCCTCCATGAGCAGGAGCGTCCTTCCAGTAATCGAATATCGACATGGGACGCTGTTCCTCGTCGTCATGAAGGGCCTTCATTGAGCCTCCATTGTTGGAAGTGGCCGAAGCATTTGACGTAGCTATGATGCTCCAACGTTGGTTCTTTCTCATTTCGCTTGTGACTGCTACGATTTCGCCGTGGATTACGTGATACCAGGAGAGTGCTGGACGTGGTGTCATGGAAGGTAGCTGCTGATTGCTACTCGACATGTGTGAGAATGGCGTGGTTGACGGATTTGATGTTGCTGATGATGATGAGGTATCGAAAGCAGTGTATGGTGGAAGTGACGATGCTATGGAGGCCGTTGGCTTTCTACTATTATGATCTGGTGTCTGCATAATCTAAAGTATATTGAAAATACAACAGAATCAGTGTCTCATGTTGGAACTCAACTTGTAAGCGAAGACAGCAACAGTTCCTTGTACTTACAGATACGGACCTGTGTTCGACGAGGAGCGGCTATGGAAGTGGAACTGCTTGTACTTATCCAACAAGTGACTTTTCTCTGATATGTTTGTTGGAAGTGTGTTCGACTTTGAGTGTGAAGATGATTGCAGTCACTTCTCACGTCGGATCAGGTCGATATCCTGGGTTTCGACGCGTGTAAAATTGGATACCACCTGTATCGGTACGACTATTGACCTGTTCTTGTTTTTACTGGACGCTCAAAACTCAAAAAACAAATCGGAACTACTGCCATCTTTAGTAGTGCGTTCTTTCACGGCTACAAGGCTATTCTAGTCAAATCTTTCTTGTTGGCATCTTGATCCCATATATGGCCACAGAACGCATAATACTAAACACTCCAAAGTGGTACTATCTCTCTGTATCTCTGCAAGTTCCCCAAATCACATTTTGTAACTCAGACAGCATCCAATTAACATCTCTAATTTCAATGCAGAATATCCGATCCGCCACATCCACTGGACGAGCTCTACTTTAGAAATGCTATGAGCATGGCTCTACGTGAAGCTTTTGGCATCTCGGGAATGTCAACTCCACTCGATCTATTGAGATTCGACCATCAAGCTCAACACGCTTTTATACGGATACCCCAAGTGTAATTGTCGAGTTTCTAGTGCTATTCGATCATATCACGTTTCCAAGTGGTATCTTGGTGCATGCTCCTCACACGTAAATTCTATCTTGGTGCATGCTCCTCACACGTAAATTCTTTAGGTATCTGATACAGGTTCAATCTGCCCTTACTTTGCTACATTCATTGGACGACAGAACGTGTCGTTTTCATGTGCATCAAGTCTCGGCTCATCTAATGTCTTTGGCTGTTGACAATAGAGTCATAAGGGTATAGATCCTGGGGCCTGCCAGCCAATTGCTTTCTGAAACTTAATGCGCTCGTGAAATCCAATTTGTACATCATCCTCTTGTGTAATAGCATACATTTGCATTTTCTAGTGTTACATTCATCGAGCTCTATCCTCTCGTGTAATGTACATTTGCTTTTTCTATTGGAATTTATCGAGCTGGTTTGCAATTCCATCTGCGTCAGGTCTGATGTCCATGGCTACTGAGTATGGATCGATATATACCAATGTCCCTAGACTACTCCTTCAAAACAATACACATGATAACGCTGAATTCACGTGCCAAAAGCACTCACGTTGTTTATTGCTGTACAAATCTCTATTGAGAAGAAAAGCCTAATAACTTCACAATCTAACTCAAACAAAGTATCAATCACCTCTGTTCTACGTTCTACTCCTTGGCAGCCCTTCATTTTGGAAGTTTGCTATATTAGGCTATAAAGGATTTCGGTTCTTCAAACGAGACTCGACGAGCTTTTTGCTAGGTTGGATCTTCACGTGGTTCTGGTGTAGCCATAGATGATTTCGATGGCGATAATGGTGGTGATGGGCGATGCAACGTGCCTACAATACTGTTTAGCAATAACGGGAATGATCTGCGGTTTGTTGCAGTGGTAAATGCTGTTGTCTTGGCACTTTCTGACCCTGTACCGCCCATTCAATGATCGCGAGGGTATCCTCATCAAAAATGTCTTGTGCGAATGCTTCCTGGGCCACGTCCCAAGCCGATTGACCAGATGCGTTTGGCAAGAGTGCCGAAGCACCTTTGACCATGATGCGCATGACGACTTCAGTCAAGCCGAGACATGAGGCGAAATGAAGGACTGCATTTTTCTGAGAACCGAAGCCGGTATCATTCAAGAGCTTGGCTGATGGCAGCTTTATAGACATGTGCGGATGATGTGTCAGTATATTCTACAGTGACTCATATCACAAATGATTGAGTAGAACATCTGCTCATCATGAGGCCCTTCTGTGATGTATTTTCAATATCATACCTTGAGGAGTACAGCGATGATTTCAGTGTATTTCTTCCTTTCATCATCATTCCCACCCATCGCAAACAGAGACATCGCAGTTGAGAGGCCAGTCATTCCCTTCCCAGCACCACCAATAAAAACAGCAATATGATGAGGACTCTCGAACGTCTCCTCAGTTTGGACAAGAGGCAGCTCCGAGTACTTGTCCACAATTGAGATACCATGACGGAGTTGCCAGCTGTGATGGCTTCGACAAATGATTTGACGAGTGCAGGAGACACCACTCCGTCTAAAGACATTGAAAGAATGGAATTAGCAAATGTTTGCCCAAATGTGTGGTTGATGTCGGCCAAGAAGCCAAATGATACAAGGTCTTTCGATATGGAGAGTAGTATGGAACAAAATGGCAATACGCTTCATCGTTGCTAGTTCTCTCTTTCTGTCCATAAGGAGTCATATGATGTTGCTTCGTATATGGTCTTTTTCCGTGAGTGTTTGTTAGAGTTGAATAGCGCTATAAAATCGTTTTAAACCTCCTCCAATGCCAACGCGTTGGAGGAGGCAGATTCAGCAAAGCAGATTTCAACCAGGACTTTCCAGCATCGCGTTTACCCAGGAGAAGTATGTGTCTAGAATAGGGAATGAAGTGCTCAGCTCATTGTGTGAGTGAAAGGTATCTAATTTTGATCTCGTTTGATGCCCAGCAAGATTCTCATGAGATTGCCCAGCTAAACCCAACAAACTGGAACATGACACTTCCAAATAGATACTGTATACCTAGAGCTTCTTCGTTGCTTGAAGCGAACGCCACTTGACAACGCTTCCAAATCCCCAACACCTTTCTCTCCAAAACAGAAGAAAACTTACCCTGTTAGAGCGGCCACATTGCGATGATGATATGAGTTCAACTGAAATCCGTTCGAATGGCTGTCCTTGCTTTGGAAACCAAATCAACTTAAACAATCAACTCGCTTCGTTTCGAGCAGTAAAGCTATAAGAACTCAATGGAGTGCCAGCACGTGTGAAAGCTACTAAAAATCGAATATATACAGGCTGACTCACGCGAGCTACTTAATTGGTGCCCAATGTGCAGGAGTCTAGCACCGCCTCATTATCGACATCAACCCAACATGTCAACCCAACATTTCCCAGCACACACTAACACCTCAACATCTCTAGGAAAGGAATCTGTATCGTCTCTATATCAGCCTGTGATCTCTTTGGCAACCATCACGTTGTTTTTTAAGGCTATACCACCAATCATTTGGAAAGCCAACCCAAGCTCGCTACTCAGTTGTCAGTTGAGACATTCGAGATTTCAGACGGCATTGCAAGATAATAGGAGATGACAAGAGTCTGGTTATTGGTCTTGCTGCCTCCATGGCCCTGTATTCGATGAGCTCAGACGAAGAAGATGAAATCAAGCACTTGTCAGTTATTTGTCTTGCTTCAGGTGCTGTGCTCCTGAGATGACAACGAACCAAGTCTTGTATCATTGAAAACATGATATGAACCAAATCATCATCGAAACATGAAAATCAACTGACGCATCATCCAATCATTTCTCGTCTAGTATCTGCCAAGTGCAGAATACCTCAACTCCTACGTATTCGGTAGTCACCATAACACCCTTCTATATCTTGCATCCAGTATTGGACTACATCGCTACGTGATAGCACTGATGAAGAAAGGAGCCAATGCGTGTGTGAGCTATAAACTTGGAAAAAATGCTCTAGAAATGGCTCTAGAGCCTTTGGCGAAGGGAATCTCTGAAAGAGCAGTCGTTGATATTCTTGAATGGTTGAAGGAAGAACAAGATGCTAAAGCTAGTGGTCTTGAGCAAGCAACAGCAACACACACAAGTCTCATGCAACCAAACATCACACTAGCAGCTCTCGATAAAGTCCTCAATGATTTAGCTGTAGAAGGTCATCCAGAAACGAAGAAGACTTCGAAACGAAGACCAACCTCAGTTGGTATAATTCCACTGACAGTGTCGACTAAAATGTCGCCTGTAAAATCCATCCTCAAAGGTCAAAATGCTGAAGCTGCCTCGAAGGGTGTATCATGGGAGAAACCAAAAACGTTTGTACAGATCGTGGATTTCTAGATTTTGATTCTAAATCATTTGCTTTGAATCTTGTATGCACAGAAACGTGCTATATATCCATCATCAAAATACAAAATAGATCAAAAGGAACGATCCTTGTGTTATAAGCGTGTTTGTGGAATAAGAGACAGGTTTGAGTCTAGGCCCTTATGACTCTATTGTCAACAGCTAAGCAGATCAGATGAGCCGAGACTCAATGCACTCAATGCAGAATCGACCGTTCTGTCGTCCAATGAATAGCAAGCCGAGGGCAGATTGCGACTGTATCTACCTAAACGATATAGAGGTAAGGAGCCTGCACCACGTTGACATTGAAAGCATCATATGGTCAAATAGCACTGAAAAGCATGAGAGCACCATCTACGATTATAGCTTCATCTTAATTTTCATCACTACCACCACAAACAACAATGTCGACCCGTCAGATATAAACACTGGCAATTTGTAGCCTTTCAGCATGGAAGGACCATCATCACATCGTTAAAAACATCGCCTCCGTACGAGTAAACAGCATCAGGGCAGTTTAAGGCTGCTCCTGGAGACGTAAAGACCCCCAACGACCTTGTCTTTAACGAAACCTTCAAGTTTTACAGCGGCCGGGTTTGAGCATTATTTGTTTTGAGCAGTATTCACAGTAGGCAACAAGGTGGGAGCCGGACCAGTTGAAGCTCGTGAAAACCTCTATTTGCATCCTTCGGCTGCACCTGAATCTAGTGTTGCGACGAATCTATTGGTAGTATTGTGAGTGGAACGACACTTATTGCGTCTGATATACTTTCTTCACCAAGACAGCTCTTTTTGCCCAATCATACCTAGTACTCACGTAAGCCATATCAGCTCCTAATGTTTGAGCTGCTCTAATACCTGCACCGTCTGAGACTGATCCGGCCAAGAGAATTGTGCCCTTGAAGAATGTTCTCAACTATATATTCGACGATAATCCAAGAATCAGACACGATTTAGCATCTAGCGGCCAAAACGGTTAATGCAGACCTGTGGCATGAGCGCAAAGGGACTAATAGCACCAGCATGACCTCCAGCACCTTTTTTGTGGAAATGAGTTTAGCTTCGACTTAAATCAAAGAACGAAAAAAGCGACAATAAGATGCTTTATGGGATTCAGTAAGAGCACAATCTCACCAGCGCAAGCAGCACTCAGCCCATCAACACCAGCTTTTGCAGCCTTTTCAGCGTGAATGCTGTTAATCACGTCATGAAACACGACTCCTCCGTAGGAATGCACGGCTTCAATGACATCCTTGGCAGCCCCGAGAGAAGTAATAACGACAGGAACCTTGTTTTTGACCACAACTTCCAAGTTTTTAGCCAGTCGTGGATTCGTTTTATGAACAATTAGGTTAACTGCATATGGAGCAGGTCGTATTTTCGTCCTTCCTGTTGATATGTGAGTAGAAAATCATTGGTATATGAGATGATGGGCCTTCATAATGCTGAATCATCGTAAACTTACCAGCGTTGAAGTTGTGATTCGATTCTTCCAGTCCAGCCTGTATTTCCTGAATCTAGGCATCAAGAGTTTCATCCGATCTAGCATTTAAAGCAGGAAAACTCCCCACAATTCCTATGTTTATTAGGTTGTATCAGTCAAAATCTCGAACAATTTGAATTCACGCAAAACATGTTTGATGACAATACCAGCACGGCAAGCAGGAAGCACAGTTTTGGGACTAGAGACCAAGAACATGGGCGCTGATATCAGCGGAACAGTCAACTGCTTGATCCATGATGGTTTCATTATGAGACTACACAAATAAGCAAACGCAGTTGGACGCTCGATTATTGGCGACAACGATTGATTCAATTAGTAGCGATGAAACGAGCTTGAAACAACGCAATCTCGCTTAATACGCATCAAATTATCTAGTTCAAATCATTGTATTCGTCAACATATATACAAAGTCACGTACGCAGCGACACCAAACCTCGACGAACACATTCATCATGAAGTCGGACAGAGACACCCTACATCCATCACCATCAATCTCATTTTTACTTTTTGATTTCATGTTGCGGATGGTGGGCTCAACTCGTCAGCAGTGTAAGGACGAGCAAACCCTGGAGACAGCAAGAGCAAGCCCTTGACAAATTCTCCCAAAACAAAAATTAGCGAGATAACAAGGTACCACATGGGCACCGTTATAGTTATCACACTATAAAGAACAGATACTACACTTGATCTTAGCCAAAAGGCTTGAGAGGATGGGAAAAAAAATGGTCGTGGGGAAGGTAGGAAGCAATAGATGCGTGTGGCTTGTGTGGGGCTTGGAGTGCGCGCTCTGGTTGGTTGAGGCGGTTTTTGGGGGATTGTGAGGAGAGGAGATATGTGAAGGCGGTGGAAGTGATGGTATTCTCGCGTTTGTATATGGTATCTAGGCGGGCTGGTTGCTACGCAATTCCAAACATCTGTATTGACAGGGTTTATATTCACATAGACGCCTTTGACGAAATTAACATTCAGAAATTGTTCATCTGTTCATCTGAGCAATCTGAGCCGAAATAAGAAGTGAATCAATCTGACTTGGGATTCGTAAAAATCGTCTTCTTATTCTTGGCGTGTCTGGAAGACATACGAAGATTTTGAGCAGCCTCCGACATAGGTCCGTTATGCAACGCAGTCACATTGATGGTACTTGCTCTTGACACAAGCTCTATGTTGCCTCTTCACTTTAAACGCAAACCTCAAACTCCTTGTTCACGTTTGTCCATAATTTATTGCTACATGATGCATGTCACTACATTACTCCCAACCCCGATAATACGTACACTCCCAGCCCCGATGATACTTTTTATACTAAATCAAACTGTCCCCCTCCCACACGCAATACACGATGATGAATATGGCAATTTTCACATGATAGATGTGTTGTTACATACAGAGTTCAAAGAGTGTCCGAAGAAGTCCTTTCGATTTCAGATATATCACGGTTCAGCTTGTCCGGAGTTAGAGAGAGCTTAAGCGTTTCGTTGCCAGCCAACATTTGTTCAAAACGGAGTTCTTTTAATCGCCTTGCAGACGTAGCAGCTGGTGTTACTGAAGGTGATGACGATGGACTACTATTACCACTGTTGGTTCCAATGGTACCAGCACTACGTGATGACGACCTGAAGGACCTACCACGCCGTAGCAGACTTAGTTGGCGTTTCGGTATACTAGTGGGACCTATTGTCGCATAGCCAGTGTCGGTTCTTGATCTAGATTTCGGCTTTCTGGGGCTTATTGGTAGTGCCGCAAAAGCCTCCATTGTTGGTGATGGTGCTGCTATTGATGCTATACTACGAGTAGGAGATGGAGGGGTATTTATATGGTCGTTATTAGAATCTGAATTATCAGATGCGGGTTCGGGCGATGTAGCACCTCGTTCAGCATACTTCATAAACTTTAATATATCGAATTGCGAGACGGCATCCTCACCAACAGTGCCACCCAACAAACTCCTCCTTTTAGCTGGATTATCCCTCGGTTTCGTATACAGTTTGGCACCGCGAGTTGGTGCTTTGGGTCTACCTATAGATGGAACTAGTGGTGGTGGTTGTTGCTCTGGTTCAGGTCCATCTATTATGTCTGGTGACGCCGATAGTGTTTGTCCGATACTTTTAGTGGTGGTGTTTGGTTGTATACGAGGACGAGCGGGGATCTTCCACATATCTTCAATTCTTCTAGCGGGATCATCCATTGGCCTGTCGGAGGTCTCTGAGACTATGTTGGTTCGTGGCAGTGACTTGTTTGCTGATGTGAGTCCTTTCAATGCCCGAGCAGCTCTATCTCGTATCCTTTGTAACGATCCTCTGACATTGAAGGTACCTACAGACACATTATCCAGTTCACGGGTCTTGGTACTGTTATGATAGAGACTCGACTCGAGAGAGTCACGAGCAGCGTTGAATGTTTCAGCCATAGATTCGTTGGAAGTGCGATGGTGGTCGTCTGTATCAGTGTCGTTTAGAGTTGTACTAGCTGTAGAAGGTGTGCTGGATCTGCCTACAGGTTCGTCCGCTTGGTCGACAAATAAGGTTTTGACGTTGATTTGTTGATGTCGGTGAGAGTCAATAGAGGGTTTTCGTCTAGCTAGGAAACGGTTTACAATATCAAATGCCGCGGCTGATAGTACTGAATCTAAGTCCTCATCTTCCTCGTCATCCGGTGCATACGTATGATAGTGTCCAGGGACTCTTGCCTTAAAGTCCTCGTCTTCAATATATCTCCACGTCTCGTATGTAGTAGATCTGACTGATCTTGCCATTTTCCAATAGGCAGGTGGCCGCTACTCTTTCGTTTGATCTCCTTCTAGCGATTGGGTGAGATTGAAAGGGACTTGTTGACTCTTTTCCTTTTTGCTAGGGCTAATAACACACACAGTGGCTCCATAATAATCTTGGGCAAGCAGGATACGACACGTTGACAGGTACGCATTTCTTCTTGTTTGCTGCACGCGAAAGTCTCCTTCTCTCCCATGTGGCCTTGGTTTGTATTTAGCTGCCAAAGGACTAGCCACATTTAAACGCATCACAGCCCAACTTGGCTGGAATTATGCACTAGTCTTCCGGCTATTCAACACATATTAAACGGATTAGACTGTCTATTGCATCGCATAACCGTTATTGACTGAGCTTACCCTGACATTCTAAACCAGGTGGTTCTGGGCATAGACCCCATACTTGAACACTGGCATCATGAATAGTGCACCAAAGCTAGCTGGCATATTAAAAACGGCTCAGGAGGCTGGAGCCTTAGGCCACTCTTCAGGCCCTCCTGCTCCAATACCACCAGAAAAGGATGTAACCTCTCCGTCCACCCCAGACTCGCCGACAACTCTTCACATTGAAGTAGAGGGAGTCCATGAATCCTCAACCGAAAATGAAGAAGATGTCCTGGCTCGTGATGAACAGCATGCTACCAATATAGAAAACCAGTATATTCATAGCAAGTTCTTTGATGGTGTTGCTGTTCGACGACTAGGTCCTCAGGTCGCCTTTTTACCAAACCACCCTGCTATATTGTCGCTATTTGACGATATCGCGGCCTATAAGACTGGGAATCCTGGTAGCACCGTTACTGAGGCTATGGAAGTCTTTACCAATCGAGAGAAGGCATCCAGAGGTATGGTCACAGAATCTCTCATTAGTCGCTGTCACAACATTGGATGATCGCTTACACATATGTCACAACCTAGATACGGCCCGTAGTGGTGAAGTAAAGGCCAGACTCTTGATGTCTGATGCCTACTGTAAAATCATCTATGAAGATCTAGCCACGCATTGGGACATGATCTTGTCATATGATGTATGTCGAGACGATCGTGTAGATAGGGTGCAGGCCCATCGAGATGCCAGAGCGTCTTTTGAACGACAATTAATAAAGGCAGGCTTGGTAGTAGTCCATCAAAAGGATTTTGAAGCCATCAAAGACCAGGAATGGCACTACACTAAAGTAATGGCACCATGGGAATTACTATGTATTGAAGCTGAACGTGCTGATCTTAAGCTGGATTTAAGACCAGAAGGTGCTACATTCGGTACAGCCGCCCCACTAATAGATGATATACCACACGAGGACGCAAAGAAACCTCCACCGACAGCTCCACAGAGAGCCGCTAAAGCCATCCGTATGAGAGAAATCGCCACGTTATTACGACAACGAGCCGATGAAGAACGAGCTGCTCAAGCTGCAGATCCAGATGCTCCTCCACCGCCAACTCCTCCCAAAGTAGCAACCGTAAACGAACGTAAAATGGGTAGTTTTGGTGATGTATTCGCCGCAACCCAAGCACAGGCTCAACAAGTAGGAGGGGCTGTAGGAGGATCCCTTCAACGAACAGAATCCCTGTTTCTCAACCTGATGAGATCTCAAAGCCAAACAGTCTTACTTAAAGGTGTTAGTAACTTTGAGGAAGGGCCAATAGGCGGTTTAGCGGGCACGCTACGATACATGTTTGGTTTAGTAGGAGGAGGTCTGGAACTAGACGCTCTACCATTCCGATACAAGGACATTGCAGATTTTAAAAACGGAGATGTGGACAAGTTTGGTCTACCATTCGTAATGCAAAACTTTTTCCCATCTGTAAGACGGAACCTGTTGACCTACTTGATCCTGAATCGTGCTAAATGTGATCATGGATTGGGTGAACAGTCGAATTCGACAGTCAAGGATTTGATTGAAGACAAGATATATGAAGATTGGTTTGCTCTTCATGATGGCCCACAGGCTGGAGACGATGTAGACTATGAGAATAATTTGAGAGCTAAAATCTATCGGGATTTCCACTTTACGCAATTCACTTGGAATGCTTTTGTGGCGAGGCTGCCGTTGAAGGATATTCGAGACTACTATGGAGAGAAGATTGCCTTCTACTTTGCTTGGGAATGTAAGTTATCAAACGCGTTCATCAACAGTGATATCTGTGACTCAATCGACCCTTTACTTTTAGCATTTTATACCTTGTGGATTTGGTTTGCTTTCATCGTCGGTTTAGCTGTCTTTGCTTATGGTGCTTATGTCGCGTCCATAAGTAGCAGCAAGGACGCGTTCTACAACATGTTTGATAATGCTGCTACAGCTCCATATGCATTCTTCATGTCTCTATGGGGCACCATGTTTTTGGAGTTCTGGAAGCGTCAAAATGCTATTTTGGCCGCCCATTGGGATGTTTCGACCATCACAAAGGCTAAAGCTGTGAGTTAGAGGCGTGTGCAGTGTTTCCTTGTATCATGTCACTGAAATATTGCATTCTAGGAAAACCGACGACCACAATGGTATGGTACTCGACTCCGTGTATCTCCAGTCACGGGAAAATTGGAACCGTATATGCCAACGTTCGAAATCTTTTTACTTCGGCTAATCGCCGGCCTAGTGCTCGCTGCTCTGGTAAGAATACATTATTGGTCAAGCTGTACCAACTCAGACAAAAAGCATTACTTATATATGATTGATGTAGTTGGTGTTTATGGTGTCCTTCCAAGCAGCAGTCGTCATATATCACGCTGCCTTAAAAAACGACGCCAACTTCACTGCAACAGCAGCCGGTGAAATATTATCATCCGTAACATCTGGTCTGATTTCCCTCCTCAACATTCTGTTACTCACACCTATATATCGATGGATTGGTGACCGACTGAATGATTTCGAGAACTATAAATCAGAGGATGACTTTGAAAAGAATGCCATCTTGAAGAACTTTTTGATTACTACAGTCAACTCGTACGCTTCTTTGATTTACATTGGATGTATCAAGGTGTTTGCTGGTGGTAACAACAGCGCTGGGGGCATTCTCGGATACTTTAAAGACAATTGTGTAAACACTGGTGGTAGTGCCAGTTGTATGGGAGGTTAGTTGGTGCCAAGATACCAATTCAAAGGCTGTAATGAAGAATTGACATTTCTTTGTTCAAATAACTTAGAATTGATGATTCAAATGGCTATTATCTTTGTTGGTTTACAATTCTTCAGTCAGTTGTTGGAAATCGCTATACCGTAAGTTTGATCATTTGTGACTTGCCAAAAGGTTTGCAATATGTCTCACGAACTCGTTGTTTTTTTTTTTTTTTGTTTTCTAGTTGGTACTCCAACTTGAGACGTCGTCAACGTGAACAGCACCGTATGAAGGACATTCTGCGGATGGATCGTGAACTTCAACTAAAGGGCACACCTCAATTCTTGGTTGATGAAGATTTAAGTGACTATGTTCAAGATTGGGACTACTCATCTCAAGGTATGATAACTACATTGGAATTGATGTAGGCAACTAGGTGTATAACTGAGAATGCTTTTTTTGCTTTAGTCGTCCAATTCGGTTATATCGTCCTCTTCTCTTGTTCATTCCCACTGGCACCCATGTTTGCTCTATTGGGTAACATTTCCGAAATCCGAGTAGATGGATACCGTATCTTACGAGAATTCCGGCGTCCGTTTGCTCTACGAGGTAGGGAAGAATTCAAGCATGGCACCACTCCTCAGTTCTTGGTATATCTCGTTCACTGACATTCCCTTTTGTCTCCAGCCATGAATATCGGAGCTTGGGAAGACGTCTTGGTCATTTTGTCGTGGGTTGGAGCTATCGTCAACGCCGTAATTATCGCCTTCTCGTCAGCATGGTTTAACAACTACATTCTGAATTACTACACGGTCGATCAGCAATTGGGTATACAGTTGGCCTTCATCTTGATCTTTGAGGTAATCCAAAAAAATCCTACTTTGTGTAGACCTGATGCAATCCACAAGTGCCTTTCTAACATAATTGTTTACCGCAACAGCACATTCTCATTGTGTTTAAATGGATCATCACCCTTGCTATTGCAGACGTGCCTATTGAAGTACAAGAACTTTTAGCCAAGGAGGAATACGTTGCTGGTTTGAGAGCTGGTGAATTCCAGGAAGTTGAAGACGCTGCTGAAGATTCACGTGTCCTCAAACGACTCTGTTTTGGGGCGATTTGAAACAGCCTTTTTGTTTGTCCTTTGGGAGGCCTTTTATAATTTTGGACGATGCATTTTAAACCAATTTGACATTCTACTACTACTATTACAAATATACTGATCTCGTTTAACAATATATATGTGGGCTCGTTGAGTGATATCATGTTTGAATTGTTGTCAAGGTTTGAAATCGTCCATGCGAGGTTAAAGGGGTTGCGGTGCTGGTGGTTATATCGTTTGCGGTGGTTATATCGTTTGCAGATTTTCAAGTGTTCCTAGTATGTGGAGAAGGCCGTTTTAGACATTGTGTTGCCATGCTTACATTTGCAAGCAGTTTTTTGGTGGTTGTTTTACTTACCTTGAGACAGAGTTCGTAAGAAAGCTGGCCTCGATTGCTCTATTAAAATATGACCAGTTATAGGCGTGCTTCTTCTGCAAAACTGTAAAGATTCCATACCAGTTATTGGAGTTGCGGCAGTACTGTTGAATTGGAATGGAGAGAAGGGAGAGCCGACATCACTGGAGACTGGGGACTGGGATATCTGAGTTAGTGCACTGGTGAATTTATTAGAAAAGACGCTAGTCCATGTCTTTGGTGTATTAGCCTGTTTGTCCATGGTTAGTTTTTTGATATTTTCTTGCGAGCTTTTTTGGCAGTGTCACCATGCCAATCAATCCCCATTTATCATTTTCTAGAAGCTTGTTGTGATGAACACAACGTTTTGGTGTCTGTTGGATTGTGAACGACGCGTTATTTTGGAATGTAAAGACGCCAACCATTATTAAGTATCTCTGCATTTAATCACAAGCATTTGTAAATGTAAATCATAAGACGTCATCAGACTATATTGTAAATAATAAGACGTTATCAGACTATAATACGTGTTTTTAAGTGCTTATGTGCTTTTTTATGAGATGTTGACAAGTGAAGAAACAGCTCCAGATGATACGAGAGCTTGCTGAACAGACGCTGATGCCGTGTTGTTTTGGGCTCTGGTTTCAGCTAAAATGGCAGATTTAGTGGCCGAGTCTTTTGCAAGCTGTCGAAGGAGCTGAGCATTGGCACCAGTTTCGTCGACCAGTTTTGAGAACGCTGAATGGGGATTTGAGAGCAATTCGTGTGGTGGAGCAAATTCGGCAACACATCCATGGTCCATGACCAAGATACGGTCAGAGTCAATTATAGTGTTCAATCTAAAAAGTGGGTCACGATGTTACAACAAGGTATCGACAACTATTGAACAGCTTTGGCAAATACTTGCCTATGAGCAATGGTAATGATCGTGTAGTGGGCAAAGTCTTGACGAAGCAGTTCCTGAATCTTGGCATCTGTCTCGACATCTACAGAGGCAGTAGCCTCATCAATCAAAATGATACGTGCTTTGGAAAGCATGGCTCGTCCAAGACACATCAGCTGTCTTTGACCGACACTAAAGTTTTCACCACTGAAAGACAATAAAATTGTCAGATAAAATAGCTGCAAAGGCTCTACACAGCTTTTCCACATACCCTTCAGACACTTGAGATTCCAGCTTGCCATCCAAGCTACTAATAACTTCATACAATCCACACCGTCTCAACGCAGTCCATATTGCGTCATCAGTATGGATTCCTGACATATCCAAGTTGGATCTCACACTCCCGTCGAAGAGCGTGGGCGTTTGTGGAATGATGGACAGTCCATTTCGCAAATCTTTGAGAGTCAAGGTGCTGGTATCGACACCATCGATTTCGATACTGCCTTTACTGAGCTCTACCAAAGAGAAAAGTGCTGCGATGATACTCGATTTGCCAGCTCTGAAGATTGAATATGCGATTAGCACCAACAAAAGGTCAGAAAAATAGTCAAATAATAATGAAGATTGGAAACATCGCTTACCCTGTTCGGCCTACAACACCAATCTTTTCAGCACCGTGGATGTTCAGGGAAACATCTTTGAGAACAGGGTCCAATTCTTCTCTATACTTGAGCTCGACATGCTTGAGCGTGATTTCACCAGCGAATGGCCAACCATCTGGTTTAGGATTTCCAGTAGTACGTTCCTGTGGGAGTTGTGTACCATAGTAACCCAATCGTTCGATTGAATTCATTCTAGATTCAATCTCGGCAATGTTTCTAAAATGCGATTTCGTAGGTGAATAAAGTGCTTCTCGTGGTAACCTAATCATCAGCATTTATACCTGAGCGACCAATTGAGCAAACCCAGAATGGTAATACCATACGATAAGGCTAAACCCAATATAGCAGTTGGAACATTTAGAGCAATTCCAAGAGTGGGAACTAGCCAAACCATTACAGCGACCATGCATTGGGCTCGAATCGACACCCAACAACCAGCTGCAGTTCGTAAATAAGTAGGTTTGTTGGCTTCATTCAACAGGTTGTTGTTGACGGTGGTGAATCTCGTTTGTTCACGGTATGCACGGATCGTAGGCAATCCCGTCAAAGATTCAGAAACTTGAGCGAATAGTGGTGATCGAGCTAGTGATTCCAATCGCTTCAGTTCTCGGTTGGAAGCTGAGTAAAAGTTTTGCATCACGATGTAAGACGGCACGATGATGGCTAAAAAAAAGCGGAAACGTATAAATTATTGATTCGTTCATCATTCAAGAGTAGATTTGTTTTAGTAACGAGCGTACCAAAGAGAATCAGCATGTAGGGTACAGCAAATGCGATCTGGGAATGACGGGACGATGCGTGTGAGATACAGAAGACGAACGATTCGAGAGTGGAAAAACACTTCGTTTTACCAGTCCTATTGTTCCCAGCATAGAACCAAGCAGATTCAGCGTGGCACTAAGAGACAAACCAAACTTGTCATTGACATCGTTGAAGGCTTTGAGGTACTTGCAACCATTTACCGTAGCATTTGAGCCATAAAGCGATCTATCTCAGACACGTCACGACTGAATCGAGAAAGAATACGACCCAGTGGCTGCGTTTCAAAGAAACTCATCTACAAAAAATAGTGATTTAGTGCCTGGAGATCTAAATGAATAAATTCGTGTCTCTGAAAACGTTTGAACTTACTGGTGATTTGAAAACTCTAGCCAAAGCAGCATTATGCAAATTCTTAGAAGCTTTGAGGCACAGTAAGAAAACAAATAATCCATGTAGATCTAAATATGAAATATTCATTTGGTAAGTTCCACTCCCTTGGGAAATTCAGCCAGACGCCAGGAAACTTACATGAGCCAAGAACAAATAGAGCTCCAAATACAGCATACAGAATGATATAGAATTCAAATGATTTGCCCAGTCTGTCCGTAGTCCAAAAGAGCAACATCAAATCAGATGCCAAACGGAAAGCAATGTATACCACTAGCCCGACCAGCATCAAAACAGCGACCCAGATGCCTCCAAATGCATTCATAAACATAAGGTAGTGCGTGAATTTAATAGACCCCTCCTCACGCTCCTCCTGACTCATTAGAGCCCTAGGCTTGTCCTTATTCTCGAAAGAACTGGTTGTAGCAACCGAGTTCTTCCTCTTCATTGATGATATACCACGGGACAAGTCTCCATTGGGAATCTCCAGCTTTTCGGAGCCAACTGCTTCTACTCGTGCTTCTTTTGATTCTTCTTCTTCGGGTACACCATATTGTTCAACCAGTTTGGCGAATGAACCATTGGCACTCAACAGCTCATGATATGTGCCTCTTTCGGTAATTTGACCCTTTTCCATATACAAAATATAATCCACTTGTGGCTATCAAAACGAATTGGTCATGTAAGTATTCGCATTTTGGAGTGCTACCAAAGAGTTCAAAGCCTTACCAAAAAGTGAATCTGATGGGTAACAAGTAATCGAGTCTTATCTGAACAGTAGTCTCGAATACATTTCTCAAAGATATGAGCACCGACGTGACTATCGACTGCGGCGAGGACATCGTCCATGTAGATGATATCAGCATTCCTTCATGAATAAAGCTTAGTTAAATAATAAAAATGGAAGATATGCGAAAACTAAAATACCTATATATAGCCCTAGCTAACGAGACACGAGCAATTTGGCCTCCACTTAATGTCAACCCTTGCGTACCGACCTCAGTGAGATCACCATCAGCAAACTCTCGCAAGTCTCTCTCCAATGCCGTGACTCGCACAACTTCTCGATATCGTCCAGCATCATACTCAGTGCCGAATAAGACATTGTTCTTGATGGAATCGTTTGTAATCCAACCTTGTTGATTGGCTAGGGCTGTCGTTCCATAAATGTCAACAGATCCTTTGGCTCGAGACATTTCACCAGTAAGAGCACCAAGTAACGACGATTTACCACACCCAACCGAGCCGACGATTGCTGTAAGAGAGCCTTTCGGTATAGTGAAATCAATACCTTGTAAGTGCATGACTGATGGTGGTTTCTCTGCTATTGTTGGCTTGGCGGGTGAGTCCTCCTTGACCAGTTTTTCGTTGCTATTGCTCTTGTTCTTGAACAAGGCGTTCTTAATGGAGGAGATCCTGGTTTTGATGGACGAGGACCAAGACTGCTTCGATTTAGTGTTGGCTTCTTGAGTGACAGATGGGTCCTTTTGGTAAGAGATGTTAGTAATTCTGCTATGGAATATCCTTTCAAGTAACACATACCCATGTTTCCCATTCCTGCCAGAAAAAGTCAGACTCCTTGATGACTATGGAGTTCTTCTTGTCATCAGAAGCATCGTGAACAGTAGGTGGTGAATCTAGTTCGTCTGCTGAAAGGTATTTGGCCAGACGACGCACGGCGACGATAGCTTGCCAAAGGAGTTGCAAGTTCAGAGGCATCTGTGATGAAAGAACATGATATGACTATTTGCAAAGGAGACGTTTGAGTGGTATTGCTATCTTACCATAATCATAGGTCCACGCAAAATGTTGATTGCACTTAGAGCAGGGAAGATAACCACGGGGTCGAGACGACCATTTTGGTACCAGTAACTAGAAAGGGAATCCAATGTTAATAGGTGGACTCAATAGTTATCAACAGGTGATCAACCTACAGTGAGAAAACAGTAATACTGATCACTACAGGGATCAGCTGCACAATGCCGTTAAATGTGGAATTGATGAATGCCAACCATCGTTGACGTTTCAAGTCTTCTTCTCGTAGATTAGTCAGGCGATTGATGAAGAAGGTTTCCCATGAGAAGAACTACTCAAGATGGATAAATATGCTGCTTCCTGTCAAAGCCCGAAAAGGGTGGCAACACTTTGAACTCACTTTGATGATCTTCATTCCTTGAAGGGCTTCAGAGGTCAATTTAACTCTCGAGTCCGAGAAATTTAACGCCTTTGATTCGATACGTTCGGCAACTCTCATCAAGACGAATTGAATTGTCAATCCTAACAGTACACAGAGAACACCAAAGGCCTAAGAAACGAGAAATCAGTGAGTAGAGCGATGTTTTCAAATCTCAAAACTGATACGTACGCCAGCTCGTCCGAGGTAGTATACTAGCAAGAGGGACAGGAAAATGATCTGGACTGGTACACTCCACATGTCGTGGATCCATTGAGAGAACCATTCCAGGGTGTTTGTGTCTTGGGCCAGCAGCTAATATAAGACGCAAAAATTTAGTCAACGCAAATCTTGAATACGAAACCGCAAAGGTCCAATCAACAAAACTTGATTAGGAGCCGCAAAGTTCTAGTCAATACAAATGCTGATCGTCCTCCACATCTGTACTCACATTCATAACTCGTCCAGAAGGGTATTCGTGTCTTGAACGTGCTGATAAGCGCAACGATTTCCTGAATATAGCTGACACCATGATGGTTTTCATGCGGACTCCAAGACTCCTAACTTTCAGCTCTTTGGCAGAATTTGATATAGATACATTTACCTAATAAATTATACGGTTAATGATGGCACAATGAACAAGGTTGTGGTCTGAAAAGTCTTACTTGCGCGAAAAACAACAACAGTGCCCAGCAATAACCCGTATACAGAGGTGCAGCATCCGGAGTATCCTTTGTAGACAGGAAACGTAATATTTGACTCAATATCAACGGAGTCAATAGCGTACTCCAAGACTGTGAGATCTCAAAGACTGCAGACATGAGAAAGTCCTTCCACATTATCATAAAGAAACTCTTTAGAATCTCTCCTCTAAACCCTCTCTCAATCTCTTCAGATTCAATATTCCCCATGGCCTTTCTCTTCATTCCTATACGTTCGTGAAAGATATCACTGATGTATTTGGCATCGAATTTCGGTAGGAGCGAATAGAGATCAGACTGCTGCAGAGGATTCCTGTATCCTTTAAACATCAAGGGAGTCATCCATGTAAAGAACATCTTTGCAAAGATGTTGGCTTTTACTTCAGGGCCGTCCGTAGCACCTTGATGCTGTACACCATCCTTTCCGTCATTGCCTAGGAACGACGGACCTAGATAGGTGAGAACAGAGGTCAGGAGTGGCCTATATGCAGGTAAATGCATTTCACTCGCTCACTCACCTTGGCTCTTGTAACTCGATGTTGATCCACGAGAACTCATGATCGGTGTTTCCAGTTGTTGCGTTAGATCCTCACTAATTGTAGCTGGATTCAAGATCTCTCCTACAATTGACATGCGTCTGCCAGTGTTTCCGATGGTCGATGGTGGTGTGGCCATCTTTGCGAAGCGATGTGATTTGTAAAATGTTTTCACGATGTTTACGCCAGATGGAAGACACAATCGGTCAGCGGACTCTGTACCAAACTACACTACTAGGAGTCCAATTCGAGACTGATCTTCTCCAGCCAGCGATCAATACACAAAATATCGAGAAATCCTTGACTTAAGCTTTAGCAAAAAATTGAGAACAGTGGCTCTTTTCTCAAGTGACATCACTTTAGCCGAGTCGTGACCGAACAAGCTCAGGGGACAAACGTAATGGGTTTCGAAGAACGTGCAAGATTAATTTTACAAAATTTGGTCAGTCCGGAACGTGCAGGTGCCAAGCGAATAGAAGCTTCAGACTTTGAAACTTGACGAGACGCAACAAATCACTACACCCGAAAGAGTTCGCTAGACACCACGACTGTACTATATTATAGAAGGATTTTGGTAAAATAAAAGCATATATGCGAGGCCTGCTCCGTCTTCTTCTTGCTATTGAATTGTTCGACTATTTACGTTTATTCAACTTGCTGTTTCTTATCCGCCCCAAGTGTAATTGGCAAAGTAGGTCGACAAGAAGGTAGCAGATTGCTTCACAGTACGATTTAATGTCCCATTACCAACGCCGGCAACACCACCCATGGTAGCAGGGAAGGTCGGATAATCTATGTGCACAACACCAAATCGTTCAGCGAATGCTGATGTCCATTCAAAGTTATCCACAATGGCTAAAATCGAAACAAAAGGCGGATGAGTATCATAGTAACCAAACTAGACTTGCAAGTCCAAACGGAGTCGACGGCAAGCCTTGTTGGCACCCCAAAAAAGGATGGCAAGCAATAGAGTGATAACTTACACCAAGCAAGATATCCCATAATGTTAATCTTGTCCTGCCTAATAGCTATATCCATCTGAGCCAAGTAATCTGCAAAGAACTTGACTCTGGTATTATCTGATACGGCTTGAGCAGTGGTCATGGATGGTTCTCCATTCACAGAGAATCCATTCTCTGTAACAAAGATTGGACATCCATATCGGTTGTGGATCCAATTGATATTCCTTCTCATAGCCATAGGTGCATAGTAAAACCAGGATGTTCCAGTGAGCACTCCACCAATAACAAACCCAGCATTATTTGACAGAGTTGCGGTTCCTGATGGTCCTGTTACACGACAAAACGGACTTCCAGCACATGCTTGTACATAATATGCTGTGTACACGTTTAGTCCAAAGAAGTCGGCGGCTCCTAGTACCAGTGCTTTTTGGGTTGGAGTAAACGTAGGCAATTGCGTACCGTACGCTGTTCTCATGGATGCTGGATAGTCTCCTGTATATATAGGGTCAGCGTATCTGCCAATTTCGAATTCCATGGCCGCTTGAGATGCTGCTATGTCTGGCGATCCAGCAGTGGCGTTCATTGGTTCATTCCAATCACAGACGTATACCCAAGAGATTTGGCCGGCTTGGTATCGATATTTGGTTTTGTATGTGTTGACGGTCGTAGCATGGGCCAGTATGTGGTAGTGATCACACATTAATTGAGCAGTCACATTGTTGGACATGCCTGGAGGCCATTTACCACCTGTGTATCCTTGGTAACATTCCGAATAGGGTTCGTTCATAGTTAACCATATCTTTACTCTGTCACCATAGTTGCTGAATAGCGTATCAGCGTAGGTGTTGAAGTCCTGTAACATATAATGTACGCAAAAATCAGTATCGAATTTTCGGAGACGATGATCAAGGTTCTTTACTCACAGCAATGATCTGAGGATCAGTCCATCCACCATACTTTGTGGCCAAGGCAGTTGGCAAATCCCACTATTAAATGATGGAGCATCAGAACCTGTACTTGCTGACCGAAACGTCTTCATTGAAGACAAGGTACAGATGCTTACATGGTACATTGTAGCAATAGGGATGAGTCCAGCGGCAATCACGGCATTTATGAAGGTATTGTAGTATGCAATACCGGCTGCATTAGGCGTTCCAATACCATTAGGGAAGATACGGGCCCAGGAAATACTGAAACGGTAAGCTTGAGCATTGAGGTTCTTCATGATGGCCAGATCTTCTGGATATCTTTTGTAGGCGTCTGCGGCTGTATCTGCATTGGTTCCTCCTTCGCAACATACAGTTGCGTTGTGAGTCCATGTATCCCATACTGTGGTTCCTCGTCCATCAGCAGACACACTTCCTTCGACTTGGAAGGCAGCTAAGTTGATTTAATATGGTAGAGTCAGTACATTTCTTGAAGAAATATAGTCTTATGAGTCAAATTCTTCGAGTTAATCATTGGGAATAAAGAACTATTTGTCTTGGCCTCAACATCGTAACAACAGCATAGAGATGATATCAACAACTGCAAAAGCAAGCCGGGCCCTGATATCTACGATCCAATAGATGTACAATCCAATGAAAACGTTCCAGACTTTCCCTCTCTCCATGCAGAGGTCCTCCACACAAATGTTCAAGACAAACTCCGATTCAGACCATGCAACTTACAACTAGCAAAACCCCATATGTGAGCTGGTAGAGTGGAGTTTGCACCTGGAATGACAGCTAATGGACTGGCTACAGCAGCTGCAGGCCCACTTGCTTGAACCTCTTTCGAGGAAAACAAGATACCGCTTAGTAGTGCAACCAACTTCATAGTTTTGAGCATTTCGTAGCAACGTTGAAGCCTGTTGCAGCCTGCCTTGATCCACAGCGATGTCTCAAGCTCTTGTCTGGCTTGATTCAACTGCTGTTTTGATGCTGGTGAAGGATTCTATTTTCGTATGTTGGTGGATCGAAAAGAAACAAATAACGGCAAAGCCCTCGTTACCGCACAGAACGCGTGGGGAGGGCTGTACATGTTAAATCACGTCGCCAACGTCAAAGAAAATTTACCACGATTTACGTAACAACATATTTTATATTTTATTAATGGACAAAGGAGTCAAGGGCAGAAAACAGCCAAGGAAAGTTACAGATTCAATCCCAAAGGAGATACACAGCAAAATGTCATTACAGTGAGGCCCTCAATGGTTCAGGCGTTGCGCGTTTCAGCGTCTTATTAACATGACCTTCAATGAACATGTTCATCCTAGCAACTACGCGATTAGCAAAGATTTCTAAAATTCAACATGTGAGCACTTACCAGTCACTACGCTCAGAAGGCAGGGCATGACCGCCACCAACAACGACTTCAAGTGGGCAGTTTAGATGGTGGGCCAAGTGCATCGAGTTTGTTGGCCTGACTAGCTTTTAAAGTGATTTACAGTAAACGAGCGTTCGTACCCCAAGTGCAATCCAAAGCCTACCTGATCCCAAGTTCCAGTGACAACGATGAAGCGAATTTGAGTACGTGATAGCTTTTCTAATCGTTTTCGAGAAACATAGTGCCAGAATATAGCTGCTAACTGCCCTGAAGCTCCTTGCGCGGTTGTCATTGGTACCCCAGACTCTCGATTAGCAAGATATGCGAATGTCTGCTCCCTCTGTGTTTTGAATTTCCCACCAGAGGCAGGCGATTCTAAGAAGAGTGGTGGGAACAACATTGACTGAAGTATTTCAAGCTTTTTACGGCCAGATTTCTCCAGCATGGATCTGGGCACAGCCAATGCGCCTCCAAAAGGTGGGATTGACATGCCACCATGTGTGCTGATTAACATGCAAGATTCAAACATCGAAGGCGCCAAAAGCATGAGCTCCAGTGCAATCTAACATTTTTGAATCAGTTAATAGGTAAAAATTACCTTCAGTGGATCGGACTCACCATGCCTCCCATTGAGATTGAGCTATTTTAAGACAGGAGTGAGTTGCGTCAAACGCTACCAGAGCTAAAAAGTAATAATAGCCTTACACTACATGGACTTGAGACGTCCAATGCAGATACACAAGTAGCTCATGAGCATCCTTTGCCATCTCTGCAATCGAATAGCGGCCTTTAGGTGCATCCGAGCTACCCACTCCAATATTATCGAACACACATATTTGGTATTCAGTGCTGTTGGCAAAGTGCTCGACTTGGTTTGACTATGAGGCAGCAAAAGCAGTAAATCAGAGCGAGAGCAGGTGTTATCAAGTAAACGAGCGTTGAAATGGCATGGATCCAAGTGCCACGTCACCGCGACAAGCTTATTACCCATCCTGTTGACGGAACACTGAATCCTGAAGTTGAAAATGTTATTATCGTGATGATCCGAGGCAGAAAATTGACGTTACTAACCCATACTATGGCAAAAACCGGGTTGGCGAATGTTGGATCAGCACATTGAAATGTTTCGCGACGTACATGAATAAGATCTTCTTTGAGCCTGATCCGTGTATTTCAAAATAGAGACTACGACTTCCAAAGGGTCGTTTTGCTCCAATAGTAATCGTTTGACCTGGCCTTGATGCCTTTTCGGTCTTTGAACTCATCATTCGTGTTTTCAACCAGAATTGCAGAATAGAACAGAAAAAGATGTCCTGCAAAAGAATCGTGTCAGTACTATTGAACTCTCGTCAGCACCATCTGCGGCCTTCCATACAATTACAACCTCTTACTGGTCTGCTCCAGATAAATCCTTCAGTTGTGCGTTTTGCATCGACTGCATCTGTCACCAAATCAAACAAAAACAAAAATGTAAGCACAGATATCATCTCATTGATGAATTCAAGCTCAGATCTGTACGACCCAATCTCACCCTGGTCTTATTAGGACGATGTGTCAAAAGCAAAAAAATCAAGTTTGTTTGAACGAAGCTTTTCGCAACCACTCAATGAGCTGGTAAAGTGTGATGGATACATGCTTTAGGGTCTATGCAAGAGACTTACTCTATTCTCTTTGGCTGAATCGGCTAGATGGAAGGACTTGCGCAACTACTATCAATATCACGAACAGCATTTAACATCTACTGGGACAATAAGAGGATACGAGATCGTTTTGACATTGTTCTGATACAACAGTAAGAATGGAATCACGTCTAGCTCTTCGCCAATGAGTTTGCTTGACACGTTGCCAATGTTGTTGTAGGGCAAAGACAGACCTGTTGGCAGTGATACCTGGACTGGTGATATACTTTATCCCAATTCAACAGCTCAAAGTATCTGTTATTCGTCGCTTCCCTTCTCTCTATCCGTTCGTATTTGTCACGCCCACATTATACGTAAGGACAAAAAGGTCTGTTGGGACTCTCAACGAATGCTCATCAAACTCTTTCGTAGAGCCTGGTATTGAAAGATGCAACGGCATGGAGAACGAATGAAGCTATGAATGTGCTCAAGCTGTTGAGTGATGTTTCAACACGATCAGTAGAATCGCATGATACAGATTTGAGGTTGCAGAGACTGAATGCCTTGGTACGTAAGGCGACATTACACGTGCAATTTTTTTTGCTTAAGAAACCTTTTGGCTGTCTATTAGATAGCACGAGCTAAACAGCAATACGAGAATCCAACCATTGTAATTCCATACACACAACTACAACCATTATTCGACCACTTCCGATCCCATCTTTCTCCCCTCAACATGTCTCACTCAGAGTTGACTGTCTTAACTCGATATTTAAATTTCACCACTCGTCGAAGTATACCGTCCGCATCACTAGACCAAAGTATTAGAATGTTTGTGCCTCTGCCTCCTCTAGAGAAGCTGACTCAATGGGCTGATTGGATTGTGAAAGATGATCAGGTCAGTACATGGCCAAAAGAACGGAAAAGAATAGCTATTTGATGAAGTTCTCTAACAACCTCTTCCACCAACTCTAGTTGATTCGACACGTGGGGGTGAAGAGCTTGAACGACTATGAAGTCACAATGGCATTATACGAACGTGGATACATTCACTTGAAACAATCAATACCGGATTTGAGAAACACACTCACTGCATGGCTGAAATTCTCTGATGTGGCTCTTCAGTATTTGATTAAACGAAGAGTTAGTGAAAGTGGACTGGCTGTTTCAAGGGATAATGCTATTGCTCCTGAAGATTTAGCTGTTATGGCATCTATAATGATTGCAGGTCAAGCCATAGTCACTAGTAACGCCTATAGTATCGCTCATGCTACACTTTCGTAGCGTTGAGAGATCTTGCATGGTTGAATAAAAGGTCATTGTCACAACATTTGCTTACATCACGCAAGCTTTTTCGTTGTCAGTTTGCAACAGTCCTGAAACAGACTCTATGTAAAATCAAACACAGCATGAATCAAAAAATGACTTTCGTCAATCCAACGATAAGGATCATTCATGTCAGCATAGATTCTAGATAAACAATTTTTGAATGTTAATTTCGTCAAAGGCGTCTATGTGAATATAAACCCTGTCAATACAGATGTTTGGAATTGCGTAGCAACCAGCCCGCCTAGATACCATATGTACACGCGAGAATACCCTCACTTCCGCCCCCTTCACATCTCTCCTCTCCTCACAATCCCCCAAAAGCCCCTTTATCCAACCAGAGCGCGTACTCCAAGCCACACACAAGCCACACGCATCTATTGCTTCCTACCTACCCCTCGACCATTTCTTCTTCCCATCCTCTCAAGCCTTTTGGCTAAGATCAAGTGTAGTATCTGTTCTTTATAGTGTGATAACTATAACGGTGCCCATGTGGTACCTTGTTATCTCGCTAATTTTTGTTTTGGGAGAATTTGTCAAGGGCTTGCTCTTGCTGTCTCCAGGGTTTGCTCGTCCTTACACTGCTGACGAGTTGAGCCCACCATCTGCAACATGAAATCAAAAAGTAAAAATGAGATTGATGGATGTAGGGTGTCTCTGTCCATCTCTATGATGGATGTGTTGTTCGTCGTTGAGGTTTGGTGTCGCTGTGTACGTGACTTTGTATATATGTTGATGAATACAATGATTTGAACTAGATATTTTCATGCGTATTAAGCGAGCTTGCGTTGTTTCAAGCTCGTTTCATCGCTACTCGTTGAATCAATCGTTGTCTCTAATAATCGAGCGTCCAACTGCGTTTGCTTATGTGTGTAGTCTCATAATGAAACCATCATGGATCAAGCAGTTGACTGTTCCGCTGATATCTGCGCCCATGTTCTTGGTCTCTAGTCCCAAAACTGTGCTTCCTGCTTGCCGTGCTGGTATTGTCATCAAACATGTTTTGCGTGAATTCAAATTGTTGGAGCTTTTGACTGATACGACCTAATAACATAGGAATTGTGGGGAGTTTTCCTGCTTTAAATGCTAGATCGGATGAAACTCTTGATACCTGGATTCAGGAAATACAGGCTGGACTGGAAGAATCCAATCACAACTTCAACGCAGGTAAGTTTACGATGATTCAGCATCATGAAGGCCCATCATCTCATATACCAATGATTTTCTACTCACATATCAACAGGAAGGACGAAAATACGACCTGCTCCATATGCAGTTAACCTAATTGTTCATAAAACGAATCCACGACTGGCTAAAAACTTGGAAGTTGTGGTCAAAAACAAGGTTCCTGTCGTTATTACTTCTCTCGGGGCTGCCAAGGATGTCATTGAAGCCGTGCATTCCTACGGAGGAGTCGTGTTTCATGACGTGATTAACAGCATTCACGCTGAAAAGGCTGCAAAAGCTGGTGTTGATGGGCTGATTGCTGTTTGCGCTGGTGAGATTGTGCTCTTACTGAAATTCATAACCATCTTTATTGTCCCTTTTTTTCGTTGGTTGATTTGAGTCGAAGCTAAACTCATTTCCACAAAACAGGTGCTGGAGGTCATGCTGGTGCTATCAGTCCCTTTGCGCTCATACCACAGGTCTGCATTAACCGTTTTGGCCGCTAAATGCTAAACTGTTTCTGATTCTTGGATTGTCGTCGAATATATAGTTGAGAACATTCTTCAAGGGCACAATTCTCTTGGCCGGATCAGTCTCAGACGGTGCAGGTATTAGAGCAGCTCAAACATTAGGAGCTGATATGGCTTACATGGGTACAAGGTACGCCGCGGAAAAAAGGCAGTCATCGCAGTTGATTATACCATTCAACTCATACTACCATCAGGTTCATCGCAACACAAGAATCCGGCGCAGCCGAAGACTACAAGCAAATGTTGTTGCGAGCCAAGACTGGTCCAGCCCCAACCTTCTTGCCTATCGTGTACACGGACAAAGTAACTGGTGTCAATGCCAACTTTTTGCGAGAGAGTCTGCAGAAATCGGGTTTCTTTGACAAGAAAGATATGGCTAAGGTTGAGGAAGACTTCTCCAGTTTGGGTGAGTAAGCTAAGAGAGAGGAATGGTTAGCAACCCAAAACAAGTTCGTTGACCCTTTTTTTGTCTAGACTCCCATGAAGGAAAGGCGTGGAAGGATATATGGTCTGCTGGGCATGGTGTTTTGAATATCAGTAAGATTTTTTAGGTGCTGATTTACGTCAATCACTAATTTACCTGTTCTCTTTCTTTTCGTTGCAGAGGACATTCCCACAACAGCTGAACTTGTGGCAAGACTCAAAGTAGAGTACGATGAAGCAGTTAGACGAGAACGGGAGGACTAGAGACCGAGATTTGAGTATCTTAGAATTGTGGTTCAACTCTAATAGGTCACACTCACTATCCTTTTTCGCTTCTTGGTACAACATTTCTTACAGTAATTTGCTAATATGATCTGATTCTATCACTCTACAGTTTTTACACGTACATGCCTCTTGTTACATCATTTTTATATAATTTATCTTGCTCCTCCTCCTACTACTTGTTACAATCAATCGCGACATGAATTGTCGTGACCCACATCATCATTTCACCAATTCCACTCGCCTTGAATTCAGTATGCAACAACCTGTCACCATCCTGAACCCAGTAAACAGTGAATTTCTTTGGCTGATTCCTTTGTGTTTTGTACCAAGTATCTAGCTCTAATCGTTTCCCATTCATGACAAAAGTCGATTGCTGCTGAAGAGGGATGCATACAGTGCGGGTCTTGCGAAGGATGATGAGGTGCGTTCGTGTTAATATACATTGGTGGAGAAAGTATTTTCGTGTTCCTGGGTGCTTGATGTCGAGTACTCCTGTTTTCTATTTGATGGCCAATGATGTTTGAGTCAATGTGGGGGGTTTTTGGTCTTGGCAGTGATGTTCAAAAAACTGCTGGTCTAACACATACCAATACTGGATAACAAGACTTTGAGTACAAACACCACGGCCAGACACCATATGCATACAATTGCTCTTGGACAACGTCGGCTTCATTTATGTGATGATGGGTCTTTGGTGACGCTCTTGCTGGATCAGGTTCAACCTGCTGATTACGAGCCCTCCAGTACGATGCCAATTGATTCAGAGTGGTTATCCAATAAGTACGTGAAATTTCATCCGGCATCTAAAGCACAGAAATGTTCAGATGAGATATGTCGAGACACAACACCAAAGAAATAAAGCGCTAAAACCTACATGAAATGTCCAAGTTTCACCTGAACTCAGTTTGATCACCATATTCACTTCATTGACGACCTTTACAGAATCTGCTTTAGTCAAATCAAGCCAGTATCGTCCTTTTGCAATGAGTCGATGCAGGTCTTCCGTTGTGTCATCAACAATCTCTGTTTTCTGCGGTGTTTCGTTATCAAAGGCCAGAATCAAGAGGTTAGATATTGTCATGGCGTATACATGCGATGACCGAATGCCAGAACATGATCTGATTCTGGATTTGATTTCCAAGACTCCGGAGATTGAGGGTGGCATCTGTGTTGTGAAATCAAGATTAGACAACTTGTGCAGGTGTTGTTTTGCACATAGAATTGCGGCCAGCTATCCAATTATGATACGTACGTGTGAGGTACTACCATCAGAATTTATAACTTCATCGAGATGTCTAGTCTTGGATAACTCCATTTGGAAGTAGGTCTAGCAAAGAATGATGGCCAAAAAATCAATAACTCTTCCAACTAAGTTCCAACAAAAGAACTCCCTTTGTATCTTTGTATTTACCATGCTGGCTATCGACTCATTCTCATCAATGCACCATTCAATAATTCCAGTCTCCGGACTCCTCCATAGAGCCTTAAGATCATTTGGTGGCGTTACAACCTGATGATCAACTATAGTCGTTATAGCAGGAGAAGCACAAGTTTGAGCGTCTGGTAGCTTGACGATATCATTCTTCTTTGTGAGCTCGACCTCGCACAAGTCCCGTAACTCTCCCACTGTTGTTTTGGTAGCAGACCAAGGGCAAAGATCTAGATTTTCGATTCGAGATTGCGGTATGTACATATTTATATCGTATTCGGGTACGTGGACTCGAAATCCTGTTGGTGGGCTTGTGTTGTCAGGCATCAAGTGTTTGATGGAGGAAAACCAGAGCCGAGATTGCGCCTATCGAATGATCCAAATAAGCTCTTTTCCCCCACCTCAACGACGATGTGTCGCGCTTACCTTGGAAGATGGGAACAGGAAGGAATCATTGTGTTTAGTGATATCGATCGGTACTTCCTGATCAGTGTTTTTCGAGCACGAGGTCAGCAGCAACACACCGTCCATTTCACTCATTATTGATAGATTCGTGTTTGGATCAGCCACATCGACCTTCATGGTCTTTCTGAGGTATGGTGATGTAGGTAGCTTTTTACCACCGAGCGATCGACATATTTTCTTGATGCGTCGTATGATGGATCCCTACATGGGTCATGGCGTTTAGCTCACATTCTAGGAGTTCAATAGAGATTCAAGAGATTTATACCTCTCTCTCATAGATATTCAAAGTACCATCCCTTGACAAAGTGACTCTTGCCAACCTCCAAGGTAATGGATCAGTCTGTTCCTTTTGAATCTTCCTCTTTGATCCAATCATCTCATCAGGCTGGATATGTACCAACATGATTCCTTCTAGTATGATTTCCTTGTCATCGTGTTGTTGTTGAGAGTCAGTATTCACCGGTGATGAGGCGTGATTTGTGTTGACATGTGTATCGGTCAGTGAATCAATGGCCTTGCCTTTGCCCTTATTGCGTGCGGAAGATCGAGGAAATGAAGTTGCAGGAGTATAGTATTCTTCTTCGTGGCTGGTTGCCGTGTTTTCGTTCTGAGTTTGAATTGACAAGACATTGGGTTCTACTTCACAGTTCGGCGATACTATGACTCTCAAGTTTTGATGTGGACATGACTGGTTTGACCTATCTCTAATGAGTTGAGCTAGATCCTTCACCATAGTATGTGCTGTGGAGACTCGATATCTGAAAGTTTTTGTAAAGAGCAACTTGCAAGCAAAACCATAAAGTTACAGCAGCATCAAGAAGGGCAAGAATCGCGTTAAAAGCAGCGAGATCACGTCCAGCTACGGTGGTCAGAGATGTATCAAGCTGGCTCTTCCATGTCGCACTTCGGGAGGTGGTTGATCCGCCAGGATCAAGTAGTGTGGGAATCGTGGTATGGTTAGATACGGGCAGAACACGTTATGTTTGCGATGAGACTTATCTATAAAGGCATGTAACGTGAGTACGAAGGCTGCAAATGCGATTTAAGCCTCACCATCACCTGCATCGTCTTTAAAACTCCCTGTTGAAGGAATTGCGGCAGTTGTCTTGTGAAAAATTGTGTCCACCAGCGTTCAAGACAACGGCGGTAGCCATGCTTTTTGTGCTCTATTTCATGGACGGGAGCGAGATCTTTTCGTATGTGAAAGCACAAACCCGTCCGAGACACCAACGGTCGTCACTTGTTCGGATTGCTTGCCAAAGGGAAAACAGCTTTATGATGACTACTAGTAGTACTTCTATGTCAACTTGAGGAGGTGACTTTACAAAGATCTTTGAATACACATAAAGGTCTACAGGAAGGCTGCCAATGTAACCATCAACAAAGACATCAAGATTATACAATTTACGGAGAGAACAGCTGCATTGCTATTAAACATAAGTCCACCATTACCCGTTGGTTGTTGCGTAACAGGAGTAGGCGATGGAGTTCCATATGGTGGTGGTGATAATAATGTGCAACTGGTTCCTTTAACTTGATCAGTAGCAGCTCGTTGATATACCAAGTCAGATAAAGGCTTTAGAGTCGTATTAGTCAATTCAACAGATCCTACACAGGGAGCCTGGAGACTGTAGACAGGACCGACAGAGTTCGAAATGTAGAGCCACAGTACGAGAGAGGTTGAATTCACTTGGAGATCAGGTTTGCATCCACCAGTTTGTCGCCCAACGTTGGTAACGTTGATAGTGCCTGCAGTTATAGGAGGTGAGTTGATGTTTGAGTAGTAGGAACACAGCACCTAGGTTAAAGATTGATGAAATGTGAGACATCGAGATCGATGAAAGACACTCACATCAAATCAAACTTGGAATCGAATGCCCTTCATCATTTACCTGTACACTAGCACTATAAATCCCAGATGTCGAGGCATTTGTTACTGAAGTAACAACTCCCGTGATGGTGTATTGGGCATTGTTTGATAGACAAGCAATGTCGGTCTTGGAGCAGCTGGTAATGTATTGACCATGGCAGACATGAGCAAATAATGCTACTAGTCCAACGATTTGAATGAGCATGTCTGAAACCATTTTGATGATTACTGTAAATGTCGTTAAAATTGGGTGAGCACAGTGATGTCGAAATGATGAGGAAAGCGAAAAGTAGAAAGAGCTCATACCTTCTAGTGTATGCTCTTGGCTAGTTTGGCAGTGTTAGTTTCCTCTCGTTGTTGTGATTGTTGAAAAACTGGTGCAAGGGAACCAATCAAGACGCATCAGACGCATCAAACGCCACCCATGACCGTCCAAACGTTTTTGCCAAAACTGCGACATAATTCTAAATCAAGCATAGGGTATGATTAATAATTTATGACAAGGAAGCGTGAATACTCTTGGGAGGAAAACATCAAAGGATGATACAATGATACAGTATAATTTTTAAGGCACTCATTATCGGCTTCTCATGGCAATAACTTCTTACTATCGCTCTTATTGAGCACTATGACCAGCAAGCAAATAGATTGGCGAAACTTCGTCTCAACCAATCACAAAAAAAGAGAGTTGTGATGGTGGTTTAATAGACATACACCCCACGACAAGTTCCTTGACATGCTCAATGCAATATGTAAAAAGCTTTGCCAATCTAGGGTCGAGGGATCTACCACGTTCATCTAGTCCCATAACGAGAATGATTCCGAGACTGTTGGATCGCTGCATTCTGGTCCTCTTATGATGGACAGAGAAAGGACTAAATATCCAGGTCACATAAAGGAAGATATTTAGCTGTTGAGCTGTCAATTTAGTCGTCAATATGGCAGCAATACCTCCCATCGTCCAATCGGTCTCTTTCAATCTTTGATGACCTAAGAATTCGAGGTAGATGTGAGTCAGCAGGAGAGTAAACGCATGAAATACATTATAATACAGCATTTGCGAAGTGGATATCATTAGCTGCTCACCGTCATCGTTGGGGTTTCTTCCTTGAGCAATGGAGCAAGAACCTATTTACCAAGAGGAACCAATAGAATCAGAGCTACAACTTGTGCATTCAATGAGCTAGATGCGGTTCTGAATTCCTGCAAGTTGACGGCCTGCTGCTATTAATTAATACTTGAAACGACCTTCTCGCAGTTAATTCAGAGTTATGTCTGCATTTCGTCTACATGACGCAGTTAGCCACTTGACAAGTTCCAGCGATCCCGTTAGCACGTGAAGCAAAGTCCCAGTAAGAGTCCGACAGAGAACTTCTTGCTTATTGACGTCGCTCCAAGCTACATCAGCGAGATCACCACATTCTAAAAACAATTTTGCGGGGGAGCTAATTTCGACATAAGAACGAGGTTCAAATGCTGATTTCTGGTATCCTTCCAATGTATTCATACCTGAAACTTGAAATCTACGCCAAACGAACCCTCATATAGTTGTCCTCATTGACGTCCTCGAAGATCTGACGAACTTTGAAGTTTCTCTGTTGCAACAAATCAAACGAAGGCCTCGTCTCACTGCGGTGAACTGTTTTACACGTCAGCTCGCTGTTGTAAGGCCAAACGATGTTTCCCGTCAGTTTCGCATTCACCGTGAATCGAACAGCGTGAGCTTGAGAGCTTCAAACAACAAAATCACACCCCTTATCAAGTACAATACACCCAATCCAAAACAAAAAAATCTCACACATCAAGAACATACAATACATCTAAAGCACTTTCTATATCGTGACCATCTCAATAGAATACATTCCCACACCATCATTCGCATTAGCAACAAGTCTAGCCCAATTCTTGCCTCGTCCATACCCATTTCCATTCTCTCCAACAGATAATGATGTCGGTTTAGTTTCTATAAAGGCTTGTAAAGGGCCTGATAACCGTGATTGCACAGTTTGGAAGGTGCTTATTGAAGTCGACAAGTAACTCGTTACTTGATTTAGTTTATCGTGTAGAGCTGGCGTTAATATCATGTTGAAGGAGTGTGCGTCTAGGAGTATTGTTAGAGCTTCAATGGCCTACAAAAATGTTGAATATGCCAGTTCAGTTACAAATACTTTTTGCCGTGTGTGAATTGAAGCAATGTCAAGGAAACAAAGCGACCACCTACCACTATGAAGCTAGACGATTTGGAACTCCACATCCACCACAAATTGTTGCCCATGACATCGTCTACTTCCTCTGTCGAGGATGCAGACATGCCCTGTATAGTATTTAATATCCAATTTAACAGCACCTCTAACTCTTGGATACGAATACGTTTCATGCACCTTTGAAACACATCACGTGTTCGTGGTGCACTAAATATCAATTCTAAAAAGTGATTTTGACCTCTCGACACTCCCGGCATATTAACATTACTAGCAGCAGCAACGGTAGTATCGTTTCCATCATTAACAGCTCTAGACGCCTTCCTTGATCGTCGTTTGGAAAGTACTTCATCCATCATTACTATTCTCTCCTCAGTACTAATCCACGCCTCTTTATCAGCACCACATACATACATGAGTGCATCCACAACCTCAGATTCACTCAAATCTACTACCCGTCTCAGAGCCATTTCAAGGAGTTTTAAATCGCCCCTTTCCAGAGCCGGGCTGATTATACCACCAGGTATCGACCTAGAAGATGCTGCGCCGGTAGACAATAAATAATTTATTACGTGATGAGGGAAGAAGGTGGCCGGGCTGGCAAAACATCGAGTCAATAGCAATAATAGACTTGGTTGAGCTATATCGGTTATTGCCAAAGCGCCTAATCGTACATGCCCTGATTCTGGCATTGGTTTGCCCAGCTTTGACATTACCATCGTGACAAATACTCTTTCAAACGTCTCGTCATCGGGCGTTTGAGTAGGGTTCATTAGTTGAGACAGAAAATCCGTCTCGGATGGTATGGTTGGAGGTGTTGCTACTATTGGCGTCATCATTCCTAATGATGTGTGTTGGGTTGATTCGGGTTCAGAGTTGAATTCCATGATGGCTGGTCGTTGCAGCTTGCCAAGCGCCGAGAGGAGTGTTGGTTTGGCACACATGTATGGGAATAGATGGACGTCGGTTTCAGCTGCTCCTTTTGAGGATGACGAGCATGCTATCAGCAGTGACGGGCCCGTCAATGGAGAGTTTGTCAAGGCAATCTGCATAAGAGATTTGAATGAGATTTGCAGATGCCAAATATGGTCAAAACAAACGCAGGAAACCCTTACTGAATATTTGATGGGAAATTGTGCTCTTGGACCTTCCAGATGAGTCAATGGCTTATCAATCTGTAAGGTGCCGTATTTGGTATCCCAAACCATCAACAGACCCTCATCTATTGAGCGAAGACGAGTCAGCACAAGGGTAAAAAAAATGAATTATCATGGAACTTACATTGCGATCCGTTCTTCCTACATGCAGTAACAGCAATATGATGCTCGTCAAGAGCTACCACATCCAAATGATCAGGTTTGAGCACCAAATCCAAATACTGTACAGATATTGTAACCATCAAGGCCATTCCTGATGTTGCAACTTTATAGACTAGGATTTTCCCCGACGATACTAAAAGTTTGAGAGACATTTAGACTCATGAGGGCACAGGCTAAAAAGAGCGAAGAGCACAATACACATACAGGTGACAATCAACTTGTCTGACTGAATAGTAACTGCCACCACATCAGATTCATAATGTACATCTCCTAATGACTTGCATGCGATTTCATACAGGCCACCGACGGTATTGACTTCTAGATTATATACATGGAGTCGGCCTGCAGTTTTGGCTACAATCCAGCCAGATGCACCTTGTATGTGAATGACTTCTTGATGATCTGTTGAAGACGATGGTGATGGTGCATAGGATGCTAGTTTTCGGGAAAAGTCTTGGGAATATAGTGACATATGTAGATTGGTATGAACTAGGAGGACTGTGTCGTTTGGTGCCTTGTGTATCGAATGAACTGGGTGATCCACCTATGAGTACGGACAATGTGTGAGCATTTTTCGCTCCTTGGAACCTGAATGAAGAGCAGCGTGTCAAGTCACCCATAGTTCTTTCGGAGTATCAGTTCCAGTTGTATTCTTGACGCTAGTGTTCCAAGACCAAACCAATCTGCCAGCCTTCTGTACCGCTAAGTCTGGCGACACTTGTACGACAGCATAGACGTATGGGTAGACTTGTCTGGCAGCACATGCAAATCTTGTATCGGGCGAGACAGACCACGAATGAATGGGTAATTGAGTCGCCAGCTAATGTTTGCAAAAAAAGATTAGCAAGTAGAAAAAAAGACGAGATGCAGTGAAGTACTGTATAGGTTCAACAGATCAAGTTATCAGGAGATGACTCTCTATACAAACATACGTCATATATGAAGATTCCAGCTCCTTGGATGGTCACTACCGCTCTCTTTCTCTCCTTGTCTTGTTCGGACGCTACAAAGGATACTTGCTTCAATACAGCTCGACCAGCTCGTCCATACGCAGTATTTATGGTGTTGGCTGTCAATGATATTGGCTCTTGCAGCCTCACCGTGCTGTTTCTTGACGGACCGGCCATTCTCTTGGGTCTTTTGGAGCTCGAAAAAAAAAACTTGTCTTAAATGTTAAAATATCAGTCACGTTCTAGCTCAACGGGAAACAGCATTCTCCACGTGTAAAATGAACATTGACGCAATTCCTAACTAGACCATCTACCAGACCATCTATCTGTTTTACGTTACAAGAGACTGTGATGCGATTTTTACATTGTTGCTTCTTATTTTTGTCCTTCTATCTAGAACATGGCAAAGACGCTAGTAAACAATTCTCTAATGAGACTATTCGCTATGAACGGTAAAGAAGCCAGTTTTGTCTTTTCTAGCTCTCCTCGCAACATCTGGGCTTCAAGACAAAAAAATGCAATCAAGTCGTATACAAGCCTATTCTGACTAAATCAAACATTATAGGCTTGATGATTTGTCGTCAATGTAGTCGCCAAAACGTTCATCAATCGTTGGCTAGAGCGCTTTCTACAAGAGCTTTGTCTGGATTCAACCAACATCAACGGATGCCACTCATCAGGAGTAATACTTGTTCGGCACATTAAGATTGTATTGAAGAATCTCACACTGTTCTATTTCAATAGGTCAATCGAGGAATGAGACAACCGATACAACTGTAAACTCTTCAACAATACCAAAGATGGTTCCAATTGCCAAACCCTCAACAAAGGCAGTTATAACGTTTACTCAGGCACACGAAGATCTATCATCAGCACTACTAGTAACCCCCAAATCCATCCATCCCAACGATATGATGAACCTAATATTTAAAATCGAAACATCTGCACATGCACTCCACGCCATATCCCTCCTGTCTCGCTGGCGAGAGGCATCCAAACCATGGACACCAACAGACTCATACGTACTCGTAGAAGCCCTACTAAGAACTGAATCATATGATGTCTTGTTGGAACGAATATGTAATGCATATCAGAATGGATTGATTCCACGACAGAGGGATATAGAGGCATTGCTGAAAGCATTTGTACGTCAATGCTCATCATCGGAGATAACAGAAGAGGATAAGGTCAAAGCACTGGACAATTGCTACAAGACTTTTGCGGTGGTGTTGTATTATCATATTGTGCCTACCGCTGAAATGTATGTGGACTTGATGACTGCTGGTATCAAGTGTGGGACTGAGGAGGGTAGAAGGAGATCTTCAGTGACACGTAATGAAGCAATATCATTAGGGTATCAAGTTCCCGATCTAGCTGAACTGTAAACAGTAGATAAGAAAATAGATTTGCATTCAATCTAGTAAAGCCCATCTCGCGTTAGGCGCATGGATGCGTTGGAACGAGCGGCTCAAAGTCCGCGTTAAGCATAGCTAGAACACCGAGATTCCAGCCAATCAAAGATCAGGAACCTGAAAACTGCGCAACACAATCAATAGTGTCAACAGTTTCTGAGAATCGGTTTGCGTTTTATAACTAGGAAACTGGACGTGACTGACACGCTATAGGAATGTCAGATAATAGTTCCCCATGGACGAGCTCCCCGCAGTCAAGCTTTTTGTACTCTGCAGGGCCATTCACAAATAACGACCAGAGTAAATCCGGATCGAAAGGACCACTAGAGATATCACTTTCTAGCTTAATTATACCATGGAATACACCAGGTAATATTTTGGTTTCCATGTACATTGCATCCCCCTCATGAAATAGGAATTAACACTCGTTTTTTCAAAATGGACGCAGATGAAACGGCATCATCATCTCCCTTGTCATTTCTATTCCAAAACACGATACCAACGCATAATGGCATGCTGGTACCAGACTATATGATGACCGGTGCAGAACAGCAGTTGCCAATGTACCAGTCATCCAACACATACCAGTCATCAAATACTAATCCGTACCTAAATCCTGGATATGCTGCTATAACCCAAAACAATAACACCATGCCATCTGCTTTAACCATCAATGCTGTTAATGCTCCAACATTCCCACCCACTCCAATGTCATCATCACCAACAAAAGCCGAACAACAATCTCGACGTGACGTGCAAAGGAGGACTAAACCAAAGCTAGATATTCAAATGTCACAATCAGTAACCACATCTACTTCAGAATCGGACAGTGACATCACAAGGCAACAGATCCGCGAAACAATACAAGATCGATTGAAGGCTAAAATGTTGGCTAACGGAACGCTAACGCCTTACGAGTCTGCTAATTTGAAACCACCTGGAACCGGATATGGTCGATATGCTAAACGAATGTGTGGTTTTGAGACTAGTGGATTCAAGAGATCGAAAACGTTTGTTGAGCAACAACCGGCATACATCACCACGAGCAGTAATGAGCCAAGGTCTAACAGCATGGTACCACGCTCAGTAGCTCTTTATGATTATCCGACGGAACCGTCTACTGCGTACTCGCAACAGGAGGATTTCCATGAGAGTCCAGGTAAACCTGCTTCTTGTAATTTTTGGGAAGGACATCGCTTTTAACATTCATCAAATCTAGTGCCTCCAATGCAATACTACTCAATGAACGTTCAACACCAGAGTATGCCAACGCCTGATCAGCAACAAGCGCAGATGCAACAAGATCAGTTTATGCAATGGCAACAACAGCATTATCAACAACTACAATACTTCCAACAGCTTCAGCAGCACCAACAACAGCAACAGCAATCATCAGCAGCTTTATGTTCGGAGCAATCGCCTAAAGAATCGCAAGGCCATCAAGAACTAGAAAGACAAGTAGAGCAGCATACCGAGACTGCCGCAATTGATCAACCCAGAGCAGAGACCAACGCCGTTGATGAATCAACGCCGCCCACACCATTACACCAAAACAGTGGCTCATTGAGCGATTTACTCTCCATTCCCGAAAAGGACCTCAAGACAGTCGAGACACCATCTCATGGCAGCAAGCCATCCATACTCTCAACAGCAACATCAGCCTCCCAATTACCACCACTTCCGCCACTCCCATCCTTCCTAACATCTGGAAACTCGATGCATGATTTCGATCGTCGTGTGAGCTTTTCGTTAGATCGTAGGCTTTCCCTACCGTTAACATCACCGACGTCTGGGTTCTTCCCCGACAACACCAACAATTTGAATAAAGGAACTAGTTCAAGGAGCCTTTACAATGCGGAAGCTCCCAGTCATGGATTGTCGGATAGGCGAGGATCAGTTGAGTTTCCTAAGTGGTGGGCGTCAAGTAATGGTTTGGGTGAACAACGACACGACATGGAGGAGAACTTGATGTAGTGGTAATCTGTAGTAACACGTAGTAAATATTTTATTTAGAGAGTGATCCAGTAGTGAGATGTCTCGAAAACAAGCGATTTTTTCTCCCCGCATTCACGTGAATTTGACTGACTGCAATGGTCATTGACCTCGAGATCAGTATAATGCCATTAAATGACGCGAAATACAACCTCTGTCTCTATTGATCGAGCCTCTAAAAAGGCTGCAAAGTCGCGTGCTCCTTTCTCGAAACTTAACCACTAACGCAGAGAACGAGCAACGCTTGGATTCACTCCCAACAACCCTCTATATAAATGATGTATACATAATTCCCGTACGTCCACAATGCAGCACGCTCCTATTGAGCTCCCATTCTTCCTCACGAAAGGACTTCCATTACCCAAGGTGCTCAATGGAGCTTCCCCTCATCAAGTCAATAGCAATGCAGCATCAAACGCCAATATCGACGATGCATCAACAAAAGTCCGACAATCGCCACGCTCCTACCAGCTCGAACTATTCGAAGAAGCTAAAAAGAACAATATTATTGCTGTCTTGGATACTGGAACTGGCAAGACGATGATTGCGTCACTGCTGGTCAAGCATTATGTGGGATTGCAGCGTGATGCTGAAAAAGAAAATCCAGAGACTGTGGTATTGTCTCTTTCGGTGTTGGGTTGTATATCTGAGGGGTTTGGTCAAAAGCTTCAACCCCAAAGCTTCACAAGCTCACTGTAAGTCTTCGCTTCATAGCGTCGAATTGCCTTCTTTATGGTACCTACAAATCCATTGGCGTTTCAACAAAAGAAACAACTCGAAATTATGGTCAAGAGAGTTGAAATTGTTGTTGGAGAGTCGAAAAAGGGCGTAAGTTGATCACCTTTTAAGCAGATTGGACCAGCTGCTCTTTTGCCTGACCCGTCCCGTTTTTTTATACAGAAAAATAAGAAGAGCTGGGAAGAACTCTTAGAAGCCTACGATGTGATTGTGTGCACACCTGCAATACTCAAGAACGCACTTGAGTTTGGGTACTTGACTATGAATCAGGTATGCCATGTCATCATACGGCTTTTTTTCCTCACTCCTATACCAATCCTTGAACTCTGTTGAATCTCGCACTAGGCCTTGTTACTCGTATTTGACGAAGCTCATCATGCTATTGGTCACGCTGATTATGCCATTATTATGCAAAGTACGCTTCCATTCGTAACCATTGATCGTTAGATGTCAAGCAGTCGATTCGGTCTTGTTTCGCTCACGGCTCTTGACAAGTAGAGCACTATCCCAATCTGACTGATGAAACGGCTCACAAACCACGCGTGCTGGGTCTTACAGCATCACCAGTCACGAGAGAAACTGATGATCCAGTCAAAGCTGTTGAGTAAGTGTATGCACATCCATGGTGTTGCCGATCGACATCTTTTTGGTGTTCATCGCTTGCTTACTATAGGGCTTTGGAGAATCAGCTCAAGAGCGTTGCAAGAACTATTATGTGGGAAACGCAATCGGGATATGAAGTAGCTGTTTGAAATTGAGTTACAGCGCAAATCATGTGTTGACTTTTCTACTGGCACTTTTTAGCATCTCGGAAAACCTCACGCAGTTACAAAAATCATCTACAAGGCAGCACCTCAAGAGTTACCTCAGTCCGAACTGATGAGAACTCTCAAAGACCTCGTCAAGTCGCCACCACAAGACCTAGACTTGCCTGGTGACCTGCGCTTCAAACTCCAAGATCGCATCATCCCAGACTTGGAAATGCACATCCTGCGAACACTAGGCGTACATGCTTGTGATCGTGCTATCGAAGCAATGGCTCATACGTGCCATCGAAAGTCGCTCTCGGCAATACCATTTAGTAAATTGGGATTGGAGGACTTGTTGGAAGGTGATGCTGTACAGGATGATGAAGAAGAGCAAGTTGCTCAGACTTCATTGTTGGCTCGTCTTGGACATTTGTTTCCTGGACCGCATGCTTCTGGAGATTTGTTGAGTGATAAGGTCAAGATGCTCTTTTCTTTGTTGTATAATGATTATAGGGATGACCGTGACTTTAGTGGTAAGCGGATAATATATGCTTGCGATTCCTTTTTGGTTCTCAACAAATTTGATTGTTTAGGAATCATCTTTGTTGAGGCAAGTTTCCTTCTCTCTCACATTAGTTATTGATAACTACCAACAAAAAAACTGATACAAACTTACTCTCCGCATAGCGTCGTGATGTCGCTGATCGACTAGCAGAGCTCATTCGTCACGAGAAGAAATTGAGCTTTCTTAGAGTTGGTGTGTTGAAAGGGCACGGCAAAGGTGCTAACTACAAGTCCTCTGAGGGCGTAGATGCCAAAGTGGCTCATCAGTACAGGATTGTGGAAGAGTTCTGGAAGAACAATGTAAATTTGTTGGTCGCTACAGCTATTGCTGAAGAAGGATTGGATATCCCAGCTTGTAAGCTGGTAGTGAGGTACTGTGTGAACTTTGCTGCAATACAAGTAAAGATACTCTGTGACGATCAGCCAACAAACACACATTTTTAGATTTGATATTGGTAGAGGCGCGCTAAAGCTTGGGTCCTTGATTCAGTCTCGTGGCCGAGCTAGAAAGGAGAACTCCAAGTTCTGTCTAATGGTTGAAGAGAATCATCCAGAAGACAATAGCTATCCTGTATCTCTCCAACAAAAGGAAAAGGCTCAACGTGGACATCTATACAAAATGTGTACTCAAAACAGCGTGCTTGCAAGATGGCACCAAATCGAGTTGCAGCAAGCTGAAGAGCGTGAAATGGATTTGTATGCTGAAGAAGTGTATAAGATTCCAGCTACTGGTGCTGTACTTCATTCTACGTCGGCCATATCCTTGCTTAACCGTCTCTGCCAAATCATCTCCGAGGTCGAAGGCTACGAGTGGAGCTCTTCTTGGACGTATGAACTTGTCGCATCTCAGTTTTACGCTACAGTCACACTACCAGGAACGCTGCCAAGGGAAATCCGTGTCCATCGAGGTGGTCCAGCAGATCGTATTGCGACTGCTCAGAGACTAGCCTGTAGAAATGCCATCATAGCCCTTCATAAAGAACAATATTTCGATGATAACTTGCAGCCTGTACGTGAAGATCCACGACAACGACTACAGCGTGTAGATGACGATAAAGCAGCTCTCGCCAACGACTTGAATAGTTTACGTGGACGACGTAAAAGACGGTCATATCAAAAAATTGTTCCAGCCGATATGGAGGTGCCGTGGCAAGAGGTTCCTGGTGGTAGATATGTATGGTTGTCTGTACCGTATACTGTATCTGCTGGTCAGCGTCGAGAAATGTATCGTGTTGGTATAATCACTCGACGCCGACCTGTTGATGGTATTCAATTCAGTCTATGGCCGGATCAGCGCGAGGTCATGATGACGGTGATTCCAAATGCCACGTCTATGATTGTCAATGATGAGCAATGGGATGCTGTCAAGAAGTTCCATGTATATTTGATGAGTTCCTTTCTTAAGGATGCATTGGAATTGGTAAAGTGTTCGCGATAGACGTTTCATTGAGTTTTTTCTCAAGTTTTGTTTTTTGCTTTGTAGGAACTCGATCATGCATACTTTTGTATCCCTCTGATATGGCAAAACAATACACCAGTGATTGATTGGACACGTCTCCTCGAGATTGCCAACTATAATCCAGCTGCCCACGACCATTTGCTATACGCTCAAGATATCGTTGGACGTATGGTAGTGGATAGGTCCTATTATCGTCGTCAATTTGCAGTCACCGACCTCGTAAACCCAGATTCATCAGAATCATTCAAGGAAAAGTATGCTGCAGTTGTGAAGAAATACAAAGGTTCTGGCCAATTCAAATACAGAACCATAAAACCCATTCAGCCAATATTGTATGGAAACCGACTGGAAATTCATCGCAGAATCAACTTGCTGCAAGATGTTAAGGTTGAGCAGATCAAGGATGCCAAGCAATATCGTACTACTTCTTTGGTAAATATGAAGCTTTGGAAGACAGTATGATTCTGCATTCTAGCTCACCGCCTGTATTTTTTTAGCTACCAGAGTATTGTGAGGTCCATCCATTCACTCAGAAAGACTTCTACGATACGAATAGAGTGCCGTCGATCTTGTTTTACTTTGAATTATTTTGCATTGCCCATGACACTCAGAAACGGTTGAGCTTGTCTGCTCCTGTTGGCAGTGTTCTTCAAGCATTGTCAGCTCCCCAGGTATATTCAGCTTTGGATTTCATACCCAAAAAGAACGATGGTTGACCAATAACATACACCAATGATAGACTGGTCTTCCTCATAACTATGAGCGACTAGAAACCTTGGGTGACTCATTCTTAAAGCTTGCAATCAATTTGCAGTTGTTTGCAAGATTCCCAAATCGTGATGAAGGACATCTATCCATGAGAACGAATTATGCCGTCTCCAACTATCAACTCTTTCAACGTGCGTCCAACAAAGAAATACCAAACGTCATCATATCAGCTACGCTGAGTCGTTCCACATGGCGACCATTTGGATCCGGTCCAGGACGATGGGATGAACGAGAAAAACTACGCATAGAAAGGAGTGGCAAAAATCCCATTAAAATCTATCCACGCCCAGGAACACAGATCTTGTCTGATAAACAGGTAGCTGATGTCATGGAAGGTCTATTAGGTGCTGCAGTGATAACAGGCAATCCAGAAACACAAGGTGTTGAAGCCGGTGCCAAGACCATGAAGGCCATATATGATGACGTGATTGAGGAAGACTGGACCAAGTTTTCAAACTTGATTCAGAAACGTACACCGACGAAAGATGGTTCCTGGAAAGACGCTGCTGGAATGGTTACGTTGGTGGATGAGGTTCAAGAGTTTATTGGATACAAGTTTAATTCCCCTGGATGGCTGATTGAGGCTTTGACTCATGCTACTGCTGCTGATGCCAAGTTTAATTCGTACCAACGTCTTGAATTTCTTGGTATAGCCTGTTCGGTTAATTCAATCTTCTTTTTTGCTATTGGATTTGCTGACAAATGCTTTGGCTTTAAACAGGTGATGCGGTATTGGGATATTTGGCTGTACGATATTTCTTTTATGCCTATCATGAAGCTGACCCAGCTCAATTATCAGATTGCAAAGTGAGTGTGCAAACGAAAACGAATAGATTAAGGTGGCTTTGGATGCTTTCTAACTCTACTTGCTTCCTTAGGATGCTTCAGTATGTAATTCTTTCCTGGCCAATATTGCTGGTATGTATATGAATGTGGTTGGTACTTGGATCTAAGTACCAGTCTGACCTGAAATCGCTGTCCTTTTGTCTCTCCATACTAGTGAGTGCCAGTATGCAAACATGGCTTCGTCACATGTCTGCACCCTTGAGCCATGGACTACAGTCATATAAAGATGAATTGATTGCTAGTCGTGATCGTGCCAATTCCCTATCTCAACAAGGAGGCAATCGTGTCCTTCAACAAGATGTTCGAGGTGACACTGACGATGCCTTAAGATACTGGGAAGATTTGGATACTCCGAAAGCAGCATCTGACATGGTTGAAGCTATACTCGGTGCAGTGTTTGTTGATTCCAAACTATCAACAAATGCAGTCTGGAAGGTCATGCAGAAAATCTGGCTTCCATGGGTCGAAGTATATATAAAACCCACCACTGTGAAGCGTATCGCACTAAGAGTTTTATCCGAGGAGCTATTGAAACTCGGATGTGTTGAACATAAAGTGAAAACATATGTGGAGGGTCCACGACAGTTCGTAGCTCGAGTGTTTATACATGGACGAGTCTTTGCTGAAGGTAGATCCGAAATGAGAAAGAAAGCCAATACGGATGCTGCTAACGCAGCACTTGATATCTTGACCAAAAGTCTTGAAGCTTGGCAAGGGTGGTGTACTTGTCAGGGAGATGCTCTTGAAGCTGGAGTGTATGTTCAGGGGCAACGGCAGGATTGGGCTAATGGAGTCACCACTGCTACCACGACTATGAATGGTGGTAGTAGCAGTAATGGCTCAAATGGTGTCAATGGAGTCTCTCATATTGGTCAAAATGGTAGCAGCAACTCAGAAACCGATGATGGTAGTGAATCAGATGATGATGAAGACGGTGTTCCTGTGGTAGTACGTCGTGATGAAATACCATCACTTCGTATCTTGCCTGAAGGTGATGAGGGATACGACGAACACGACCATCAGTATACTCAGATGGGGCAGGTGGAAGCAGATGGTGGAGAAGTTGTGGGTGTATAAGCATATAGAAACGGAAACGTAAGCGAACTCGGACTTTGTTGTGTAAGGTCGTATCGTATTGTAGATAGAAGCGTGTTATATAGTTTGTAAAAGAAGCACAAAATAATATAGATTTGTAAGTTATTGCACAATGTACAAGATGGATCTGTTTCGTCTTTATGGTTTGAGAAACTTGTTGAGGTCATAGCCCGCTCCCATCTAACCTAGTATTGTAGGATTCTCCTTCCAGAATGCATCCCCAATTATATCACCATGTTCCAAGACTACCACAGATCGTTCCCTGACCACCTCCTTTTGGGATGTCTTTGATGTCTCACTTATAGACTGTGTCTTCTTTACTAATACAGATCCTTTCCGATATATTTCTGGCAATGAGTTGTAATTGATTCCGTAGTTTGTGAATAGGAGCTCGTTTTTGCCAGCTGAGTCTGTGTCTTTGAGTATGGCTTGAGCTTCACGCTCCGTATGAGAGTTTGTTTTGTCCTAGAGTGAGTTGTGAGTCAGCATTATCCGATGGATACCTTTTTTGCGCCGGATCGACAGACACAAAGCTCCGTATTGAGCACAAAGACCACCACGATAGTACTCCAATCGGATCGCAGCTATTAAACCATAGCTACGACGTACCTGAACTAGAGCCCAGAAAGCCGTATTATACAGATTGTTGATATGGCAATCAGCCTGCCTCCAACTAAAGTAATCCCTGAGATTCCCATCCGAAGGATACAAGACAATCCTCGAATCAAACGATGGAGGATACCTCAGTTCCACGTCATCACCCATAAACTGCTTCCACCCCATAACATACGCAGATGTAAACAAGCTCACAATCACTGATGCAATCTTTGACTCCCTACGACCATACAGACTCGTCTTTTTCGACAGGGCAAACGAGTATTCATCTGATTGGCCATATGCAAGCACTATATCCGAGAACTCCTTCATGACATGAGTAGCAGCGTGGTTTGCTAGATTGATTGCTCGAATGTCGTTTGGTTTGGCAAAGCCGTGTTCTGTTGTGAAGCGATGGAAGGAGTGGCCGTCTATACGGACTATTATATGGGTGTTTGGTAGTAAGGCGTCGTTCTTTTCAAAGTTCTTGACGTATGCGAATCGTGTTAGTGCCATGGCGTGGACTGGTCGTTTTGATACGCCGATCGGTGGGAGGCGAGTAATACGAGATATTCGGATTCCAAGGATGGATTGGTATGCGCCTCCAAGCTGTCTTTGCATCCGCTCAATCCTCATGAAAAGAGGAATTTCGTGCTTTTTTGATGTTTGGAATTGCTGAACAAAATGCTGGGGGCAGGCCAGGGGCCGCTGCCATCTGTTGATAGTCTAGCTACGGTTTCTAGGAGCTTAAATACCATGTCTGACATGCTTTCTGCTATTGAAAGTGTCCTTTGGAAGCTGCGGATTGGAGGTTGGTAAAGAACTTGAGAAAGAAGTGACCTGTCTGAAACTCAACAGTGGCGTTCCACGAATTGTAAACAGCTGAAGCTCATTTTCATTCGTTAACTAATAGAGAAACTATCTTACATTGGCTGTTTAGCAAGAACAATTTGAGTTCTTGGTGATAAAATACAGCTACTGCAAACGACCGTGCATGATGGATGCCAATGCCAATCTGGAAAGCAGTGCGCTCCTTCAACTGGCTGGCATTGCAAGAGCATCTAGCATAATGTGTTCAAGGCATCGACAAACACATTCAGTGGAGCCATACCAACAATGCAAGCAACTGTTTCAAGGGATCTTCACAACGACGAAGGTCCTAAGTCACGGACTGTCTCAGAGGACAGCATCTTTCGAGCTTTCGAAGTGGTGGTTTCAAGTAATGGGTTCGGTGAACGAAGACACGTTTACGGAAGAGAACTTGTGGAGTTTGTAAGTAACTCTTAACAATAAGAAACGCATGACGAAGCAACTGGTTCGAGGACAGGCCAATTTGTCGTCTTGTGCATTCACGTGAATTTAACGCATCATACGTCCGTTGTATCTTCATCGACGTTTCTCAAGATCAGTAAAGGAGATCCAATGACGCGAAAATGCTCCTTTGTATCCGTCTCTGATTCATGTCATTGTCACCTTCCGTCATTGCCATCTTTTTTCAAAGCACATACGGAAAGGCCGAGCAAGTCTTGCGTTCACTCCAAACAAACCCTGTATAGAACGATACATTTCTAGTCAAAGTACACGCATTATTCTGCACGGTCCTATAAAACTTCCATTCTTCCTCTTGAAAGGCCTTCCATCACCCAAAATCGCCAAAATCAAGACAACGCCACTACAGCATCACGTAGCAGCACGATGCATCAACAAAAGTCCAACAATATCCACGCTCTTACCAACTCGAACTATTCGAAGGAGCTAAAAAGAACAAAATCATTGCTATCTTAGACACTGGCAAGACAATGAGTGCGTCACTGCTGGTCAAGCATTATGTGGGATTGCAGCGTGATGCTGAGAAGGAAAATCCAAATACTGTGGTAATCTGGTGTCTTTGATGTTTGTTGGTGCTTGGTCAACCCTTCAACAAAAAAGCTTCATAATCTCACAAGAATCTCACTTTTAATACAGCGTCGAGTCGCCTTCTTTATGGTACCTAGGAATCCTTTTGCATACCAACAAAAGAAACAACGGAAAAGGATGATCAAGAGAGTTGAAATTGTTGTTGGATAGCGAAAAAGGACATAAGTGGTCGATCACATCGGTAATCGTGCATTTTTTTCTTGTCTGATACGTCAAGCCCTCTTTCCTGATATAGAAGTCAAAGGAGAACTGGGAAGAACTTGAAAAGGACTACGATGTCATAGTATGTACGCCTGCTATATTCAGGAACGCCCTCCATTGTGGTATTTGACTGAATCAGGAATAGTGATTTGCTTGTACAGCCCTTTTTGTTCCCACGCCAATATCAAGATTATTTCGTTCCTGCATAAGTCATCATTACTCGTATTTGATGAAGCTCATCATGCTATTGGCAACACAGATTACGCTTTTATCATGCAAAGTATGTATCGAACATTTGAGTTGTGATGGATATAGTATGGAATCCTTGTATCCTTTTTGAAATTGATCCTTTTTGTAATTGATGCTACAGATCGTTCTCTGACAGATTTGTACTGAAACGGTCACAAACTGAACTAGAGAGACCTCTGTCGCAAGGCCCGATACCTCTGGCCAAATATAATCTCAGTGAAAAATATATATTATGCCACCTTTTTACGATAATGCTAGCTCATTTTTTACAAGGTATCGTTCACGCACTCCTCTTCACTAGGAAGTGAAGAGGACTGTGTATTTCTATAACCGAGGCACCGCTTCTCCGTCCGGATTAACCACCATCCAATACGGCTGTGTCAACACCTCCTTACGGAACCGTATCAAACTGTCTATATGCAGAGCGGGCTGCTTGAGGTACCAGAAGGTAAACTCTGGTAGATATGGTTTGAGATCATCAGGCTCTATACGTATTCCAGTCTTTTCGAGCACCATGTCGGATAGAGATCTGCGGGATATGCAAAACATGTTGACTCCTATGTGATAGTTGTGGGTTGGGAGTACTGGTGAGATTCTGTCATCCTTTTGTTTCTTGTTATTTACTTTTTTGGCTCAAGTCTTACCATTCGAATCCATAGCAACTGCATGATATCCATACTTGTTGCAGAGATATGTACCAGCTAATGGCGAGAATCCAAATAATGAGCCAGTTTCATTTTTGAACGGGCCCATCCATTGTACCCGTGTGTGATCAACGGTCTAACGTATTGGTGTGATTAAAACAAAAAAAAAGCTGCCATCAAAAGGTACATATTGCCACCACTCACATAGGAATCCGTTGGCCCAAAGTTCCTATTGAACTCGATAACAATAACTCTGGGTCGAAAATCAGCTCGCAGTATCGCATTCAAGATCCAGAAATCTGGGCAATCCAAGTCCACAGAGAGCAAGTCGAGATCTTTCGGAACCATGTACTGTTTCAGTAGGTCGACAATATTGTGTTCCGTCCTAATTTAAGGTGACCAAAGATGAATGAGCGTCTGCAACTCCATCCAAAGTGTGAAGTTTGATTCTTCTCCTCCCAAATCAAGGGTCGTCCCTACTGACTGACAATGCTAAATTTCATAATCACACTCACATGAAGTGGTTATGGATTACGCGCGAGTCCAAGCTCACGCCAGATCCGTCCTAGTTGTGAGATATGATTGAGTAGGTGTTCCAAAGACACTTTCTGCTCGTGTAATTGGGATATGAGAGGGCTAAATCACCATTAAGAGACCATTCCAACCGTATTCTTCCCAGAGATGACTAGATGGAAGCGAAAAAATAGTCAAATGGAGGAATTCAGGATGGGAACGTCCAACCGAGAGCAGCTCTTCAAGCCTTACCGAGTATTACACTGGACGCAGTTTTCCACTCCAAATTCCTAAAGTTTAACGTTTGTTTGATTAGATATTGCTGTGCTTGTGGTCGTCCTTTTCAGATCAAAACCCATTCTCAAGTTCACACCAAGACAGCACTCACAACATAGAATTTGTTTTTAGTTCCCATATTAGTAAATAGATATTCCTGATGATAATAATATCACGGTTATAAATTTGGTTGATCCCCCTCTTGAATGTAATCCAGCTGCCGACGTTCCACCTCAGCAACACTACGATTAAAGGTGCATGCATACCAGTATTCCGTCTTCCAAGCTACATTTGAATAGTGAGAAAAGCGTGTTAGTATACCAATGTCATCCAAGGCAGACAGTATTACACTGTAGATCACAATGTAACGCAATGCACGTACTTTTGGGAGTAAACCCTCCTTTCATGGTCTCTGATATGATATAAGAATTTCAGAGCATTGGTTATTAGTGGTAGCTCTCCAGGCATCAGTCGAAAGTCGCCCGGTGGACGGTCAGAGAAGAGTGGAGGTCCTGGAGGTTCAGATACATGCAGGAACATGATGTAGAAGGAAACAAACCCAGCAATAGAGACCACAGCCGCCAGCAGTCTGGGATGCAGCTTTGTATCAAGTCCCTTCATCATTGTCTGCCTTTTTGATAAAAATGTGGATTTTTGGGATTTTGGTCGTTGCGGAAAAGCAACGTGTTCCAGATTGGGAATCGGATGATTTTACGCGTTATAGCGCTTAGCAGTGTCAGATTTGGTGCAAGTTCTTCATTTCATTCAGTCCAGACAGGAAATAGTGGTTAATGAGCTGGCAGTCAGGACAAGATTAGACGTGTTGAATTGCGAAAGAAAGGTGTGGATCTATAACTGTAGCATCTAGTATCATCATCTCACACGTAAATAACGTAATTCTCATAATCAGACATTGGTTCCTCATCATTATTTCGAAAAACACGATCAAAACACGATCAAACATAAACAGGAGGTGGAAGTAGCGAGAGATGAATGACAGGTAACTACAAGAACGCCGATAGTGGTGTTTAACTGTATGTCACTTCACGCTTTGACATGAGCACAGTTCAGGGGGAATGTTTCAATAAAGCCGCAAACCTTATTGCTGCCTCATCGTGCAAATCGCTAACCATCAACTCCTAACATCCTTCACACCAAGAACATCATCCAACATGACTCGCGAGCAAGAGACCAATGGAACAATGATACAGTACGGAATCAATTTTTCATCGCACATTGGCCGTTCAGTGTTACATTTGCATCATCTTTGGCGATAAACTTATGACATTTACACCACCCGTCACTTAGGTACTTTGAATGGCATCTTCCTGCCAATGGACAGCACTGGAACAAGATTGCAAAGGAAGCTGAAAAACTCGCCAAAATGGGTATTACTTGTGTCTGGATTCCACCACCAACTAAAGGGTACGTTCTTGACGCAAGACACTACATATGACTCAACAACCTATATATTCATCCTATAATGCCATTCTGTATCATCTATTAACCATCCCACATCGTCCTATAGTGCAAGTGGTCCCAACTCTGTCGGCTATGATGTCTATGACTTGTGGGATCTGGGTGAATTCAAGTCCAAAGGCTCTGTCCGTACCAAATACGGCACAAAAGAAGAACTCATCAATGCTTGCAATGCTTTGGATTCCAACGGCATTCAGATCTGTGCTGGTATGTCGACTCACGACTCATGATGACATGTCATTCTGCTGAATTCTGTACATGTTTTTTCGCATGTGCTGTGCATCATTCATTACTCAATGCCTAACGCATCTTCGCTCCTTGAATAGATGTTGTTCTCAACCATCGATTGGGTGCTGACGATACTGAGGAGTTCGACGCCATCATGGTGGACCAAAATGATCGTGGTCAAGATGTCGGTGGCAAGGAGAAGATCAAGGCTTGGACTCGCTTCACATTCCCTGCTCGTGGAAAGAAATACTCGGATCTGGAATTCCACTGGTATCGTAAGTAATCATATATATGTCGTCCTTATATTTTGCTTCTGCCACCGTCTCCACAAGCTTTCTCTCATTCCCCGCTCATACAGACTTTACTGGAATCGACTATGACGCAAAGAACGAACGAGCTGCCGTGTATCGTATCCTGGGCAATGGCAAATACTGGTCTGAAGACGTCGACTATGAAAACGGCAATTATGGTATGTGTGTGGCTACAGATTCTTATTTCAAACAACTGAAAGTCATTCATCAACGTGACACTAACTTTATTTAATTAGACTACTTGATGGGAGCAGATGTTGACTACTCTCATCCAGAAGTAGTTGAAGACGTAACGAAGGTATGGCTTCTTACAATATTATCATGCAATTTCCACAAATTTCTAACCCTTTTTTTCACCAGTGGGCTGTATGGCTCGTCAAGGAGTTGAAATTATCTGGATTCCGTATGGACGCGCTCAAGCACATCGATGCTGGCTTCATTGCTGAATTCTTGGCCAATGTCCGTAAGGAAACTGGAAAAGACAATTTCTTTACTGTTGGGGAGTACTGGAAAGAAGGAACTCAAGTAGGTTTTGTTCTGGTTACTTCGTAACGTTGCTAGAATGTATCTCACCTTTTTTCGTCAGGATTTGGAGGGCTATCTCGCCAAACAGGACTATAAAGTCAGTCTGTTTGATGTGAAATTGCACTACAACTTTGCTGCTGCTTCTCAAGGTGGTGCCAACTATGATATGTGCAAGGTACAAAAAAAACACACCGTGAATGGGATGCATGTTCTCCATGTATTAAGAACCTTGCCATTGAATCTATAGATCATGGATGGATCCTTGGTACAAACCAACCCAATGAATGCTGTTACGTTTGTCGTAAGTGTGACTTTATTTGTTTATTTCTACGTCTTTCTTTTTGCCAACCACAAACATTCTGACTGTCAACCCATTGATAATAGAACAATCACGACACTCAACCTGGTGAATCTCTTGAATCGTATATCGAGCCATGGTTCCAACCTCATGCATATGCACTCTGCTTGTTACGAATGCAAGGATGTAAGAGTATTGGAAATCCTATTGGATTTCTTTCCCATTACCTTTCCACATATGAACAATCTCTTTTCTTACTACACCAGATCCTTGCATCTTCTACGGAGACCTATACGGCATCTCTGGTGAAAACCCCGTCAAACCATACGCAGCACTTCCAATCTCAAACATGATCCGTGCTCGCAAGCATTTCGCATGGGGTGAACAAAACGACTATTTCGACCACCCCAACACCATCGGATGGGTTCGTCTCGGAAACAAACATTTTGATAAATCAGACCTGACACCAGAAGATCTCAAAACCGAGCCTGACGGTGGTGCAGCACCTCAAGATTTGGGTCCTGGTCTTGCCGTTGTGTTGTGTGCTGGTGGTGCGGGAAGCAAGCATATGTTTGTTGGGTTGCACCACAAGGGAACTGAATGGTTGGATATTGTCTATCCTGGCCGTGAGCACGTCGTGGTTATTGATGATAATGGGTTTGGAGACTTTGTTGCTGATGATGGTGGCATGGCGGCGTATACTCTACGAGAGTTTGCAGAGCCATTTAGAGCCGCTGAGGCTGAATTGTAAAACGGTAGTGGTGGAGCTTTATTGTAGATTGGGAAGTGTTTGTATGTTGTTGTTGTAAGACTCATGCCATGTAAGACTCATATGTTAAAAACAAGGAAGCGAAAAAATTCTTAGACGAAGTCGTCGTGTTTGTGTGTTTGTCAAATCAGTTTACCTAGTCGTCGAGCCGACACGGACACGCGTTATATCTGAAGAATGACTATTACTAAACGCGTCGCTGGGCGTTTGGGAGGTTGGGTTGTCGTTTTGGTACTGTTCCTTCGTAGATCAAATCGTATCAAAAATTGATGTTTAAAACGTCGAACTTTATGAGCATGCATCATATATGAACGTTCCGGATCTGGCATCCCTTCTTGTTTGCACGTTAGCACTAAAAAGACAATCATTAGACACGTCGAGCCCATGTAAAGCCGTCTCCATCGCTCTACAATCTACAAAAACCCAAAAAACACGTTATCTGATCTCATCTTCAGAAACGCCATAACAGCATGGCAGACAGCAACAGCAATAGGAGAAAGAGTTCCGTACAACTCCCGCGTCCTCCTACCATGGTCGTAATCACCAGTCGCATAATACGCCATCCTCGATTATCAACTGGACTATTCGTCCTTTTAGCCCTCTTATATCATTACTCGTACCTGACAAAGTTCCTATACTACCAGCTGCTTATATTAGGCTCATATACCGTGCTGATACTCGTATATCCATGGTGGCAACTCGCAGGCTCAAACGCTGCCACAACCAAACATCACAACATTGGTCTCTTCCCACCAACATCTTTTATCCCGAAGGCAGATCTACAATTTAAACGTAAAAATAGTAGTGCTAATAGCCCAACACGGGATAAAGCAGTGCCAAGTACACCAACGACACCACTACCAGCCCGAATATCAACCAGTCGTGTCAAGAGAGCAGCAGACAACATCCTATCCATGGTAGTTCGTGATTTCGTCTCATCATGGTATACAAAGGCATCACCAGACCCCTCCTTCCCAATCCACATCGAATCCGCACTTCGAGATGCTGCAGACGCCATATACGAGCGCTGCAGTGCCGTCGACTGGGACGCATTCCTGACGCGTCGGGTCATGCCGCTCGTAACCCAGCACGTAGCGGACTACCGTGTCGCGACAGAAACCATGATGCATGGTGGCAAGAAATCTACTGCTGCTATGATTGATGTTGGGGGATCGCTTGAAGCTGATTGTCAGCTGGCGAGGTATTTTAGGAATGGGAATCTGCATCCGGCTATTAATACTACGCCGGCGCCGACTATACCGCTAGAGTTGGCGTATTTGAGACGTGTTGTGGATTGTATATTGCCGAGGCTGTTTTCGACGAATGAGGTGCAGAGTCGGTTGTTTTCAGTGCTGCTGAGGGAGATTATTGCGTGTCGGATCATTCAGCCTATTGTGGATAGCATTTCGGATTCGGATTATTGGATGCAGAATATTGAGATTATGGTAAACATTGTTGTATTTGTTGGTTTATTATGTTTGTCAATGCTTTGACAAAGCTAACATGTTATTATGTATGCATAGGCGGATAGGATTATACAGGAGCAGTGAGTACCATACATGTCAAGATTGTTATTGTTTTTTTGTGCTAGACTCAGTTTTTACCTATGTCACAGGAATCTACATAACAAGATACGAGAATCCGATGAAAAGCTACGAACAGATGACTCGATCGATAATCAACAAGAATCAGACTATGCTCCTACATTTGATGGCTTTCTGAAAAAAATCAAGAAATGTAATGACTTGTCAGAAGCCCTTCAAATGAGAGATGCGCTTGTTACTGATATTAGATCACGGAATAAAGAGATTGGTATGTTGTCTCAGACAGGAGATTCTTGAGTTTCTTTTAAGAGCAAAAAATTCACCGACTTTGAATCTGAATGCTCCTCCTTTTCTACAGAGGGCATGGCATCTGATGACGTGGTTCATGGAATGCTAGTTCGAGATAGACGATCATATATAAATCAGTTGAATCAGGCTCTATCTCGTATTGAGAAGAGGATTGAAGCCTTAGGTGGATCTGCCAAGGTGGAAAAAACAAGCACAACTATCCATGCTGTTTTTGAGGTAACATGCTAACTTTCATATACTATAATAGAAATCAGGAGATGGTGGTGAACAACAGCGAAGCAGTCGACCAGGTCTGATAAATCTCCTCGAAGAACCATATCTATCCTACTTTATGGAGCATATGGAACAAGAAGGTCGTGTCCAATACCTTCGTTTCTGGTTGAGCGTCGATGGTCTACGATTCCATCTCAAACCCAGTAATGCTACTAGTAGTGGGTCTCTAGAAGTAACTGATTGGAGAGTCTTGGCTGATGACGTACGAGCTCTGTATAATTCGTATTTGGGAGATCAAGCACCTGCCAAAGTCGAATTGATAAATCAAGGGCTGGTTAAAGAAGTCGAAGACCTCATTGCTGAATTAGATGAACGAGCTACGCAAGCTGCCTTGTCGAAAGGAGCTAGTGTACGAACACCACCATTAATCCTATCTCCCATATTTCGAGCTCAGAGTGATGTATGGACTACATTAGAAAGCCATGATCTTCCATCATTCCTGACAAGTCAGAGATACATTAAATTCTCAAATCAAGTAGCTCAAGCATCACCAGTCCGTAAAAAACGAACAATGGTGTCATTACGTCGAAGTCCAAAGGAAAAGCAAAACAATATGTCGAGCTCGTTGGATGTATTAGCACAACCCAAACCATTAGCTGAATATGGACTTGGTCGTAGCTCATCGCTTACAGAAATACCAACATATGGTGAAAATAGCAATGGGTCGAGATCACCAACATCCAACATCCAAAACAATAAATCAACATCAGATCTAGTCAGTCTCTCTGAAATTCTCTCGTCACCCGATATAGTAGCTCGCTCATTCACTGAAACATCATCTGAGAATCGTAACTCGGGTGAAGCCAGTGAGCCAGGGCGTGATGCACGAGGCAAGAAGAAGCGACTTACTGCTGAGCTCAAACAAGCATTCAAAAACACTGTATCTGTGTTACGACCTGCTTGGGAACGAGGACAGCAGTCGGTTAGAGGAAACAGTCCTACTCGTCTTGAATTTGATAGTGATGCGGATTTACCTAGTGTTGTTAATGGTGGTCAGGATGTTGAGGATGAGTTGCAGTCTGTGGTTAATTCGACAGAGCCGACGTTTGGACTGCCGAGTTTATTGAAGAATAGGAGGAGGACGTCTATGATGAGGAGGGAGAATAGTGACAAGGTTCGTGTCACTCTTAGTGGACTTCCTTTTATTGTTTTGCCGCGAAAATGTGGCCTTTTTTCAGAATTTGTGTCAGTGCTCTAACACGAGCATCTTTGTTAAATTAGGCTGTTGGTAGAGTCGTCGATTCTTCTGCCTCTGGTAAATCGACGGATTATCCTTCGACCACTCAAGATTATGCAGCAATGCCTCCGCCATTCTCACCCACATCACCGACAAACTTTGAAAGTGATGAAAACGACGTTGATGTCGACGGTCGTGCAGGAGCCTTTTCACAATTGAAACGTAAAGGTCGAGAAGCAGCCAGACAATTATCACCTGGCAAGATATTCCGTCGAAATACCAAAAACTCTCGTAGTAGCTCTTCACCGTCACCATCTCGTCCTCCCATGATATCCAATGCCGACGCATTACGAGAGTCACCAGAACCAGTACCTGAATCCATTGACGATTTATCTCGAAATAATAGTAGTAGTAGTAAAGCCCTAGGAGTAGAGAATGATGAACCTTCGGGATCTTCAGCACCCATGACTCCATCTCCTGGTTTCCCACGACCGCCACGCCCTATAACACCATCAGGAGACTCGGCGCTTGTAGAAGAAGCGTCTGCTGGTACTACGTCTGAAGAAGATGAAGGTGTACAAACTCGTGATTCACCACCATTATTGGATGATTCTGATCAAGATGATGGTGCAGGTGGTGGTGGCGAGTCTGGGAATGAAGAAGACGTAGATGATGACGATGATGAAACTAATGCTTCTGGAGGCCTTACAGCTGGTGGTGGAACATCATCGTCATCGTATGGAACACGTAATATTATAGCAGGAGATTCGCAATCACCACCACCATTATTGTTCACGACTGTTGTTGATGGGTTTGATTTGCCGCCGATAATACCGCCACCACCACATGCCGTTGAACTGTCAATCAAGATTGCACAGTTGATGGTCGAGTTGGGTGAAATTCAGGGCAAGATTAAAGATGCTGAAGAGTCTGGGCATTTGAGGCAGACTATACGAGATATGAGAGATTGGGAAGGGTTTTTGAAGGAGCAAGAAAGTGCTGCGAGAGTTGCTATGAGGGATTTGGAGGCAAAGGAGTTGGAGAATTTCTTGTTGCCGGTATGTCTAAGGTCGTTGTGTTGTGTGAAGGCGTCAGTGTTTGAACACATAAGTCCGATTTTGTGCCAACTTTTCCTTTGCTGTTGCCGTAGGGAAGAATATTCGTAACAGTAACAGACGTTCTACGACGAGAAACAGGTGGACGAGATCGAATTGGAAAGCCATATGCTTATCAATTCCAAGTACATCGACAACCATCTGATCGAGATGAAAGTGGATGGGGTCTTGAACGAACAAGTGAAGATTTGAACAAGTTGCATCAAACGCTTCGTTCTCGATTTCCTACTTTGATGACTGGTATCAAACCACCTCGAGTCTCGGAACGTCGTCAAGACGGAAGGGTGGCTCAACGTGATAGTCAAGATGAGATATTGAAGAATAAGGTCAAAGCTTATCTTGAGGTAAACGTGATTGTTTTTTTGGTCAGGTCGACGCACTTTTATGGAACAAAGAATTAGGACACTTATCGTATAAAGTTTCTACTTATTAGACACTCTTGCGATATCCAGAACTGTGCAGATCAAACGAATTCAGAAACTTTATGGCTTCTGAATCCATTGCTGGATGTCTCCTAGCCCTCTCATCTGGAGACAAGAAAACTGGTCGACGAGGTGTCAAACTATCACCGATATATAAACGACCCTTCCCATTCATGTTTCAGCCTCGAGCTGATGATACCAGTAGTATAAACAGTAATAATGCACCAGAAAGTGCGTTTAAAGATTCACGTAGTGAGCCATACACACCAAGCAAGGCTGATTATTTGAGTGTCAAGGTACCTGACACTGCATCCGGCACAAGCCCGGTCCAGTCGCAATCTGGAGCATCATCTGCAGGACCTGCTGGTGTACCGTCCTCATCATTTGCTGGTGTATCAGGAAGTGCACCATCATCCACTACACAATCAACACCACAACAACCATACCGTACAGATAGACTAGGAAGCATGACAGACGCCATGCCACCAGACTCTGACCTGGAAAACACGAAAGCAATGGCCGCAGTAATGGATTTACTCTGTGAGTTATTCGAATTACGGGATCGATCCAACTGGTTTAGACGACAGGCTATTGGAATTGCCATCCAGACTCTGTTTTCGAAAAACTTGGAAAAGAGAATGTCGGAGGCGTTGAGTTGGGCTTTGAGTGATGATTCTTTGGCGGGCCATTTAGATGTATTGACGAACTCGCTGTGGCCTGGTGGTGTTTGGTGGGCTTGGGCTAGTCCTACTCCTACTCCGACTGCTGGTAGTACGCAACAACCTTCAACGATATTGTCGTCTTCATCAACCGCATATAACAGTAGCACATATACCAATACCACTAGTAGCACGAATACCAATAATACCACAAGTAGTAGCAACACAGCAGCATCAAATTCAGCTATCCGAAGTAAAGAACAACGAGCCAAGACCCAATATGCAGCTGAAGTGAAACTACAGCGTCTGTTGCCCGAGTTAGTAGGTGCTGTTGTGGGGAGGACGAATGCAAGGAAGGGAGCCATGAGGTTGTGCCAGGTTTTCCAGAATGGGAGGCTTGATCGAGAGTTGGCGTATCGGTTGCTGGATGCGTTTATTGATGTAGTATTTCCAGGGACATATGTAGAAGAAGATAAGAAGTAAGTTATCATAGAAAGGGACGGTTTGTGAAAATGGGCAAACCGATATATATATCCGCCACCTGCAAACCAATTATTTCATGCATCATATTGTAATTATAACTGTGTATTTGGCACCACCATCTTTATAAAATAAGCAAAATGTATTATCATTACACTTCCCTCCGATGTGTTAGATCTATTTGCTGAAGGACAGGCAACCTCAGATCTGCTATCGAATTGGGCGAACAGAACTTCCCATCAAAAAATAACAAGGGTCCAAGCGAAGCAGCCAATCATTTCGTGAGGACTGCGCACAATTCTAAAAGTTTGCACCTACAAAGGCGTCAAAATTCCGGCAATTCAAATAACACAGATCGTCACCGCAACTCATGGTCAATCCCTTCATCACTCTCCACTCTCCAAGTTCTGGATTCCTTCTCTATTTGTTCCTCTCTCATATATGATGGTATGTCTTGAAATGCATTTGCAGCAATTATTCATGTGGTTTTCAAAATTGTTGAATAACGTCTAACATCCAATGTGTTTTGCATAGATCTTCTAGCAAAATAATATGATCCAGCTTCCATCCATCCATGTAGCTTGGTGGACGTTCAACTAAAAGCACTCCATACGCTACAGTAATAGATTCGCATTCCAAAAGTAACTTGATTGTTTGAATATTGAGTATTGCTGTTTGCTGAATACTAACGCATATCGCTCGTGATGTAGGAGGAATGTTTGAATAGGTTCGCCTGAATATCGTGCACCATATTGTACTTATAACTGTGTACTTGACATCATCTTTATAAAATAAGCAAAAATGTTATTATTATTATATATACTTTTGCCTTTCGTTATCGTCTCTCTATGAGGAGGATAATGCTGTTTGATGGTCCACAGAAGCAGCAGACTCCGACGATGCCCCATTCCCACGATCAACAACACTACTACCCTTCTTCTTGCCACCCAAAAGCTGCCACGTCTCCAACGAAATCTCTTCCAACAACCGTCGTTCACCCAACCTCAAAACAACCGCCGTCCGCTTATTTCCAACACACGTCTTGTCTTCATCCAACATTTTCTGATCATGCTGTGCACTAGGGTATGATCGTAGCAGCAGCGCAATTCGATTACGTAGCCAGGTAATCACTTTATGTTCTATATGGTCTGGGTCTGTGCATGCGGCAGAGAGTGGTTCTGGGTTTTCAGTCACCATACCTGGGCTGTGGAGGATTTCGTCGAGGAGGGATTCAGGAGAGAATTGTACGCGGAGGAAAACGAGGAGGGCTCGTGAGTCGGTGTGGAGGGGTGAGCGTTTTAATTCCAGGAATGTTGGGCTAAGGATTGTGAAAAACGTATAGAGTGTTGAGAGATTTAAACTTAGGGCAAAACAAAGGAACTAGAAATTCGGGATTATAGCATATACTCACGATCGAATGTTGAAACGTTCCAATAATTCCACCCTTTGTTGGTATGCTGTATCTGATTTGAGTATGGAGACCCATACTTTGACTGTATCGTATAAATGGTTTGCGGGATCAGCAAATCCTGAATGCAAGACTAGATCGTGATTGTTTCGTTTTCCATATGTTATATACACCTTTTGAACGGAAAAATGGGAGGTCAGAAAGATATCACGGGAATAGAACCAAAGTACGATAAGAGTGGAGAATTGTGGTGTAAGACGTGCGACAAGGATTTAAAAAAGCAGACTTGGAGGGGAATCATTGAACGGCTCTTACTTGTTCACCAGCCTTGTAATCATCGTTAGCTTGCGTCTCGCTCCATTGTTTATCCAAATCAAAATACGTCGTGATCTAATCAAGCAAAATCCATGATATCAGCGTCAGGCAAGTTTGCCAAATTCATGCATTTTGAAAGTCAAGACCGAGCACAAACAACAACATGGATCAACACAAAGCATATCAAGTCGTAACAACACACTAACCTCTCCAGCACGATGATTCAACATATCATACATTGGTATCATGGCAATCAATCCAGGATCACTCTTGTTTTGACCTGGAATGACGTTTTGACGAGACATGACCACACTAACAGCCCATCTCCATGCAGCAAATGTAAATTGTTTCAATTCTATAGGTCTATCGACTGGTGCCACTTCCTGTGAAGCGAAAGCAATGTGTGAGCTTTGGTGGCGTACTGTTTAACACTGGGGGTTTTTTGGTCACCTGCATAGATCGATAGAGACTAATATATTGTCGAGCATTTACACGAGTCAGATTCATTATCTCCACTGTTGAATACGAAACATGGTGTTAGCTCCAATGTATTGAGTAAATGACAACGCTTAAATCTACAAGAAGCAAAAAGGAAAGACCTTCGAATTAAACACAGTCTCACCTAATGTTTGAGAGCCCTTCAGCAATTGCAAATCCTCCAAACTCCAAAACCAAGGTATGTTCAATTTTTTGGGCAAGATGTCGATATAGGACTTCCAAAAAGATGTTCGATCCAGGGCTTCGATGAGTAAATGTAGAGCAATCATGGCAGAAGGGATTGTTTGTAAAACGTTATTAGCTCGGACCAGTTTCAGAACTATTAAGTTGAGGGTGAGATTGTTTTGAAGCTTTAATTGACGGGCAAAATAAGGTGACAGCGATGATACCTTTGGGCGACTTCATGGCAGTATTATTCGTCATCATCAGTTTCAATGGGACAATCAAGAATGGATTTCCCTTCTGTACATGGTGAGCATGAATACGAGGAGTCAGTGCCAACCTGCCTAGTGATGCACTCTGTCTACAGGACAAACGCAAAAAGAAACCAAAAATATAAACCATTCCACACCTCTATATCTTCGAGAGCAAAGACACCATTTCCTTGGTCGTCATTGACCGTCCGTATATCCAGTTTGGAGACATCGACACTATTGGAAGTGAGCCAGGATTTGAAAGCGTTGAAGTCTTGTGGAGGAGCATTCTCATTGGCCTCTAGACCAAATCTGGAGTCTATTGTGCATGAATTGTAATAAATATGTAAGAATAAAGGTGTGTTTGTAGTGAATGGTCCAACGTGTAGTCTCTGTCTTAATGTTCCTTGTGTCTCGTCAAAACAACCAAATGTTGATGCGCAACACACCTTTTTGCAGATCAACGAGCTTGTTGAGCATGTCGTTGAGCTGCACATGATCGTCCCATGATGGTATTGGAGGTGTATTGTGCGTTTCTAATACGTATTGAATGTCAGTCGCGACCAACAAACATAACAAGCAACAAGGAGGAATGAAATACGCTCGTTACTTGATTCTATGGCTTCAATGAGACTGTCCGACTCGCCATTCTTCTTGGACAGCTTGGCCTGCAGCTTGGACTTGGCTGCCATCCTACTAATTGGCAAACCTACTAGGAATTGCTAATTCGGACAAGATGTAAGCTCAACCATCCCAGCACGCTGAGAGACGAGACTGGAATTGTATGCATATTTATATATGTAGTCACGTAAGAACATCGCTACTTGTACCGTGACTATATTGAAAACACGGTGCAATTGTGTGTTGAACATTGCAACGAATTATGTGGTGGAGTGTTAAAATAGCGCGGTGTGTGTTAAGTCAAAGTATCTAAATGTTTGCTAACAATAAATTCCCCTTCTTCTAGACACCTGTATCAACTTGACCGTAACATGGGAGCTTACATCAGTTGCCACACTTTGGACTCAGTCACACTTAGACATTCTTATACGACTCAGACTACCAACATCCACGATGACCCCATGAACGTGGCTCTTGGAACTACCGTTGCTATAAATTGGGGGTGGACAGTTGGAAGCTTCCATTCAGAAGGCCACACCTCCCGTCGCCTTTACTAAACCTATGAGAGACGAATTCAATCAAACATGTAATTGATCTAATCTGGATGCGTGATTATTCAACAATTCAACCATACTTGATGGCCGTCCAAATTATTAATGTAAGATTTTGTTGATGTTTTCAGCAAACTGGATTGTTGCTCACACATTGCCTTTGATAGGACGTGGAACAAAAAGTTCCACGGACTCGCTCACAAAATTTTCACGTGGGACCATCAACTTGCTAGGGCCTTCAAAATAATCTACGAAGGAGCCTCTTGTTCTCGTTATTGCTTGGTGTGCTTCTGTGCTCACCTTGTCTTATATTATTCGCCAATGTATCATTGGCCGTAAGCATTTCGCTCTGCATGTTTAAAGCATCGCTCCATCACCAACAAAACATTCTAATCATGACCACGTTATCGTATATTCACTTGATTCAATTCGGTTTCACAAGTAGCGCTAAAGAAGCATACGGTCCCAACCCACGTGGCTCTTGCATAGCATTCAGCCCCGCACGTTTCAACAGCTCTTCACCATCTTCTACATTATGTGTTGCAACTTCCCCACGAATAACTTCTCCAATGACTCGTGAACGCGGTACACGTTCACCACCATTCTTCTTTGTAGACGTGGATTCTTGCAATTCTAAATCCTGTGACTTGTTTCGTGTCTCATGATGATGACGAGATGCGTGTGTCGGTGAGCCGGAGACCATGGATGCTCGTATGCCGGAATGACGACTTGGTGAGGTTGTATCGGCTTCTTGGAGAGATGCTAGTGCTGTGGTGGCTGCCTCACGGACCAGAGGTGAGGAATCAAAGTCTCGGGCGTACATGAGTGGTTCTTTTAGACTGAGGAGGGACTTTGTTCCGATTGATGCTAGTGCTGTTTGGGTGGTGATAGTGTAAGTAATAAACGTTTGATGCACCAATTTTCTTTTGCAAAGTTCTAAACTAACCTTTACAGCTTGCCAATCTCACACGAGCATCATGATCTTGAAGTCGCTGTATTAGGGATGAGCATATTGAATGTCTTTGATCGAGTTTCAGATTGCCTGCAGCCTATGAGTTTGGAATTGTAAGCCTTTGTTCTTATCATTTAGATTTGCTCTCAAGCACTTTTAGGCATCATCACGTACCTGACAAGCAGCATATCGCACAGTAGTCGAAACATCTCCCAAAGCAGGCAGCAAGCACTCAAACAGTCTCG